CACAGCTGCAAGCTCCTGAAGCAGCTCTCAGGCTCGTCTCCTCCAGACGCTTCCCAGTGGGCCCTAGAGAACGGCGTTCTAGACGACGCTGCACACAGCGCGTCTCTAGGCACTGCCGAGGATACGCCTCCCCCCAGCAGCAAGCGCACGGCGCCGTGGAGGTCCTCTGCGCTGGCAGAGCATCATCATCACCAGCAGCAACAACAGAGGCGCCAAGAAGGCGATCCAGGTGTTGCGCGAGGGACGCTTTCCGAGGAAGGCGTTCTTGGAGGGCAGCCGCGCAAACGCGTCAAAGGCAGCAGTCAGAGTGCGATAGACATCGCCCCTATGCCAGGAGTTCGGTTCGCGAAGGATCGCAACAGCTGGGTAGCCTTTTGGTGCGAGAACGGCAAGCAGAACTACAAGTCGTTCAGCAACAAGAAGTTTGGACCGGAGATGGCTCGGCTCATGGCGATTGCTGCGCGTCAGTCTTTCGATGACAGGGTGCACAGACACACCAGCGTCTTCGGCGGCTCTCACTCGCAGTACCAGCAGCGCTCCGCGGGGGGAGGGGAGTATCCGGAGGGCCTCATGGGGGGGACAAATGGGGGGGCGGGGGCCCCCCAAGAGGGCCTCCATGCGGCGGCTCTGGCCGCAGTGGGGCACCACCAACTGCATTCGCAGGCGAGCACGGTGGGTGCGACGTCTCTCTCGACGAGCGGAAGCTGCGAATCTCAACAACAACACCACCATCACCACCCCTCGGATGCGCTCGAGGAGCAGCAGCTGTCGAGAGCAGAAATGCAGCAGCTCGCTGCGTCGCTCGGCAATCCGAAGGGTGTCTGCTACGCCCCTAGCAACAACACGTGGATGGCCTACGGGAGCATGGGAAGCGGCGCGCGCATGTGCCGCTCGTTCCCAGTCTCGAAGTTCGGCTTTTACGGCGCTCGAAGGCTGGCTATCAAGGCGGTCAGTCAGTATCAGCAGAAGCAGCTGCAGCTGCTGCACCAGCAGCAGCAGCAGCAGGGGCACACTCGAAGCGAGAGCACTGCGGCACGCAGCGGGAGTGCCTCAGAGGCCTCAACAGCCTCGGCGCCGAGCAGCTCCGTGCAGAGCCCCTCTCCCCTTGGCAGTCACATCGATCTCAGTTCAGTTCTTCAGCTGGTCAGCAAGGGTGGGGAGCGGCTTTCTCCTGAATCCTGCCACAGAAGCAGCAAGCGAGCGCCTCTGGGGCACAAATCCGACGCAGCAGCAGACCTCGGCAGCCTACACGCCTCCGGAGGCTACCCAGGAGTAGACGCCTCTGGCCCCTTCCAGGAAGACCTCAGTCTCGAGGCTGAGGGGTCGGGAGCCTCACCCTAGGCTCCAGGGGGAGGGGGGAGAAAAGAGGCCTTGCCTTCTCAACCAGCAGGATAGCAAACGGCTGTCTCAGGGGGTTGGGAGAGGTTAAAATCGCGATCCCGAGCCCAACCTGCTTGCGCTGGCATCGAAGCCGCAAGGCACACGAGGAACGCCGCAATCGAAGAGCATATTACGGACCTTTGAAGCGCCACCCTCCTTCTCACCGACTCGTACAATATATATTATATATATATACCCGCGGCTCGGAAGGGACTCACCAGAGGGACGGATATATATATGTACAGGCATATGCATATTATATGTATATATATATTTATATATATGTACAGGCATATGCATATTATATGTCTATATATATTTATATATATATATTCACCTAGCTCGATGTTTGCGCATGTCCATGCACTTATATGTGGTTTTGCACATGCGTGTGCAGTATTCGTATAGGCCTAGTTGCACGACACGCACGCCGCGTGCGAGCCGGGAAGAGAGGAGAGGGAAGGGGGGAAGGGCGGGCGATCCAGATCACAACAATAGCCCTTTTCAATAACTTTTTCCATATGTTTTCAAGTGTATTGTAGATGCATACAGGAGAGGAAATGTGTGTGTCCGCCTACTCTGGGATGCCTCCTGGCGAGTGTTTCAATGCATGCGCTTGCAGTGTGTGGCAGGCTACAAAACAGCGACTTGAGGCTTGTAGCTGCCCCTCAGGGGCCGCCAGGTTTAAGCGGTGTTGACTGCCGTGTGGCTTGTGTCGTGCATCTGGAGGGACGTGGCTTTGTGCCTTTTCCTCGCGCTCCTGCCCCCCATTTTGCCGCTTTGCCTGGGCTACACTATGCCCTCAAGCTGATACAATGCCTCGTGCCTACCTCTGTCTATTCTTTTTCAAGCGTTCATTTTTTTAAACTGCGCGCTAGCGGCAAGGGCAGCGCTGGAGAGTCAGTCCGGCCAGAGGCCTGTAGACAACCCCGCACACACAGAGCGCACCCTCCCCGGCTGTCACGACTGCTGCACGTTGGAGCGGACTAAGGGGAAGACGTCTGTGTATGTAGAGGATTCGCATAGTTGATAAAAGGGGGAGAGGGCAAGGAAGTGGGGAGACGTGGGGGGCTGTTGTCGCGAGGCCAGGGGAATAAGCGCACACATGGAAATCTACGAGCCTTAAAGAAAGGAGGGCCTCCTATGGCTACGCGGTGCCCCCTTCGTTAGTTTTGACTTGAAGCCAATTAGAGTCGTATTCTCTTTTGTAAGGGGGTGCCTACATACATTTTATGTATTGTCAGGACGGCCTGCCTCGTGCTGCTTGTTTCCTGGATTGGTGTTTGGGGGCGACACTCTTCACAAGGCCTCTACTCCCAGCAAAGCCAGAGGATCTCACGTCTACGGTGCGACAAGGCCCCCCTAGCCGAGCGCTTAGAGGCGCGCGCCTCCCCACCAGGCTTTCTTACGCAGTCTTTGGGGCAGCAGCTAGGTGAAGTGGGGAGGGGGGAAGGCCTAAGGCATGCAGCGCTAAAGGGAGCCACACGGACGGAGCGCGACGTGTAGAGGCCGTTTGCACTGTCTGGTCGGGCAGGCCTGTTTGTGTCTGTATCTACCCTGTGCAGAACACCTGACAGCCTGCCTTACTCGTGGTCTTTTCCTGAAACCCTTTCACTCAGGAACGTATTTCTCGAGGGACGAACTTAGCAGCAGCACAGGCAGGCCACAAGAGCGAGAAGGAGGGCGGCGTGTGGGGGTTCTGGAAATAAAGCCCGCTCCGCCTCCTATTGTTCAAAACATCTTTCGAGTGCCTTCCCTCGACGCGAGTTGCGGAGGAGGGACTGCCTTCTCCAGAGCCCTGAAGCCTCCATGGGGAGCACTGCCGTACAGCCCACCAACGCCGTACAGTCCTCGTTCCCTGAAAAGCTCACTTCCAGAGAGGGCGTACGATGTGAGCTGGTCGTGTGGAGAGGCTCGGATGCCTCAAATGGCCCTTACTCGGCTTGCGGGGGCGGCACTGGGTGGCACCTAGTTGCCGACTCGCTCACCTGCGTCTTTCGCTGCGCTCTGCTTAGACTGCGCGTTGAAGGCCACGAGGCAACCCAAGATGGCCTAGAGTATATATATATGTATATATATACATATATATACATGTATATATATGTATATATATACATGTATATATATACATATATATACATGCGCTGTACCACGCAGGTTGAGGGAAAAGGCAGCAGCCACTCCCAGGCCTTGTAAGCCCTTGTCGAGCAATCTTCTTGCATGATGGCCTCTAGAGAGGTGGCATGATGAGGCAACTGCACCGCGAGATGCAAAGATATTGAATGGGCCTATCAGCAACTGCGAAGAGCTTGAGGAGCCCGAGGCGTAGTATCCCCCGGAGGGGCCTCCAAGTTGCCCCCTTGTTACGGGTCTTAAAGTTTCGTGTATAATCTTTTGCGTCTCGCCAGCAGGCGAGATTTCTCTGCTCTTAACAACTGCGTCAGTGCTGCCAGCGGGAACTGGGCACAGTCAACGACGGACGAGGTCATCGCTCTCTGTTTAGGGGCTCTCCTCTGCTCTCCCTAGCTCTAAGATGGCCCAAGCGCAAGATAGAGGATCAGCTTCTTCCTCCCATCCCCTCTGCTTGCGGGTTAGGGGGCTGCTCGCTACTCGAAGCACAAGGATGCAATACTCGCAGGTGTACTTGCAACACCACCCTCGGGCCGGCGCGCCACCACGCTTCAGCACTGACGAATACCCCCTCTTCTCACTCCTTTAGAGTCAGAAAGATCCGCATGCTCCCCCATCTGGGAGACATCTAAGTCTTTCGCCACGCTCGTGGAAGCGTGGCAACTCAGGCACAGCCCTAGTGGGCTTACCGCCTGCTAGCTGCAGCCAAAGAGAGACGCTTTGAGCCGTGTATCTGGCCAGTGGCTTGTCGAAACCCTCTGGCAGTCATACCCTTCTTACCTTTCTGCGGAAGGCAAGTCTGAGGAAAGCGCCAGTCAGGGGCCCCCTGCCAGGACGACCACAAGACACGCCTTTGAACGTTGCTCGCAAAGACGCTTCTACAGTGATCTTGTTCATTTTTAAAGACTTTCTTCGCGACTTTGCAGCTTCAATCGCAGATCGCGCGGCCAAAGTGGTGCCTCCCGCCTCGCAGCTGAGCGCTGCGGCGTGCAGGTTTCTTCTGGCTCGGTTGAGGCGAGTGGCCCCTCGTGCGGTGCATATATTTCTGCACATCGCCGTCGTTTCAACTGCTAGTAGCGTTCATTTGAAACTTCAACACTCGAGCAAAGACAACACAAGGAAGCAGCCAGCGCAGCATGTGGCTTGCACGCCCTTGCATTAACAACTCCGATTACCTGTCAAGGCTCTCACTTCACCAGCCCCCTCGGAGTGCGCGCGGGAGAGCAGGGGGATAAGGGAGGGAGGAAGCGGATAAAAACTCTTCAGGTGGATAGACACCGAAATTTCCTGCGCAAAACCAATTCTCTATTCATGGCTTTCCTGCCTTTTTTGGGTGCGTCCTTCTAACAAGGCGGCGCGAGAAGCCTAGATCCCTCCTTCCCCAGGGGCCCTCTCGGGGATTCCCTAGGGGGTTTTTGAGCGTGCTGCTAGAAGAAAGCACAGAATATAGGCCTTCCCCGCGCCTTTTTCAGCCGCAGCAGTACACAAAAATGTCGCCAAAGCCGCCGCAGCGGCAGAAACAGGGGAAACACAAAGCCCCTGCATCCAGCGCGCGCGAGACTTCCTCGCAGTACGGGGGTTCTACTCCCGGCACGTTTGGAGGAAGCACACAACTGGAGGCTATTTTCGCACAGTTCGCGCGTAGTGACAGCAGAGAGGCAGCAGCAATAACGGGGGCATCCGCGACGGCGGCAACAACATCAGTGCCTGCTGCTGCCGATTGTGGCAGCCAGCGGATATCCCCATATGCGCGTGAGGGGGTCTGCGGAGGCAGAGGCGCTTCTCGGGCGCTTACGCTCGCCTCCACACTGCCTGCCAACGTTCACGTTGTGTTGACGCGTCTCACGAAGAAGGATGGTCACACTCGCAGCAGAGGCCTAGTCGAACTGCAGGAGCTGTTGCAGCACCAGCTCGACGCAGAGGCTGTCGAATCTCTACTGCCGCAGCTCGTGTTCGTGTACAGATCGTTGGCTTTGGGGGACGGTGTGAGTCGCAACCGGGCTGCAGTGCATGGCTGCTTGCTGCTGATCCTGAGGAAGCTGAGACGCCGTATTGCGCCTCACTTGAGGCAGCTCTTGCCCCTCTGGCTGTGCGGCTTACATGATACCTCGCGAGACGCAGCGGCAGCCGCTGCTGCTGCGCTTCAGGAGGCGTTTCCGCTGAGCCTCGAGAGTACTCCCTTGCCGCTCGCGGGGCAGCCAGAGATTCCTGGAGCAGCGGCTGCGGCTTATCCTGTGAAGAACGCTGCTGCAAACCAGACAAGGCGTTCACGTGCAGGCGCAGCGGTGGAAGTGACAGAAGCAGCAGCAGCAGCGACTGCCTGCGACGCTTTCAACAAAGGGCTGCAGCGTCGCATCGCTGCAGTAGAGCACTGCAAAGCGGCTCTGCTAGAGGAGCTTCTGCAGCTGCTGCTGATGCCAGAAACGCAGCAGCAGCAGCAGCAGCAAAAGAAGCAGCAGCAGAAGCAAAAGAAGCAGCAGCAGCAGCACAAAGAGCATCAGACAGGCGCAGCAGCCGTCAGCAGTAGCCGCCATGAGGACGAATGCGCGCAACTGCAGCTTGATCGCCACGTAATTTGCGCCCTCCTTGCTGCTGCTGACGTGATCCGTTTGCTGAGTCTGCAGCAGCAGCAAGAGCCGCAGCAGGGGCTTGCTGCTTGGCGGGAGGGTGTCGCGTTTTTGTTTTTCGGCGAAGGTCGACTGTGCTGCTTTCTTAACGCGTCGAACCGCCTGCCTGTAAGAGCAGCGGCAGCTGCAGCGCTCTCCCTCGTGTTGGAGGCGTTTGCCGTCGCTGGCGTGCCGCTCCCGGAGCAGCCCACGTCTCTGTCTTGTGCTGCTTCTGCTGCTGCTCCGGGTGTATCCGCAGCAGCAGAACAGTGCTTTGCTGCCGTCACTGCGGCGCTGGCAGACCCCACACTGTGTGCTGCGGCAGCGCCCTACCTGTCTTCCTCTCTCTGTGGCTCAAAAGCAGCGGGAGCAGCAGCAGCAGGAGCAGCAGCAGGGGCTACTCCAGCAGATGCTCCTGCTGCGGCTGCTGCCTCTAGCACCTGCAGATACCTGTTGCGCAGCACCAGACTCTTGCTGCAGCACTTCTTGCCTGAAGCGTTTGACTGCTGCCCGTCGCAAAGCGCGAAGTCTACCTTCGAGCGGCAGCTTCGCAATCTGCTTCTCAAGATATTAGCGCTTGCGCGGCATGCAGGTATGTACACACCATCCGCTGCAGGGGCTTGTGTGGTGAGGGCAGCTGTTATTTCGCGGTGGGAGCCACCAGCAGGTGTGTGTGTGTGTAGCCAATTGCCGCCCCTTCGAGGTCTCCTTGAAAGCTGCTACGAAATGCATTCTTGCGCCTTTTCGTCTGAGAGAAGGTCTGCTCATGGCGTGGCTGCTGATGTGTATATTTTTGCGAGGCGTGTGTTGCTCATGCTGCAGGTTACTGCGGAGGCAGCGCTTTGTACGACGAGCTGCCGCTGTTGCTGGCGGCACTGCCCCCGCAGCTGTTGCGGGGAGACTTCCCAGAAGGCAGCGCTTTCCTTAAAGACCTCCCCAAAGCCTTGTTGCTGCCTCTAGAGGGCATGTTGCGTGTGCAGCTGCACAGCGCGCAGAAGCACAGTCCAAACCACGCCAAAGGGCTGCAGCAGCAACGTAAGGACAGTCCAGAGCAGCAGCAGGAGCAGCAGGCGCAACAGCAGCAACAGAAGGACAGACAAGAGCAACAAGAACAACACCGTAAGGACAGACAAGAGCAGCAGCAGCAGCAGCAGGAGCAACAACAGCAGGAGCAACAACAACAGCAGGAGCAACAACAGCAGGAGCAACAACAGCAGGAGCAGCAGGAGCAGCAACATAAGGCGAGACAAGAGCAGCAGCAGCAGAAGCAGGAGCAGCCGCCGCGTTTAGCTCGATCTAAGGCGGAAAAGCCGCACTTACGGCAGCCGTGCGAGCTTACTCTGCCGTCGCCAGGTGTTCTTTTGGGCAGTTATTATGCCACGGTTCTTTTCCTTCTTGAAAAGCGCATCTTGCCGGCAGTTGGTGCCGCAGAAGGGGCAAGTGCAGCAGCTGAGAGTCTGCGGGAGGTGTACTGCTGCGAAGCTCCGTGTTATCCCCTCGCGTTGTTTGTGCGCGCGCTCGAAGAAAAGGAGAAGCGGCGACAGCGACAGCAGGAGGGGCAGGGGCCTAAGGCGGAAGCAGCGGCAGAGGCTGCGCTGACTGCGTTGGCAGTGGCAGTAGGGGGCTTTGCAGCAGAGGCAGCTTCTCGGGATTTGCCTTTGCTTTTGCAGCAGTCTCTTTGGCGCAGCCTCATTGCGGCAGTCGTTGCGCCTAGTGAGCAGCAGCAGCATAAGCAGCAGCAGCAGCTCGAAGAGGAGGGCAGCGAGGAGGAGAAGGAGGATCGTGTGATTCAGACTTCTGCGCGTCTCGCAAGACACGCACACGAGGGGGTCCTCCCGTTGCTGCTTGAGCTGCAACGGCACCAGTCGAACGCACTGACGGAAGCAGCAGCTGCCCTCACGGGGGGAGCGCTTGTAGTTCGGCTGCTGCAGCAGGTGAGGCAACACGTCGCAGTGTCGCTCGGGGGGGGGGCCCTCTATCCGCCGCTGCACGCCGAGCAGATGCCGCTGCAGCATCTGGAGGCGTCCTTCGAAAGCCTCGAAGCTCTTGATGCGCTTCTAAAAGCCTCTGAGGAGGCACTCACGCGGCTGCGACTGCCTGTAGCGGCAGTCGGCCTACCCGAAGTAGCAAGTGTGTGTTCTTGCCTACCCGAAAAGCTTGCTTTCGATGCGCGGCAGCAGCTGACGTTGGAGCTGCTGCCGATCTTGAACATCCTCATGAAGGGTGCCTTCGCTTTTCGCGAAGAGGATGCCTTGGCCGTCGCGTCTGCAGCCTCCTGCGGCTTGCGGCAGAAGCGTCTGGCTTTCCAAGAGATCTGCAGCAGACTGCTCGCTCCGTTGCTGCGGGCAGTCGCCCTTGTAGACGCAGGAGCACAGGACGCTAGTGCAGCACCAACGGAAGCAGCAGCAGGAGTGGCAGCAGCGGCTCGGAGCACTGCGTGGGAGCTCATCGCCGAGACTCTCGTCTTAGCCTACGAGGAGGACACCTTCGCAGCGTCCAGCAGTTGCGAAGTCGCGACTGCGCAGCAACCAGCACACGCAAGGGAGCTGCTGTTACGACGCTGGTGCTGCGGGGTATTCGCCCTCGGTCAGTTCGGGAGGCTATGGCACGCGGTGCACACTGAACTCGGAGGAACTGCAACAGCGAGACACGCAGCAACTGCTGGGAAGAAGGAGCTTTCTCCACCAACACAGGCTGCTCTGGCACGTGCCCTTAGACACCGCATCCAGGAGCTGCCTCTGCTGCTGCAGCAGACGCAACATCGCAGCCTCCAGGAGACGATGCAGCTGGTTTCGTCGTTGCTGCCCGATTTCTTAGATGTGCTGGTCACCGCGTGCAGCAGCAACAGCAGCAGCAGCAGCAGCAGCAGCAGCAGCAGCAACAGCAGCAGCAGCAGCAGCAGCAGCACTGAGGCCTCCGCCGCTGCGACGGGGCTGTTTGCCTTGGGGAGCCAGGAGGCAGCAGCAGCAGCGGCACATATCACGGAATCACTGCAGCATCTGCAGGCGCTGTCAGCGCATGCCGGCACTGAATGCTGTTTACAGAGTTTGGTGCAGGCGCTTGCATCGCCAGCGCTTCTTGAGGGTCTGATCTGCTGCAGGAAAGACACCCAAGGCAGCAGCGAGAGCTTCTCCTCGGACAGTTGTTACCGTGCGGCTGCCGTCATCGTGCACGAGCTGCTGCGCGGCAGGAGTCTTCCCACGGACGCCTTTGCGCTTCTGCGGCAGTTGCTGTGCGTCCTTGACCACTCTGAGCGGCGGCAACTGCGGCAGCAAATCACAAGCGCAGCAGCTCTAGCAGGGCGTGAGGCGCTGTTGCAGGCGCATGCGGTCGTCTCTCCGAAGGCGTGGTCGCATGCAGCAAGGCTCCTTGCAGCCGCGGAGCATGAGGAACTGACGCTTCAGCACAAATTGAGCTTCCTCTCGGGGGTTCTGCAGGAGCAGCCCTCTTGGGCTAGGATGCGGTGTTGTTGCTGCGTCAGCAGTGCATGCTGCAGCGGCGAGTGCAGCGTGAGTGGCAGCAACAACACGAACAGCAGCAGTAGTAGCAGCAGCAACAACAACGGCAGCAACGAGAACAACAGCAGCAGTATACGCATTACAGAGGAGGAATTCGGGTTCGGTGCAGCCTTCTGCTGGCAGGCAGCGGTGGCCTTCCTCTCTGATTCTGACAGTGCCGACGTCGGCGACAATGTGCTTCGTGAGGCGATTCATGCAGCTGCAACGACGGAAGATGATACAGTGAAAGACGGGTTGCTGCTGGTGCTCATGTGCGGCCTTACAGTGGCAGCTACTGAGGGTCGTGGCAGCCAGTCCATTAGCAGCGGCGGCGGGAGGATGAGTCTCGTGAGCAACACTAGGAAGGCTTTGTCGCGTGCAGCAGGAACGCCAACAACTGCTGCTGGAAGCTGCAAGCCCTCCTCCCTGCTGCAGCAGGTGCACGAGGCCCTTGTGTATATAGTCAGCGAGCAGAAGCGGCGGCAGGCGCTACTCCTCCCCTTGCTGAAGCTGCTGCTCAAAGCAGCAAATGAAGAGCAGCAATGCCTTACGAAGGAGCATGCCGCCTTGACGCCGCTGCGAGTGATTGCCCTGGTGTCGGCTGCTGCTGATGCTGCCGTTGCTGCTGCTGCGTCTGAGCCGCAGCAGCAGCAGCAACAACAACGGCTTACGGCTTTCTGCGTGCTGCGGGATATGCTGCACTGGGTATCTGGCTCCTGCGAAGGAGCGAAGGCAGCAGCCTCGCGGGGGGGGTGTCTCTCTGCTGCCGAGGCTTTGTGCGTTGCAGCGGCGACGGATGCGGGGGCCGTCTTTGCTGCGTCTTTCGCTCTGGCTGCGGCAGATGGATGCAGGGGTGGATCGAGATCTGTTTCAGAGGACGCTGCATTCTTGCGGCAGCAGGCTTGTGCATTTACGTCGGCAGCAGAGCATGTAGCAGCAGGCGTGGGGGGTGCGGACGGAGGTGCGGTCTGCGCTTCGTTGCTGCGGGTAGCTGCGGCTCTTACTGCAGCGTGGATTCGAGTGCAGCCCTCCTTGCAGCAGCAGGAGACGCAGCAGCTGCAGCAGCAGAGTCGCGTGCTGCTCTGCGCGGCGGTCAAGGAGCTGTTACAGAGGCACCAGGCAGCAGCGCGAACGCAGCCTGAGGTGCTGCAAGAGCTCGCCTGCACCGACGCTGCGTGCGCGTTTCTCGTGGCCGTATTTCCTGCGGCTGGCTCCTTGGTAGCCGCAGAAGAGAATCGGCAGATGATGACTGCGCTGGCGCTGCATCACCTCGCGCACGCCCTACCCCTGCTGCGATCGGCGTCCTTCACCAGGGAGGAGAATCACTGCTGCTACTGCTGCGACTGCTGCTGCTGCCTTCCCCCAGTGTGCTTCGGCCTGCAGCTGGCGGCGCTGCTGCTGCAGCAGCGGCAGCATCTGGAGCCTGAAGCAGCCCAGAAGCTGCTGGCACTTTTTGTGCACACGGCGCTTGCTGCGGAGAGCTGCCTGTTGAGAGGGGAAGAGCGAGAAGAGCGCCTGCAGCAGCAGACACTTTGCCCCGCAGTTCGAAGGTATTCGACATGCCTGCTCAGCAGTGTGGCGCTTGCTCTAGAGTCTTCTCTGCGAGTCTCGGAAAACGCGGAGGCGATTCTCGCTGCGCCTCTGCTTGGCCTCCGGTGCAGCGCGCTGCAGCAGCCGCTGATGAAGGCTTTGCACACTTTTCCTTGGGGCATGCGCACCATTTGCAGCACCGTCAGCAGCAGCGGCCTTCTGCCCGCTGCTGCTGGCGTTGCTGCGGGAGCTGGAGACTTCGGCAGTCCTGCCTTGGCGGATGCCTCCCTTCCTCTGCATGTGCTTCTCCGTAGGGGTCTTCAGGCAAGCCGAGACGCTGCAGAGCGTGAGGCAGACGCGGCAGCAGCTGCCGTCGCTGCAAACGGAAGCGTGCAAGAGCAGTCAACAGCAAGCAGCGCGGAGGCGCAGCGCTCCCTGCTAGACCGTTTCATGAGGGCGGTGGAGGAGGAAGGGGACACTGAGCAAGAGGAGACTGAGGAGGCAGCGGAGGCAGAGGAGCAGCGCCATTTGCTGCAATTGCAGCTGCGGCTGCAGTCGCACGCCACGTCCGAAGGAGAGGGAGCGACAGAAAAAGGCCTTCTTGCCGCTGCAGCGCCTACCCCGCGCGTGGCTCCAGCAGAGGCGGGAGACGTTGATAATGCCGGTCCGTGCAAGTGGAGCGCAGTGACAAAAAAATGCAGGTGGCAGGATCTTCTGTACTTGCTTGTAGAGAGCGCGTGTAGAAGAAGCACAGGGGGAAGGGTGGGAAGCGGTGCAACACGTTTCGATTCTCTGCATCCCCAGCAATCAACGTATACCGTGGAGAGGCCTGTGTGCATGTGTTTGTGCGTTTGTGTTTGCTGCGGTATCTTTTTCTACAGAGGCTTCCGTAGAGTTAGGCCGTGCCGTACTGCAGAGTTTGTTGCAGCCGCTCTTTGGCAGCAGCTTTGCGGTTCTGCTGCTTGAGACTCATGATGTCGCCGCACGCTTGCTTGCCCTGCACTTGCCAGCTGAGTGCAGCAGCGGGGGGGGCGGGAGCGCCTCTGAAGTGGCTGTACAGCGAGACGCTGCGCTGTGCCTCCGGGGGTGGGTGCTGGCGCTCGAGGCCGCTAGCCAGGCTGCAGCTCCTGCGTTGCAGCCACACGATGCGGAAGACACTCCGCAGGCATTCGAGCTGACGCTGCTGCAGGCTGTTCTTGCAGTTCGACCTGCTGCTGCGGCAGATGCGGCTGCAGCGATAGAGCTCCCGCAGGTAGCAGCAGCAGCCGATAGGAACGCCTCGATGGCACAGAGTTGTCTAGATGAGACTGCTGCTTGTGGGGGATTCGCGCCGTGCGGCTGCAAGGGCTGCCTTCTGCTTTCAAATCTGAGGAGCTTGTCTCTCGGAGAGGCGCTGGTGCAGATGCTCTTTCACATTCTAACGTATTACGAGGAAGCGGCGGCTGCAGCTCGAGCAGCGGCAATGGCTCAGCAGATGGGGCAGTCCGAATCGTCTGCAGGATCAATGAGCGACGCTGTCTCGTACGTGAGCCCGTGGCTGTGTGGCGGCTTAAAAGCAACGCCAGTCTCGAGCTTGAGGCTTCCGAGCCGCTGTGGGATTTCCGAGCTTCCGCATGCGTCTGCTGCTCGCGGAGAGGAAGGCTGTGGACTGCTGCAGCAGTTTCCTGTGTTGCAAAGCGGCTGGGAAGATCTGGGGGAACCGTTTTTGTGGCTGCTCGCCTCCCGCGTTTACGCGCTGCTGCTCCTTGCTGCCCCGCGTAAGGCGCTCGATGTCTAAGAACCTCTGGTCGGACCTCCTTCGGCTGTCTAGAGAAGCCTTCCGGCTGTTTTTGCTGCCGCTGAAATCTGCTGTTGCCGCCGACGGCAACAGCAGATTCCAGCGTGTCTCTGTACATCGATAGGAGCGCTTGCTTTTTTGCATCTGCAGATTGTATTCGGAAAGTCTGGAGCCATTGCGCCGATGCGGGTGCCCGGCAGCAGCTGGAGTCTTTTACGGAGAGGTTCATTACGCCTTGGTAGGCTTGGCTATCGCGTGCTGCTGCTGAGGGTGTTGTGTGGTAGCTGCTGTCCAGACGGCAGCAGCAGCTGCAGCTGCTGCTGCTGGTGCTCTGCCGGTAGATGCGGCGCGAGAAGCTGCGATGTCTGGAAGAGCTTTCCGGCTAACGCGTGCTCGCAGCCTCGTTCGTGATCCCCCCCTTTTGTAGAAAAGAGCGACTCCGCCAGTGGTCGGCTTTCGCTTGCTGGCCCCTCTCTGCGTGTGCCTAACTTTGCAGGTTCATGGAAGAGGAGTCGCGGCGCTGCTCCCTGCTCGTTGGCAGTGGTTGCGTGCGTCTCGTGAACTTTGAGCCGCGCATGCGTCGCATCATGGCAACCTGCAGAGAAGAGGCGGCCGATTTTTCTGTGAAAGTGGCTGTCCACTTTCCCAGGGGCTTCCCTTTGCAGCGTGCAAAGCTAGTTCTCCCTGAAGAGACAGTTCCCGGTGAGGCGTTGTCCTTTCCCGCATGCTGCCAGCCGACACAGTCTGCATGTCGGGGTGCAGGATAGTGGTCAGGCTGCTGCTTTCTCGGGGGTGTTAGGCAGCGATGGTGCGTATATATGCAGCTACACCTCGCGTTGAAGGGGTGTTCGCCTTCGGCTCGGGTGGGTGACCTTCTCTCTGAACAGCCGTTCCCCTGTATTCCTACTTTCTGATGCTGCAGGTGTTCCGAGGGGGCGTCTGGGGTGGTGGACTCTTGCCGCTTCTGCTCTAATGGAACGCACGTGTGCTGCGCGTGGACTGGCCCTGTGGTCTGCCAACCTTTCGCTCTTCTTTGAAGGTGCTGAGGAGTGCCCTATCTGTTTCTCTGTTATACACCCCCAGCAGCGAACAATGCCAAGGAAAAAATGCGGCACGTGCCGCTACAAGTTCCACGCCGAGTGCATTTATAAATGGTTCAAGACTTCCCGGAAGTCCAACTGCCCGCTCTGTCAATCTCCATTCTGACGCGCGTGCACTATATATATATATGTACACATATAGAGAGAGCTCGAGGAAAAGAGCAGATGCAAAGCGGTCCAGCGCTGTCGCGTATTTCCTATCCAACGCACGCATGCGCTGTTTTATGTGTAGTACGGGAACCCGGCCTTCGCGTTTTTCCTTTTGGTTCAGTGCGATGACAGAAAAAAGCAAGGTGGCCTCATAGTCGCTGTACACAGATTTAGATACGAGGTTCACAATTTCGGACGCTGCGTGCTACGCGTAAGCCTGTCCATTCAATTCAGTCATGACGGTTTGCCTCGGCGAGAGGGCGGGGCCATTGCCAGGTGTCATGCGGGCGCAGACGGAGGATCTGCAGTCTCGCTGAGCACTTCAGATTCAAGTGTTCTGGGTCGGGGCACATTGGGATGAGAGACACGAACGGCGAAACGGTTCTGATTATTACGCTACGGCGTGAGTCTAGAGAGCTCTAAAAGCCATAGCCGATGAATGCATGCACTCCGTACCACCGCCAGTGTGTTAAGCACGTCAGGTAGCAATCAACCCTCAACCAACTGGAAAAGCGAAAATACAAGTAAGTGCCTTCAGCAGAAGCCGCCTCCCCGGGCAGAGCCAAGCTATCCAAGGATCTCTGTAAACGGCAGCGCTATGGGCAATATACGAAGTGAACGCGGAGCGCGGGAGAACTTGCAAGCGGAAAACACTTGCGCTTTAGCTAAGCCAGCTCTCGATTCAAAGCAAAACATGGGCACTACGCAGTTTCACATGCATACCCATGCTGCACACTCATGCAGCTATCGTCGGCCTGTTCCTGGGTGGCACTAAAAGATGTGTAGGCACTACTTGAAGCATGGAACGCATCATCGAATGACAGTCGCGCGGAAAAGTGCGCCAAAGCGTTTTGGTGTGTGTCCCTCCAGTAATCTACTTCAACCTACTTGAAAGTCGGGAGAAAGCAAAGTGGCGAGTACCCACAACAATTTTAATCCCCACATTTTCCCGTTGCACAAACAGTGCCGCATTTACTCACTGTAAAGGATGCACACATACCCAATGAACTGTACACCCGCGCGTGAGAGCGCTGATGCCTGAAGCTTCATCCAATAAGCGCCATGCGGTTCGGTATTCTACAGCGTGCATCCTTCTATGAATGCTTCAGAATCAGTTTGTGGGGAATCTGACAGTTCCTGAAGTGAAACTTGATACAACAGCTGGAATGCCCCGATATGCTCTGCGACTCAATTGGATATATGCTGAATGCTAAATGTTCAAGTTCAGAGAGCTAGCGTAGCGGACGTCGAGAAGCAGAGAAAAGTTATCCGCACCTCACCAAAAGAGTCAGCACACCATGAACTCTATCTCGCAGTGCTTCCGCTCTTTCTTCACTGCGGCGTAGCAGACCTTTCTACATTTGCAATTCCCATTTGACCTTAGCACTTATTTCCGCTGTCGCTGTTGGTGCTGTTTCCGTAGCTACTGCCTTGGATATTGTTCTACCTGTTTTGACGAGGCATGGGTATTGGGGTGGACGCCTCTGGTGGGGAAAGTGCTGTCAAGAGGCGTTTCTGTGGCACTCTGTAGTCAAAGGAGCGAGAGCACGCCGTGCCAAGCGCACACTAGAAGTGGAAAGTTTTGGCCTGGAATGACTGGATTAACTTGATTGGTAGCACTGGAAGTTTAAGTGCAGGATGGGAGACCTCGTGGGGGCAAGTCTTTCATTCGGCACACGGTGTGCAGCCCACAGGATTTGCAGGCTCACGCAGTGATCTAAGGACAAGAAAAGAGAAGGGCTGAGGCTGCCTCGGCGCCACTCCTTTGGTTTGTAAATTTCGGATCTTCTCTTGCATGCTCAGTCCGGGAAACGGGCAACCGCCGAAAGCCTTCGTGGCCCACTACAAGCTTCCTATATATCGTGGAAACACATGCAGAAAGTCGCCCTTTGCCTGACGTATGAAGACGACCATGGCAAGAAAGCTGGACTCGCTTCGAGCACCCAATTTCCCAACCCAACGAAACTGCCTACTAGCGCATGCGCGGGTAAAAACGGCTACGGATGATCAATTCTCGTGCAGAAAGCCGAATCATGACCATTTAACCTCTCAATAAGAGGCTTGCGCTATTTCTACACTTAACTTCTCATGGCGGTGTCAAAGCAGCCGCCCTCCCGGCCTTAGCGGGGCCTTCCATGTGTGAGCGCTCGAGGTGTGAACCTGCCGCTCAGGCAGGAAAACAGGCTTGTGAGATTCTTATTTCAAAAAGCTGTTGGCCTTATTGGCTTCCGACCGAAGGCAAGATTCGCCCATAAGTGCCTCCTTGGATGAGGCACTTTGTTCCCCACAGACAGGGGTGATCCCGGTGAGCGTATGGCCTGAAGCGTCCATCCTTCCTGGGGTGTCTGTCGAGGTCGAAGGGCCATACATCGATTTTCTGCGCAAGAACGCCGTGCTTTTGGTAGCGCCTTTCGCATGTGTGGTGGAAGCTCGTTGCCTCGATCCGAAGTCGTACATACACCCCCGAAGCCAGGAGAACGTCACAAGTTGCTGCCTCTTGCGTGCGTTGCTTGCTTCCCTCCTTCCGCGTTCAGCTCTACGCGACACTGCAGGGAAGATGACGGCGCAAAAGCCGGCAACATCAGCGGCAGAAGGCAGCCCACGAGCGGCGAGAGACATCGTCGTAGTCTTTGATTTCGGCTCTCAGGTGTCTCGCCTGATCGTCCGTAGACTAAGGGCTATCGGTGTCTACTCAGAGCTGTTGGCTTGCACTGCAACGGTGGAGGTACGTCTTCTAGTGCCTTCCTGAGGCCCTTCCTTCCCGCCCCCCTCCCTCTCTCCCCAAACCCCCGCGTAGAAGTATTCTCTGCGTAGCTCCTCTCAGTTAGGACATGTTTTGAACTTTTGTATCCCACGACGTGCTGCCGCTCTTCCGCTGTACGTCTTTGCCGTCCTCTGCAGGAAGTAACGCAGGCGCGACCTGCTGCCGTCGTCCTCAGCGGGGGCCCCTCTTCAGTGTACGAGGAGGGGGCACCCCACATTCGCCGGGATGTGTGGAACTTGCTCCTGCGCAAGAAGGTGCCTGTACTGGGCATATGCTACGGCATGCAGGAAATTGTGCATCTTCTGGGAGGGCGCGTCGTGGGGGAGGGTCACCGGGAGTTCGGAAAGACCGACATTTCCCTCTGCCAGCTTCCCGGCGAGCCGCTGCTGGATGCTGCAGCGGCAGCAGCTGCCGCAGCTGCTGCAGCTGCCGCTGCTGCAAGGGACGAGTGGCCAGTGCCGGCCGCGCATGCGGGCACCCCAGCCCTAGGCGATCTGTTCTACGGGATCGAAGGGCCCCAAGTGCAAGTTTGGATGAGCCATGGCGACAAAGTGGAAAATCTGCCATCTTCATTCTCCGTGAGGCCTTCTTCGAACGCCCGCGCATTCATGTTACACGAGAGGCGTCCAAGTTTAGGCTTGCAGGGGTGTAGACTTTCCCAAGGAGATTGGCGTGCCTACCCCCCGTCCACGGGGCAGTGCGGGAGGGGATCGGGAGCGACGTGTAGCTGCGCAAACGCCAGCCAGTTGCTCCCCCTTCTGCACCTGCACTCGCCTAGAGGTCCAGAGGCGTGCGCGGGGACTGTTTGTCTGCATGCATGCAGCGCGAGCGACGCGCTACGGGGCCCGCGTCCGCCTATTTCGGTGTGAGGGGCGATGCGTGTCGCTTTTCAGGCCCTAGCGTCCACACCCAGCTGCCCGTTTGTGGCAGCTGCATCGCCCTCTCTTGGGATTTACGCCTTGCAGTTTCACCCAGAAGTGACCCACACTCCGTGCGGTGCCGCCCTGCTCCGCAACTTTGCGCAGCGTATTGCGCGTTTAGAGCTTACGTGGAATATGCAGCACTTCTTGCCCGAGCAGATTCAGCGCTTGAAGGAGCAAGTCGGAAGCGCCCCCGTTGTGGGCGCCCTCTCTGGAGGCGTCGATTCTACAGTGGCTGCAGCCCTTCTTCATAAGGCAATAGGCGACAGTTTCCACGGCTTCCTCATCGACACAGGACTCCTCAGGTTAGCGACTCGCGGACGCTCGCAGCTGCATCGAGATGCAGTACAAGACGTGGGGGTTGCAGCAGGGCAGCTGCCGCTGTTGCTGTCTTGCCGACCTGGTGCAGAGGGCTGGTTGGGAAAAGCGGGGTGGGGAGGGAGGAGAAGGATTCACGCACGCACGCACTTGAAAAATCCAGTTTCTTAGAGGGCCTCGCTGTTGCGTGTGTCAGGGCCTATTCGCCGTGACAGACTCTGCTTCCCTGTGCAGCTTTTCCCGGGGATGCGGCGTTTAAAATTCAGGGGCAGAAGCTATGTGCATGTTCACCACCACCCAACAGTGGCTGCTCTGCCCGTGTTTCTTTCGAGTAGAGGTCGTACATACGCATATCCATACTTCTATGCATGCACATGTGGATGGAGTCCTCTACTCGCGTGTCACCTCTGTGCATAATATTACAATGTGCCGGTGTGCGTACCTTTTTTTTGACTCCTGTAGCATTGCCTGTGCAGAGTTCCCTTCTCTTCCCACATGGAGCATTAGCCGTGCGGCTTCTTCGGTGTCGTTCAATATTTCCGTTGGCCGTTGTTTTTAGCGTTTTTTTCGGCCCTTTTCCCCTTTCATTTTGCGTGTTGACGTGGTTTATCTATGCATGACACGTTGCCTGTATCGCGTTCCCCGGAGCGCCACCTTGCCCAAAGAGAACTCCTGCGATACTAAGCCCTCTCTGAATGAGGCCCCAGGACGGCAAGGCAACGGGCTTGGTGTGTCTCTGTCTGTGCGCGCCTCAGGAAGAATGAAGCAGCAGACACCCTGGTCGCCCTGAGAGAGTGCTTCCCCAGCCTTGACATTGAGTGCATCGATGCCAGCGCCAAGTTTTACGCCGCCTTAGATGGCGTGACGGATCCAGAGAAGAAACGCAAAATCATAGGGGCACTTTTTATTGAGGTCTTCGAGGACGCTGTCAAACAGAAGAACTTGAACACGCAAGGCACCTATCTCTTGCAGGTACGAGAAGGCGTCGAGATTTAAATCCGTTTTCTTGCCTAGCGGTGCAAGGAGGGCTGCAGCAGCAGCCGAGAGCAAGCAGCGCTTGGGCTGCCGCGCTCCTCTCCTTGCTGCATCTAGCCGTGTCCGTCCTTGCGGCCAGCTGCCTGTGCTGGTTCTTTCGTGCTCCTCCCACTGTCTCTTGGGGTAGCAGTGGCGCAGTTCGCAGCCATAGAGGGCGAGGAGACACGGTGCTTCAAGGTCTTTGCTATCTAGGAGGCTCCCTGTGTATGCAGGGAACTCTTTATCCAGATGTCATCGAGTCAAAATCCTACAAGGGCCCCTCTCACACCATCAAGACCCACCATAACGTGGGCGGCCTACCGGAGCGGATGCATTTGCAAGTTCTAGAACCCCTCCGCGATCTCTTCAAAGGTAGGCTGTCGAAGAGCGCGTTTGATTGCTTCTTGCTGGAGGATGGTCTGTGGTTTAGTCAAGGATGGGGCCTCCACGGGACTGTGGTGACACGTACATAGTGTCTCGCTGGCGTCCATGTCTCTCAAGGGCTTTTTTTCTGCGCTTGGAGTTCTTTCCTACTCGCCAGGGTTTCACACGTCCTGCCTTGTTTGTAAAGCTTTTGACTTTTGCTTGCCGCAGATGAAGTCAGAGTGATGGGGAGGGCACTGGGACTGCCGGAGGAGAGGATCGAGAGGCACCCGTTCCCTGGTCCTGGGCTGGCTGTGCGCATTATTGGCGCCATCACTCCCCAGAGAGTCAAAGTCCTGCAAGAAGCTGATGCAATCTTCATCCAGGAGATCGTCAAGGCGGGGCTGTACAGTGCTATTGGACAGGTGCGTGCATGCGTGCATGCGTGTGTGTGTGCGCGTCGCCCGCGCTGTTGTGACGCGGGCCTTGTGTTCGCAGTTTCCGCTGCCATAGAGGACGGCGCATTAGCCGAGCCATCACCCCTTCGCGAATGCAGAGCGCTGTGAGCGTGTTTCTCGAGGCGATCGCGTTTCAGGGGGATTTTGCTGGAGCTGGGATTGCGCACTGTTTCAGGCCTTCGCCGTGCTTCTGCCCGAGTGCCAATCTGTGGGCGTTATGGGTGACGGCCGAACCTATGAGGCTACATGTGCCCTTCGCGCAGTAGAGACATCCGACTTCATGACGGCGGATTGGTTCAGAATGCCTCTTGATGTGTTGGCAGTTGCAAGCTCGAGGATAACGAATGAAGTTCGCGGCATCAATAGGGTGGTTTACGACATATCTTCCAAGCCACCGGCCACCATTGAATGGGAATAATGGGCAGGTGCCACCACTGAATGGGAATAATGTGCAGGTGCATAGTATTTGGAATGATCTATTGGGATGTCACGAGAAGGGCACCCGCCAGATGTATGGCGTGCAGAAGCTCTGGCCGACGCACAAGTTGCCTACGCCTAGTTTCTCACATTGAGGCTGGCAGGTCTCTCCCTCATCGGCTGCTGCAGCAAGAGTGGCGAGTTGGGCTTTGCTGCTGTGCCTTTTAGTGGCCGTGCTGCAATGGGAAAGCAGTCGTTGAGAACCTGCGGCGTAAGAATAGAAGGGGGGGGGTGCGACGATGGGGGATCGATTGCATGCAGAGATGCCGCATTCATTAGGCTTTCGGCGTTTCTCCTCGCTTCTTTCAAAGCACTTCATAGGCCTCTGCTAGGGAGGTGCGATGAAAGCCTCAGACATTTTGTTAGTGCGCGGCTGGCCTGCGCTTGAGGACAGGCAACTGAGACGCAGGCTGGCGCGTGGTTTTATAGGGGCAGGTAGTCAGCCTGCTGGCTGAGCAATCTGGCTATGCGGGGGGTGGTGGACGCTACAGTTTGCCAGTCTGCAAGCCTGCAGCGCGTAGTCGACGATGTTACCTACTGCGGAAGCTTTGGGCAAAAGCTGCTTGTGCAGCGTGTTTGTCTTTGTCTATTTCTTTCGTGGAATGTCTAGAGGAAAGGCTTTGGGTTTGTCCGGCCATAGAAAGCAAACTACACGTCTGGCAGCGGCGGAAGGGGCTCACAAGGGATGCCGCACGTAGCTCTGAAGGGTGGCTTGTGGGAGTCAGTGTGAGCGCTCTCTGATCGCGAGTGCCTGAGCTCTGCACGTAAGTGGTTCTAGAGGATGCCTAGAAAAGGCGATGCGCTGGAGGGGCTGTTGGCTTTGTACTTGCTGTGGCTATTCAGTGGGATTCTAGCAAGTCCCTGAGGTAATGTTAGGGCGCAGTGAAGCTGCCAAATCCCGCTGTGTGCAACGCTTGCTGAAGCTCAGTGCAAGCGAGCGGCGTCGCCATGCCACGCTTGCAGAGAGCGAGCATTCAGCGGTCTACGCGAGGCACGCGGATTGCAGAAAGTGGAGTAAAGGAGGCAGGATGGAAGTGTAGGAGTTGCCTGTTCTTTGAATTCTTGCATTGTCTCAAAAGGACTGCAGAGATCCTCTTAGCAGGAGGCCCTCTCTGTGTGGCGCGAGCTGCCGGCGGGAGGCTCAGCCCCACACAGACGGTGTTGTCCGCTCAACAGCGGTCCTTCTTCAGTGTGGGCATCGTGTCGGCAGCACTTCCGCAAATAATTTGTATTCGCCTTCTTTCGACGTCGCTTCTTACGTCGGCGTGCGTGGCTGCAGGCTGCGTGCGCAGGGAGCTCCAGTGCGTCTGCTCGGTTCTTCTCTGCGGCTTTTCGCTGAAGCGCCTTTAGACCATGAATCTCGGGGGTTCCTGGCCGGTTCGTTTGCTTCTGCTTCCAGCTAATAGCTGCCAGTTCAACTGAGAAAGCGTGATCTGTCCAGGGAGCTGCGAGATCAGAGGCTGCGTTTGCGCCAAACTGCCGATGCCCTCGACTGCACTGAGTTCTTGGGGCTGCCGCTTCTCCTGCCCGGTGACCTTTCTTCCATTGGCTTCGTAGCTGCTTCCGCTTTGCAATGTTTGATTCTGCCCTAGGGGGCTCTTCAGGAGCCTCTTGTGGCTCCCAAAGGCGCATCCACTGCACGCTGGAGGGTCCCCGTGAGGGGGCCTCCGTGAAGGCGGAAACAACCCCGTTTAGCCTAGAGGAATTCAAGCAGGGTGTGCGCATTAAGATCTTGGAGAGCAGTGAGGAGAGCATTGTGCTAGAGCTGAAAGGCTGTGACGCATCTCTAGCAAACGCCATCAGACGCATCCTCATCAGCGAAGTTCCCACTGTCGCTCTAGAGACCATCCAGGCAGGCCTCAAGCCCAAGGCTTGTAGCACCTCTCATGGGCTTTGTTTTAGCAGGGGAAGATGGAGGGGGGGGGATAAACGGGGGGAAATGTGGGGTATACGGGGTCGGAAGGCTGTGCACTGGGGCAGCTCTCGCTGCCTTCTGAATGCTGGCGGAGGCGGGAGAAGGGGAGAGGGGGGAGGAATGAGGGAAGAAAAGAAGGGGGACAAATGGGGCAGTGGGTGTAGTGTGATGCGGTCGGCGGGAGCCATGTTCTGCTCGCTCTCCTGAGCTTGCAGCTCTTCATTCAATTGCACTTCAAGACTTTCCTTCCTGTCACCGGGGGTTGTGTGTCTGCTGCTGCAGATGTGGCAAAATACTGGCGTCGTGCAAGACGAAGTCCTCGCGCACCGCTTAGGCCTCATTCCCTTCCGCGTGGATCCGGGAAAATTGAAGTTTAGGGGCCCTTCCCAAGAGCTCGGAGAAGAAAATGCTCTCAAATTCAGACTTCATGTCAAGTGTACAGCCGCAGACCTCAAACCCTACCAGACTTCCATGCCGGGTAGGTTTGTAGTGTAGGGGGAGGGCGGAGGATGGGGGTTGGCAAAGAGGCAAGAGGCACTTTCTTACAAGCATTTGCAGGAGAGGCTTTCGTTGCTCCCCGAGACAGCACACGCTGCTGCTAAGAACGGGTTGCGCAACAGGAGCTCTCCTGTTTAGTGGCTTCCACCGCGTTTTCACTCTGCATGCGCTGCAGTGTATGCAAAGAACCTTACATGGATTCCCCTCTCCGAACGTCAGAAACAGAAATTTGCAGAAGATCCTCCGGCCCCCGTTCACCCTGACATCTTAATCACGAAGTTGAGGCCAGGCCAGGTGACACGGAAAAAGAGACGTTTTGCTGGCATGTATACGGTGTTTCTTCTCCCTCTAGCTAGCTAGCCACTAGGCCAGCAAGCGCTGAGCCCTAGAGGAGGGTAGCCAGGGAAATTTCGTCTCCTTTCGGCTTCTGCCATGCGTGAAGGCGCTTCATTCCTGTTGCTGCGCACAAAGCTTTACGACTGCGCTGTGCAGGAAATCGAACTGGTCGGCTTTCTGGAGAAAGGATTGGGAAAAACGCATGCCAAGTGGTCGCCAGTGGCCACTGCGGTGTATCGGCTGGAACCTGAGTTCGGTAAGCCTTGCAGTGTACGTGCAGCCTCAGTGTCTGAACACGGTCTTGCGGGTGTCTCTCTTCATGAGCTGCTTTACTTTGGCCGCAAACGCGCAAAGTTTTATGGGAGGAGTCTTACTGCCTGGATATTATAGCCTCGAGTTCCTCACCTCTGTAACTGCACCTTCTACAGACCTTGGCTTCCATCACTTCATGACGCTGACGCTGTGTGTTGCGGTGGGGGTGCTGCATGGGCCTGTACTGCATGCATCCTTGCTTCGAAAATTTCACTGATATGTTGCTGCCTGCTTGACACGTGACCATCGGCTCGGTAAATCCCCTTCCCTGATCTACTTATTTCAAGCGGCAGCGCTTGCTGAGCCTTGCACTCTAGAAGAGAGGCAGAAAAAGAATCCGATCTACCCCTAAACACTGCAAAGGCGCTGACTGCTCAGTATTCACGAAGCCAATCGAAGGAGAAGAAGCAGAAGAGCTCAAGGAATTATGTCCCATGGATGTCTTCGACATTGAAGACGCTAGTGAGAAACTTTCCACCGGACCCGGCACACCACTCATGACCATCACGAATCGCGATTTGGACTAGGCAGGGAGGCGCAAGGGTGCATGAAATAGATGTCTCTATATATATACATGCTACGTGCGTGTATATGGATGTATGTATACCCACACATTTATACGAAAGGCTGATTATAATTGTACTTCCTTCTGGTATACACAGTGATCACGTGCGATACATTCAAGAGCCTTCGACTCTTTCATTGTTGCATCAAGAGGAGGCTCCGTGGGTGCAGGGCTGCATGTCTAGGTCGGCAATGTGCAACTCGATCTCTCATTATACCCTTGTATGTGCGGAGCTGCTCAGTGCGTGCATACGTCTTGTTTTGTGCTTAGCTGGATGCGCATATGCGAAGTTTCCCAGAAGGTGCACAACATGCCGCGCGTGTCTGGAGCGGTTTGAGGGCAGCCTTCAACTGAACAAGATCCCAGATCAGTTCATCTGTCAGCTACCAATGAGCACTACTCTACCCCCCTATAAGTGTAGCCCTATTTACTATTTGCCAAGAGCGCGCTTTTGTGTCTGACAGATACCGTCAAATATGCAGTTGTACATGTGTAGCAACGCAGCAGTGCGCACCCGAACCTGCGCTGCTTATTCCTCCCTGCTTGTTTGCAGAAGGGGAATTCGCGCATGTGTATTCGGGGTGTGAGGGTGGCTGTGCATGCTTATGGTTGTTGTGTGCCACGCAGTTTCCATCGAGTCAACTTGTGCTATACCCGCTCCAAAGTTGTTTAAGGTGAGCGAGCGATCCCGATTCTCGTGCTCACATACGGATGCGTGGTTTGTAATTGTATGTGGCTGGCAAGCGACGCACGTCGGAAGGGGTATTTCTGGGTGATTACTCTGTGCTCAGATGGCTCTTGAAGTTTTGAAGGAAAAAGCCATCACTTTCCGCGAGATTATCAGGACGAAACAGCTGGAGTGACAAATACCCGGGTCTTGCGTGCAAGCCAATGCAAGCGAATAGCGCCAAGTGGCTTTAGAAGATGCAGACATGGCAAGTGAGGGAGAATTGTAGGTGTACATGTATATGCATATATACATATATATATCTATCCATGTGCGCGTATCGCCATGGCGGTGCAAGCCACTACTACCAAAGTTGAAGGGATCTGCTCACAGCTGATTGCAGGACTGCGTCATCGCAGTGCAGACAGGGGTTGTATATTAACACCCATCGTGCGACCTGCGGTCTTCCCTTTTTTGAATGGGCATTTCCTTTTGTTTCCATATTGTGAGATGGATTAAAGGCGCCGGTCAAAAGGGGATATCATTGCAAGGCGACTAAGGAAGCGCGATCGTAGGGCACAGAGCTTAGGTTAAGGCGTTTGACGCATGTTGCCTTGGGCGTTCTATAGGATAACGTGGTTTTTAGTCCTAAACGGGCAGGAGGAGGCTGCATCCAAACCCAAGAGGTGTTTTCTGATGCTCATCTGTAATACAAGCAACGGTTAAAGTAACCAAACGGAAGTCCACCGTATTCATATGCACAAACCATATCCTGTAGGAGCTAGGGGAGTCGTCTGTTTATAGTGGGGAAGTGCTTGCCTATTGCACCTCATGGAATGTTTGGCTTTATTGCGTGCTGAGGGTCAGAAAGGTGGGGTAGAATTCAACAGCTAATTTTTTAGGGGAGCAGCTCGATGAGCAACACCGTCTCACCAAGTGAAAAATCGGCAAATCTTTTCCTCTAGCTTGCACCCAGGACCCCATAGAGACAACAGAAAAAAATGGAAAAATAAGCATAGAAGGGACCGCTAGGCGAGCAGCCAAAGGTATCACGCAGACGGGTGAGCCAGTTCGGGACGGGGGTATGTGAAGTGCTGCTCCATAAGGTTTAGCTTAGGAGCCATTGTTTGCTTTCTTTTGTCGTATCAACTCAATTGGGCATGCGCCAGAATTACATAGAGCGAAAGCTTGTAGTAGTAGGGGAAATATGTTTTCGCGTCACTTCAGCTATCAAGACACCCCACGAGAGGACAGCCATCAGCGTGGGATTTTAGGCGAACATGCCTCTTAATAGCAGGACCATTTTAAAGTTAAAAACGCATTTATTGTGGCTACGGATGGCCGAAAATAGGGAAAAGAGATCATAAGATTCCCTAGGATCAGCACCAGTCTACGTCTAGTTGTTCATACGCTTTTGGCTGCGCCAAGAAAAGTACCGGAGAAATATATCATTGGGGCTGCAACCTCTCTGTTTGTGTCAGTGGATTCAGCAGAAGCGGGAAAATCAGCTTCCTTCAATAGTCTACCCCCCGTCTAGTGTTCCCGCCGTAGCTCAAAAGCTGCATCTGGGGGCATGGCTCTCGTCAGAAGGCTCATCTGCCTTCTTGGGGCGTCCATTTGGGGCCCTGTCTGGCAGAAGTTGAGCTTTCCATGAGCAGAAATAGACTGTCTGTGTGTGCTGTGGCCCTTGGCACGAGACATGCAAACTTCCTGCATCACCACTGTACGGTGCAGCCTTTCACAAAATCTCAACGCGCGTAGGGTTTGGTCTGCGAAGTTCCCACACTGCTGGTGCAGCTAGGCGGTTCGTACAGTGAAATCAGATGCCCTAAGTGCCGCTCCAAGACCGATGTCGTGCGGCTCCCCGCATCGTTCCCCCTGAACCCTCTGTCGAGGAAGACCCTCACACCCTTTGCTCCAACGCATGCAAGTTGGCTCGGCAGACCTCAGGGTTTGTGTTTTGGGATTTTTCTTGCTTTGCCTTCGCCCAAATGCGGGAGTTTCCCGGGGGTGTCACATCGAATGCCGGCTGCTCTCCCTCCAGCACTTCCTCGCACAGAGCCTCTCAGTGGCCGCTGCCTACGCACTCGTCAAACGCTACCCCTACACCGCAGCTAAGAGGCCCCTCCACGGGCAGCCCAACGAGCGTTTTAGGGGCCTCTCAAGAGGCCCCTAAAACAGCGTTGGGGTATGCGTCTCGCCTCTCGAGCAACCCGCACAAGGGCCCCGTGGGAGGTCCTGAGGGCAAAGAAAATGCAGCGTCATTTGCTGCCAAGACTGCGTTGCTGGTGCAAGGGCTGCAGAAGCAGGTGGAGGAGCTGCAGCAGCTGCAACAGCAAAGGAAGCGAAAAGAAGGCGACGGTGTTGTTGTTCACACGGGAGCTGGCATCAGCACGAGTGCGGGGATTCCCGACTTCAGGGGCCCCTCAGGTGTATGGACATTGGAGAAAAGGGGTCAAACTCTTGCAGACGTTGAAGCCAATATTGTGCAGGTATGCGACCTTTTCGTGCTTGATGCATCACGTCGAATGCTCGGGGAGGCGGGGGGGAAAAGGGGGTGAAAGGGCGAGGTAGGAGGGGTCCTCTGTGAAGGCCTCTCGTGCCGAAAGGCGACGCCCTCTGCTTGGAGCGCGTGCAACTGCCCAAGTGCCGCACTTTGCATACTTGAATTCATTTCGGCTCTTCTCACGCACGATTCACGCTTTCTGAACGCATCCCTTTCTGCCAAGCCCCCTGTGCACGTCTCTAGCGCTTTTCCTCGTAAAAACTCCCTCTCTCGAGGCATCGGAGGCGCAGCACTGAGGGGCGCCTTGGCTTCTCTGACTGCTGCGTGGCTGGGGGTATATGCCTATTAGCGTATCGGGGTGGGGGGAAAGCAAGAGGGGCGGCCCTCATGGAGTCCCCTTCCCTCTTAGGGGGGAGCTGGCGACGTTTGGGGGTATGTACAGCCTGCGGGGTCGTTGGGGGAGATCTCCACGAAGGCGAAAAACGTTCCGGCTCAATAAGTGCCTTTATTTTCAAGCCCCCCCTCTTGTGCATGCGTTCCCAGGTGTCGTTCGGTCGGCAGAGGAGGCCCGTAGTCCCCTTCCACCTTGCCCTCCCCACACCTACGCATCTTATTCTGCAGGCGCTCGTACAGCCGCAGCGGCTGCGCCTTCCACCCAGGAGCTCCCGAGACACCCCCGTGGCTGCATGCAAGGAAGAGCAGCCGAAGGAGGGGCCCCAAGGGGCCTCCTCGGCGCCTGCTCCTCCTGCAGACGGCCCGCCGTCTCCTGAGGGTGGGGTGCCCCTTAGCACCCGTTTGAGGGGCCCCCCGACTTGCGGGAAAGCTCCCAGCAATGGCGCTCTCAAGAGCGACTGCGGTACAGTGCGCCTAGTAGACTACATTGTGACACAGAACGTGGATGCACTGCACGAAAGATGCGGGGCCCCATTCAGACGGGTGGCAGACGTCCATGGTAACATGTTTGTTGAACGATGTGACAGCTGCGCCCGTCGTTTTTTGAGAGACTTTTCTCTGCCGACGCTTTCCTTTCGGCCGACTGGAAGGCTCTGCGGTTAGCGAGGCCCCTAATCCCTCACTCTGCACCCTCGCTATCCTTGCAATGAACGACCCTCCTCTACACACTCGCGAGCGATGCTATGCCTCGAGGTGGCGATCTCTGGGATCCCAGTGAAAGGCCCCCCCAGTCTCCCCTTGTGCTTTCTCCTTCTACGGACAAAACTGTGGCTTCCTATGCCCCTCTCATCATGAGGCATCTCCACGAGGTTTTATGCATGCATGCATGCATGCATAATCTTGCACTGAGAGCGCACGCGCCAGGCGCGCGTGCATGTATATGCACATATATCTATATATATGTATGTATACATGTATATATATGTATATATGCATGTGTAAATGTGTTGCATGCATTTGTGCGTAGATGCATATGTATGTACATGTAAGTTATATGTATGTGTGCATGCATGTGTCTATTTTTGTTACTTCTTCACACGTAGACAGAATCAACTGCGCATTGGCTGGAAAGGCGACGTGGGGGTGGGGCGCAAGCATGCGCATGGGTGCTCGCGCTAGCAGATGTCTCATGATGTTATGAGGGTGTGGAATATGGACAGACAATGTGGGGTCGTTCCGAGTCTATGATATGCCCCTGTGTTTTGAGGAGCACCTGCCTGAGCTGAGAAGCTTTACAAACGTTTTTGTCTGTGCAGCATAGAGACTGCCTCAGGCAACACGTGCTTTCGCGGGTGCCCTGCCCTGCGCGTGGCTCTGTGGGCCGTCGGGTGTATGGACACGTTGCGGGAGGAAAGCTGGTTGTTGTTGCGTGTGCCTTGCTGTTGTGTGTGTGCTTTAGGCTTGTGCAACTTTCCCCCTTGCGGTGTCTGTACGGATGTGCTGCTGGATTGGTTTGACGCCTACGAGCCACACTTTTTGACGTCTTCGCTAGTGTATTCTCGCCAATCGCCGTCGCACCTGTGCCTCGGCACTAGCCTGCAAATACAGCCGGCGTGTCACTTCCCTGCGAAGGAGCGCAGGAAAAATAGCGTGATTTCCATCGTGAACCTGCAAGCGACACCCCTGGATGAGGACGCGCAAGTCTGTCTGCATGCACCAGTAGATGCGGTTCTGAAAGAAGCTGCAAAGGGGCTTGGGCTTCAACCGGGGTGGGGGTGGGGAGCCAGTGCGCGCTGCAGCATGGACTGCACAGAAGAAGGCGCTCACAGCGTGAGTGGAGGCAGGTGGGGAGCCATGGGTTGTTGCGATCCAAGGGGCTTCGAGAAAGATCCTGTGCCTTTCCACTACGGGGAGTTTACGAGAACGTCGCTCGTCTTCGTCATCAGACTCCCGACTAACGCCCTTCCCCCGCAACTGCACCTGAACCACGAGGTCTTGCAGCAGTCCGACATCGTGGAGAATCAGCAAGCGCGGCAGCAAGCGCTGGAGGCGAGCGGTGCGTGGGAAGAGTCTTTGTCGTGGCTTTTTCCCGGAGGAATTTCGGCAGGAGGGCTTTTAGCTGCAGGAGGAGCCGTCGAGAAGACGGCGTCACCAGAAGGAGCGCTAGAGACGCTGCCAGATCAGGAGAAGGGGGGCCCCTTGCAGATATTTCTTGTGGCTGCTGCGTGCGGCACTGCTCTGGAGTTTCACAGAGGCCATAGCAGCGGCAGCGGCGGCACGGCAGCGGCTGCTCCTCCCTCGGCAATAGAGTGCTTCGACTCCCTGAGGGGCCTCTGGAAAGTCGCTATTGACAAAGGTGATTTCTCCGCCTCCTCGCTCTCCTGGGCACCGACATAGTGAGGGAATTTTAGCGTCGCTTGCATGTAGAGAAAGGGGGTCTGCTGCTGCGGCGCGTGGTGTGGCTATTGCAGACTGCAGCTTGCAACTCTCCCTTTGGTATGGCACTACAGCGGCCCTCCACCTGACTTACGACTCCAATGCATGCGGTAAGCAGTAGCACCTACGCTTCTTCGCGCGCCCATCTATGCTCTCAAACTTCGCCTTCCGCCACCTTGCTACAAGATTTTATCGAGCGGTGTTGCTGCGGGAGCTGCAAGTCCGCGTGCAGTTATTGCTGCTGCTGCTGCTGCTGCTGCTGCTGCTTTATGTGACTCTGCGTGGGCTTTGTCGGTGCTCTCGCGCACGCGTAGGTATCGCTGCGGATGTCTGGCAGCTGATGGTTGCTTGTACACCAGACACACACGCCTCCTCCCTTCCTCCTTCAATTCTCCACAACGCGACAACAACAGCAGCTACAGCAGCAGCAGCAGAAGGCACCGTGCGGGGTGCAGTATCGTGCATGCCATCGGCTTCGGTGTCTCTCGAGCCACCCTATGAGCCTCGCTGGCCTGAGGGCCGGTCCGTGAGGCGCTGCCGCCTCATCGGCGTTCTCAGCGCTCGACCTTGCGGCTGCCTCAGTGCAGATGACGCTGCAGCAAACGGAGACGCAGACAGAGAGGCTCCGGAGGAGCCACACGCGTGTGAAACACGAGAATTCCCTCTTCCTGACTCCCTTGTGTCGCTTTACCGACTCCACGCCGCTGCTGCGCTGCCCCCGAAGGAGGTCCTGCATGCTGCGCTGCAGGAGCAGCAGCAGCAGCGCCTCGAGCAGCAGCTACAGCGGCAGCAGCAGCGCCTCGAGGAGCAGCAGCAGCAGGAGTGCATGGAGCAAAAGGTACAGCAGTTGCAGCAGCAGCAGGAGGAGTGCGTGGAGCAGCCCCTTACGGGTGTTCTCCACCCGCCTCTGCTGAATTCGATCTCTGGAAAGAAGCCCTCTCCAGCACAGGGCTTGCAGAAAGTGGTGTCAGCGTCTCCCCAAGGCGCTCCTGCAGAGTCCGCCTCTGGAGGCTTTGAACTCGAAAACATGAGCAGGAGCAGCAGTGTTGAGCGGCGTTATCCCCTCCGTCGATCTCGGCAGATGGGTAGTGGAGCAGCCTCTCCGAGTGCGCTCAAGAGGAGACGGGGAAACGGTTCTGGGGGCCCCCAGCGGGGGGCCCCCCGGGGTCCTGGAGCAGCGGTGGCATCCAGCGTTCCCACAGTCCGACTGCCCACGGAGCAGGAGGAAGCGGCACTGCCGTATCTGCCGCTGCAGTTGACTCTTCGACCGCAGGATCAAGAGCAGAGGCAGCATGCAAGCACAGCCCTGCAACTTGACAACGCGCAGCAGCAGCAGCTGCTGCTGGAGGCGACCGCAGCAGCGGCCGCTGCACCTCCTTGCCCCCGCTGCAGCAGCAGCTGCTGCGGGGCCCCCGTGCTGCTGCTTGCCGCTGACTGGGAGTTGGGGGCCCTCGTATCCACGGTGCCCCCTGAGATCAAACCAGCTCGGCGCTACGCCCGACTGCTGCAGAGGGCCTCCAAGCAGCACGTACAGCCGCAGCCAAAGCAGCACCAGCAGGAAACACTGTCCGACAGGCTTCTCCGGGTTACCACGCTGCTGCTGCAGCAGCTGAACAACACGCACGACAGCCACGTGTCGAAACGAGCCGCAGCCGAGGGCCTCCTCCCCACAGTTGCGGCAGGAGCCTTCACCTGGGCGGCCCTTAGAGGTCTGCCTCTGTGGTCTTTGTACTTCTTGCAAGACCTGTTCGAGTGTTTGTAAGCCTCTAGAGGGCTTCTTGAGCCCACCAATGCTTGCCCCTCCTGTTCGTCTGCCCCCTCCCGTGCGACAAAGGGCAAAATCCTGCCGAAGGCAGGGTTTTGCCCAGCACGGAGGGCGGCGAGAGCAACTGCCATCACCGCTCCGTAAATTTTGCCGGCGGAATATCCGTTGGCAACAGGAAGATTGAGAGCGAACTCGCAAAGAACTGGCCAAAGGCAGTTGCACCGCTCCTGTGACAGCGACGCCCTTTTTCCTACGCTGTGCTGGGAGGCAGTCCGCTAGTGAGCACAGGGGAATGCATGCGACTGCGCAACGATCACTGTTTGTCGGCTGCCTATTGCACGCGTGTGTCTGTCCGCGTGAGTAGCTTTGCGCGCCTTCAAAAGAAGGGCTCTGATTATGCCGCATGCACAAGGCGAGAAGCGTGCAGCTCGAAGGCGAAGGCACTCAAATAGTACACTACGAAACCTAAGGCCGTACAGTCTACGCGGGAACAGATAGGCCGTCGAGGATTCTGCATGTGGGACTACACCCCTCGCTGCAAACTATAGGCGATGAAAGACCGAAGGGAGACACGACTTGCATTTTTGTGCGCAGTCACTGAAACCAAGGATTAAGAGTGTCGATGTTTGGCGGCCAAATTGTAATCCGACCGCCTAGCAGTAAATACACTCTGCGGCTACACAGTCTTCACCCTAGTACGGAGGCGCAGAAGCCATACTATCCCCTTGTTCGGCGTCTCCGGCAGCATGATACGTTCAGGTGTATGGACAGAAACTACGTTCTGATGCGTATTCCGCGAGAGGATCTGCTATTCTTACCATCCCGTGATTGCCAGTCCTGTTGTGCGGCATCGAGGGTCATTGTCGGCATAGACACGCATGCATACATCTATGCACACCTCGACTGACAGATATACGTAGGTACACACAACTACATCTCTAATGCACTCTCTAATGTGTCTACTACTAGAGACGCGAAGGAATGGTACGTTTCGTTGGGTCTTCTATGCCTTCGGCTTCATTGGGTGCCTCTGGCTCCCTTGGTTGCTTGCTCACTGGCGTTGCGGCTCTCTAAATACGCCTCCTCTCAAGATAATATATGCGTCGGTGTCTGCTCAATCAGTTCCCGACTATGACCGCAAGGCGCAAAATCAAAACAAAATCGGTTTGCAAAGAAAGACGAACGCCTGCGTTGCCTTTCGCTCTTGATAGTACAGCACCTGCACCGGTGTAACCGTCAGCCGCCGCTCTGCCGTACGTACACCTTAACTTCTCCATCTGCGCGCCTATTGCGAGAAAGCGCTAGTTCTCTCCTGCTCGCCCTAAATGGGGACCTTCTGATCCCTGTCGGGCAGCTCCTCGAAGTCGAAAGCGTAGTCTTTCCTCCTCAGCTTTCCGCCCTGTGCTGGCTGCGTGGGAGACGACTGCGGGGCCCCCTGCATGGCTGCCGCCGTCCGGCCGCCGCCCTCCCACTCCACCACGAGCTGCTGTGCTTCATCTTCATCTTCGTCTTCCCCGAAACAGTCAGGTGGTACGTAGGCAAACTGCACGCCAGGTGCGTGTTCAAGAAACCCTAGGTTTTCGAGGACGCGGCCCTTGATTTTCTCCAAGTGCTCGTGGCTATTCAAGTTCGGAATAGGCGCCGGCGTGAGGTGCAGCTGGAAGTCTGGGGCATAGTAATCGTAGTAGTCGTTCAGAGGAATCTGAGGGGACATATCCTTGTGGCGATCGAGGACCACCGCCGTCTCGTATGCCCAGCAGCGCGAAACATTGCGGATGGTATAGCCGCCGCCCCCCAGCACAAGCATAGGGATGTTGAAGGATTTCACAAACTGCACGCAGGCTGCATGCCCCTTGATAGTCAAATTGAACTTCCCCAGCCTGTCACCCGTGAGCGAGTCGGCCCCGCACTGCAGCACCACCGCCCCAGGTCTGTACACCTCAATGCAGCGAGTGATCACCGGCTTGAAGAGCGCCACAAAAGAATCATCATCCATCCCATCGTTCAACGGCACGTTCACCGCATAATACTTTCCGTGAGAGGCCCCAACGTCCGTAATATCGCCAGTTCCTGGGAAAAAGTCGCCAAACTTGTGAAAAGACACCGTCATCACCCGGTGAGACACGTAGAACGCCTCTTCCACCCCATCGCCATGGTGTATATCAATGTCGATGTACATAACACGCGCGTGGTATTTCAAAAGCTCGAGAATTCCCAAGACAATGTCGTTGATATAACAAAACCCCGATGCTTCCGACCGCTTCGCGTGGTGCAAGCCTCCACTCCAGTTCACGCAAATGTCCGCCTGCTGATAATTCAACTTCTTCGCAGCGTCGATGGAAGCACCTGCAGCGCAAAAAACACCCGTCCGGCTCCACCCCGCCACCGAGCGTTCACGCGGAACAAGACAGAAAAGCTTCTCAGCGCATGCACTACGCCGGGGAGCCCCATGAAGGAAACACCATCAGAAGCCACAAGGCATCGGCAAACAGGATGCAGCTTCACAGGAAACGCCTAGGTGTACGGGAATGACGGAAAACAGGGTGTCTGTACACCGTGGGGAAGGGCGGTGCCCCTTGTACGCTGTCTGCTGCCGCTCAAGATTTAAGCACCAGCAAGCCCGCCCGCAAGCGCAGAATACACGAAACAAACTGGCAAGACGCATGCTTAAGGCTGAAAGGCGGGGAAGAAAGGGGCAGTTACAAGTCTGCCAGACGTACCTGCACACGCCTGCTGAAAGGTGAAGAGCCCGTCGAACACCGGACAGTCCGTGGCTTCTCCAACGTTAAAACTCTTGAGCTGCAACGCGAATTCCTTGTAGTTGTCTGGGGAGACAGCCGACAAGAAGTTTATGTACTCTTGTGAGTGGAAGAGGCACAGTTCGGGCTCGATGGACTTATGGGGTCGATATACCTCCTGCGGAAAGCGGAAGCAGCAGCATTCAAAACACATGCCAACAAGGCCTGTGAGGAGGCTTCCTATCAGCAGACGAGGCAAAGCACTACATATATATATATATATATACATGAATATGAGGCCGAAAACGGTCCCCTCTTCTTCGTAGAGCGCCGCTCCCTGGAGTGCCGCTGCTGCGGGTCAGTATGCGACAGAGGCGTGCCCTACGAGCTGCAGGGGCGCCATGGCTACCGGAGGCTGACTGACGACCCCTCTAAGCTTCTAGCTGGCAGTGCATGCTTGTGAGTTGGGAATGAAGCGCTAGACAACAAAAAAGGCGGTGGGAAAGGCGCAGCCGGATGAACAGACTGCATGCTGTGGCCGGTGAAATGTGCCAAGCAGAGGGGCGGCGCTACTGGGGTTTATGAAGTGGAAGGGAAGTTTCGGGATAGAAAATGGTGGGGGCTTCATGTGGCAGCTAGCTGCCACATAAAGACACGAGCACAAAATGCGCAGGGACAAGAGGAGGGGAGAACGGCGCGCCTCACCATGTGCTTATACAGATCGTAAGACAACACAAGGGCGTGCGCCATCCGGATCCGTTGTGGCTTCATGGGGTGACCGGGGCCATAGTAGAAAGACCCAATGTCTGGGTCATAGAAATAGGCGACCCTTTTTCTGACTCCCGCAAGCGCCATGGGGGCGACTTGGGATGGACATACAGTGCAGCGGAGGAATTAGAATGCAGGAGGAAGTTACGCGAAAGATACGCCTATCGCTTTCCAGTTCGCTGTGGTAGAGGTGTGGCGGGTCTAAGAAAGTGCGTGAATGCGTAAGAGAGGCGAAAAAGACGAAATCCGTGTCTTAGCACTCGGCCGCTCCGGTGCTGGATGCATACACCCGTGAAGAAGCCTGTTTGCACCAAGCGACTGCTGATTGCTGCTGACGCTTAACACCTCAGCACTGTCCCTTTCTTCTTCTCTCCTATACTCCCCCGAGTTCACTGTAGGGCGCCAACAGCAGACGAGCGGTGCTTTGCGGCGGCGCTCAGCCCCCTGACTGCCCCTGCTCACGCGAGGAGGAGGAAGCGAGAGACAGCCCTTTACTAGCCCCCTCAGGGCCTTAAGCACTCGGTATTGCGTCCAGAAACAAGAGTAGCAAACATGTGCTGCCGCAGCCGCTCCAGCAGCTTCTGCAGCGGCCGCTACGGGATCTGCGGCTGCAGCAGGAGGCAGCGAGAGCCTCGTTGTTTTGTCGTGAAAAGCGGGAGAAAAAGCCTAGGCTTCGGTTAACAGAGCTGGAGCCTCGACTGTTTTGATCGCGAAAATCGAATAGATCGTGAAGAAGATACCCACCAACGCAAACACCCTTTTACCCCCCGACTGGTGATACAGCGGCGCAGCAGTACCGAGAGAAGGGGCCCCCTGCGGCGCCCACAAGACCAGGGCACTGCTTCCTTCTTGAGTGCAAGCGCAAAATTGATTTGATAGTTTAGATAAGTTAAAGTAGAATATATTTTCTCATCATGCAGCAGAAGGCGCATGTTCATTCCGCTGCTTTCGCTGCCCCCCGCATTTTGGATACATCGCGACTCGTGTAGACCAATTACCGGGAACTTGCACTTCTGTACACAGTACCCCATTCTGTTCGTTAAGCAGGCAAAAGGCGCCCTCTCCTATCGCGAGACCCATGGGGCTCGCCGTTACTGTGTCAGCTTGAACCGACAGGTACAACTAAGCGTGGCGGGCTGCGATGTTGCTGCAGTGCTGCCGTTCTTCCGACCGCTGATCCAAATAGTAGCCTAGACCTTAATCGCACTCTTCATATGAATTCCTAAGGCGTTGTCTGATTATAAATAGCCTGTAGATTAAATCATATTGAGCCTGTGGGCGTACGCGTACACGCTTTGTGACAGACAGATCGATGGCTGATTCCGGCCCACGCGCCAAGTTGACTGCTCAAAAACAGCATGGTTTCCTGGACTTGACTGTTGCTAATTAAAGCAGCTTTCCAGCCCAGCGCTCCCTTTGAAGCTTGAAAGAGTCTATTGATCGTTTTGGTGGCCAGGCTGCCGCTCAGTGTACCGAGTGTCACTCTCAATGTGAGTTTTCTGTAGGGGGATACTCTACTTTAGAATCAACACAGAATTGAACAGAAAATTAGTAATTGCTTTCCAAAAGAGCCTCTCCTGTTGCGAGCTCTCGCCTTAAAGAGTTTGGCAGGCGGGGGCAGGGGCAGTTATGCTACACGTTGCTCCACCCCATCAGCACTCTGAACATTCACAGCTGGTTGCAAATAGCATCGACCGCCAATGCAAATAACAATGCTTCTGTCCATAGCTACTGTGCAATAAAAAAGACCTGCAAAGAGCCCAAACAAATGATCAAATCTTTGCAATTTCTTAAACATAACCAGGGCAGTACGAAGTGGTAGAGTGCTGCTCAAGCCTTTTGCACAGAAGACTTTACGCAGAAGTTTTTGCCGCAATGTGATGCATCGAGCCAGGTTTGGTACCTGTCGCTTCTATCACGCAAGAATTCGCCTAGCCAGAAGATTAGAAAAGTGCTTACTGCAGCAGGCTATGCTATGCTTGTGCTTACACGCTCTCCAGTGCACTAACTACTGGCTACGGATTAGTAATGCATTGGCCGATCAGGCTGTCTGTTCGTATTCTCCCGCTAGTGCAGAGCAGTGTTGCTGTGATACAAGAAGAAACAATGTTACGTGCCCGAGCGCCAGATGATGTGTGTGCAACTGGCTGAGAATGCTTGGAGTGGTCTGAATGCGCAGCTACGCGCATCGTATCAGTCCCCTTCTTCCCATCTCGAGGACTCCTGTGTAAGCACTTCCAAGAAAGGAGGCAACTCCATTTAAAAGTGCTTCGCAGCTATGTAAATAGGTTTGTTGACTCTGGAATGCTGTGTCTCCCCACAGACACCTTTGGCAAAGCGTTACACGTATCACAGCTGTAACATTATTCTTCGTTATGATGAACCACTAGGCTTTCGCTAGAGCGACTTTGGTTATTAGATTAGCCTTGCGAGCAAGGAGCTGAAAGGATTGAAATTTAACGTAAGCAGAGCAGGTAGAGCGTGCCACATAGGATTAGCCTTATTTCGTCGCTTGTTGGCGTCTGGAATTATTTAAGTCTCGTAGGCGGCTATCTTCTCTCATAAGCCGTAGAAGCCTTCCTTTATATCTACTTTGTACCACTGAGCTTCTACAGCGGTAGCTCGCTGTGCCTGGCGGCGGCCCCCGCTGCGTGTTGACTCGCGGACACACGACATGCTTCCATCTAGGGGGGTATCGGCAAAAACGCCTCCCTCTAGCATGCGTAAACGCTCGGTGCATGAAGCCCTCTGTTGCTGCTCCTTGGATAGGTTCCGTATGAGACTCAGCGTGTACTTTGAGTGACCGGTAGTGATGGGATGTGTAGCGCTCCTTGAACTGCCAGGCAGCAAGGTACGACCTCGTTGAACTGCTTCCAGTGTACAGGATTATTCATGAAGTGTCTCTCTTTTTGCCATTCTCTCGCATGCATTCTGACCCCCTAGTAGACGCGCCGTGCCTACGATTTCATTGCATGCCAGCCCGCTACAAATGTCTGCATCTGATAGGGCATGGTCTTTAGCACTTGAAGGCTTCCGCTCATACTCGAGCCGCTTATTCTCGGCGCTTGCCGGCTGCGCGTGGCTTGCCAGGAAGGTATCAAAACAGCCTCTCAGACGAGAAGTGCAGAAGGCGACTTGACTTGGAGTTCGCAGTTGCCAGAACCGTCCCGAAGCCCCGTATATTTGGAGGCAGTGGGGCAGGTCAAGGCATGCTAAATCTCCGCATACGCAGAGGACCTGAGATGGATACTGTGTGTGATTAAAGTGGGGAATTAGTTGCATCGGACCCCACCCGAACATCTCCCCGTTACTTTACCTGAGGGGCCTCCAGGTAGTGTTTCCCTTAATTTGGGCCCCTAGGAGGCCCCCAAGGGGGGCCCTCTCAAGCGTCGCTGCCCTCTTCCCTTCATAGCCATACGACGCGCTGGCATCGTGTCTACGGGACTGGGGAAAGGCGCTCGCCGCCTAAGCAGCAGACTCTGACGGCTCGCCCGTCAGTCGTCTCCCTCTGCTTGGAAAAGCTGTCGAATGGATTCCACAAGTCACCGCAACATTGGAGGTCGGGCCTCCTCAGGAAATCCCCAGCGTAAAGGCCTCGTGCGCAAAAACAGGCTTGTAGGGGCTTTCCGATGCGCAAGCTGAGTGACCAGCCTAGCGCTACGCGAGCCAACAGGGTGACGTACAGGCGAGTGATATACGGCGCACTTCGGAAAAAAGCCTCGCGTTTCGAACGAAAGAAAAACAGCTCAGATGCCATGCGGAAGCGAGAAGACGTGCAGACTCTGGTCCTTCTCCACGCAGCGGTGATCTTGCCACCTCTTGGCCTTGTCGGACGCTGCGGCAAGGAGCCAGAAAGCACAGAGACGCTTAAAGGTGCAAGCTGACAGTCCCGAAGCCTCCACGCACTACATATATATATATATCTATACAAGGCTCTAGAGGAAGGCGCGCGGCGTCAACCTAAGGCCACACGCATCCACGCTCGAACTGCCCACCTGCTGCAATCAACCTGTCGTTGATAAAAGCGATTCCTTCGATGTTGCAGTACATAATTTCGCAACTTTCATCCCTGGGGAAGTGCAACACGCGGCCACCTGCGCAGAGGAAGCACCCACTCTCCGGCAACAGCCCTAAAACACCGGACGCGTCCGGCTTGTGTTACTGAGTGCACTGAGCGAGACAACCCCACCCTTTACCGTATAGCCTTGCTCTGGCATGTGCAAGGATATACACTGAGAAAGCCACCCGCGGTTTCATCAAAGAACAGCCCTTGTAAGGTCTGACAGCCAGCCAGACCGCAACAATAACGGCCGGACTGCTCCCCAACCCCAGTCGCTAACTTAAACATGAATATAAACCCCCCTGCCCCCTGCCCCCGCCCCCCGGCATTCTCGCAATAAAGCGCTTTAGAAAAATACAGGCAAATACACGTATCTACACATCTTCATGCGTATCTACGCATCCATACACACAAACAGACATACACTGTAATACACATGCATGTGTCTTGGACGTGCACCTTTACCCCTATTTTTATGCATAAAGAGCACTTGCATGCATGCAGCGCGACAATATACAGTCCAACAAATATTTACATTTCTATATACATATACGGATACATGTAGACAGACTCTGTGGGCTGAGAATGCATGCACTTGCTATCAACGGCGGTTCACTAGAAGACATCAGATGCATGCGTATGAAAGAACCATGTATTTTGATGTCCAGAAGGATTACTGCAATTTACTGATAAATGGTAAGAAGGCTCTCTAGTATGAATGCTGTGACGATGCCACTTGACGCTCCGATGCGCATGAAAGCTGCATTTCTTGTAAGTCTACAGCATGCATGCAAGCACCCATGACATGCATTACACGAGGTCATCCTTCCCCTAAGCAGCGGAAAGGAGGTGCGGCGAGCACCCCTCTGAGCACATTGCTCATATGGTTAAAAACGGCGGTGCATGAGGAGGATACTCAGGCAAATATGCAGCTGGATCTATACTTCAATTCGCAGCCAGCGAACCCAATGAAAGCAGCAAAGATCCTCGAGAACGAAAGGCCCCCTGCACCTGCACCCTTAAAAAACACCATCTCCTCTGTGCTCTAACCCGGCAAGACTTCCAACTCTTCAGGGCTTGACAGTACAACAGAACGCTGTCCCTTGTCATCCGTGACCTCCTCCTGATTGATCTTGCCGATCCAAAGGGTAGAGCCCTCTTGAGAGGCGATGGCGATTCGATTGCCGCGCGTTGTTACAGCCGAGTAATCCGGGAAGGATATTTCGGAGGGCAGCTCGAGGACCTGTGACGATCGAATGAGATGGAGGCTTGCGCGTAGATGCAGGTGCACAATTCAGCTAAGAAAGAGTAGAGACGCAGGGGAAATGAAGGCAGCCACTCGGAAGGCCATTGAGAGAGGGTCGACAGCCAGCAGGCAGAGGACGGGGGAACAGGGTGTGTGGGGGATTTGTGCAGAACTTGCTACAACAAGAATTTCTGCTCGTAGCAATCCAAGGTCAATCGATAAATCGCGTTTGCCTGGTCATCTAAAGGCCTTAATTGGGGTTTCAAGCAGCACCTTCAGTGTCTTCCAGGTGCACTTCTGGCCATCCGTCTCTTTTTGCATGAGAACCATACGTCCATTGCCTGAACATAATACAAAAATACACCATGCGGCCAACACATAAAGGCCTAACTGCACAATGCTAAAAAGGCAGAATCAGCAAATATTCCACAACAAGGGCTTCTCAAGCACGCGCACATATATATATGTATATATATATAGATATAGATATATCGATGTGTATACACACATGTATCTATCTGCGTGTACCTATGTATATCTATATGTATCTCCAGCTACGATTCCTAAAGCAAAATGCCCGATGATGCGTTCCCCGCTCATGTAAAAGAAGAGCAACCAGACACTGCAGCTGGCGGATGTATCTTCACACAAGAGGCAAGCTTATAGGAAGGAAGAACAGGACGCGTAGACGGCCTCCAGACTGTGGAAGTCCAGGCCCCTCCTATTCGACGTAAGTATTTGAGAGTGCTTATTTTACAATAGGGTCTGTTTTTGCGGCTCGACGCATCCTCATCCTCTTACCTGGAGTTCGCCCCTTCTCGCCTCCCTTGCAAAAATTCCCTTCGCACAAACCTGCAGCAGCAGTAGCGGCGACGACAGCCCGGGAACACACACGCGAAAGCAGCAGCAGCAGCCGCAGTGCACAAGCGCAGGACAGGACAAGCAGTAAACGTTCCCCGAGAAGAAAATATCCTTATAAGACTAGCACGTGTGCACAGCTGTCTACACAGAGATACATGCAGATGGATTTCCCAGACAGTAAGGCAGCGCGGGGGGCTGCTCCTCCAGCCGTTGTGCCTCGAGGGTGCACCTCGGCTTTCGAGGGTTTATGCGTACCGAGGAGATATATTTCTCCCTTTGGACCGCGAAAGCCTACAAGGCCCTGCAATAACAGTAACCACTCTTACTCAATGGAAACGGATTTCCCCCTTCAAAGGCACACGAGCCGTCTACAAGGATCGGGATAACGCGGAAACCGTGGGGGGGGTGCCTTGAACAATAACACCCTTGTATGAGGAGTTCTTTCAGCTGACCTCGAGGCCCTTGTTGCCAGCGGAAAAGGAGAACTCTGCAGCGCGCATGCAGGAACGACAGAGTCAGGCCGTCGCCGTACCCTTAAAGGTTGAGAGTTTTCCCCCCTTCCTCTCGCTGGAAGAGGGGCAACTCGGAGCTGCTGCAGCAGCGGCCTTGTGGAGCACACGAGCATCTCGGGCAGGCTCCCTCAGTCGCATCACGCTCAGCGTAACCCCCTGTAACGGCATTCGAAATCGAGGAAGGCGAAAAAAGGAGCTTACCCGTCGTGCAGGTGGCTTCTAGCGTATACGTGTTTCCATGGAGTGTGAGTTCCTCGATGTGCGCGTGGAAAGGTTTCTTGCGGCCTTTTCGTTTTTGGCTTTGGGCCTTGGGCTGCTCCGGCTGCTCAGTCTCTAGCGCCTCCTCCCTGTCTTCTTCATCGAAATTGTGGGTGATCGCCTCTCTCACGACGTAGAAAACTCCAGTCTGCAGCATGCACGCTATTCCACCCGGAGACACAAAGTCTGAAGCGCTACGCGTGCGCCTTCTGCTGCGCCTCGCAACGCGGCTGCTCTGCACGGGAAGCCTCAGAAGAGTCGCTGCTTGTGCAAAGGAACAGGAGGCCTCTTGGAGGCAGGATAAAACTACATGCATACACACACATGCACGTACTACAAACGTCCTCATCCGCATCCCTAAAACGTGAGAGCAACCGGAGGTGCAGGGGTGGTGTTCTCACCACATCGTCCACCCACAGCGCCTCCCAGTCGGACTCAAGGCTTCCGTTCCTCTCCTGCAGCGGACAGAAAACAGTCTTGCGAGTGTGTACACAATACACACTGAGCGCTGGCGAAGGCCTTTAAAGAGGCAAGCGCTGCAGAGCAGCAGCAGCAGCACCAGCAACAGCAGCAACACGGCCTTCCCCTGCAGCTGCTACAGGCAAAGACCGTCTGCCTGCCTGTTTCCCTCCCCCCTCCCTCCTTGGCAGCCCCACGAGGCGGGAGGAAAAACGCATGCAGAAGAGAGCCAAGAGCACGCGTGCAACTCGCACCCAAGGGAAAGGCCGCAAAGGAACAGGCAACAAGGCAGAGGTGTTTTCTCTCCCTCCCTTCCCCACCCCCCTAACCTCCCACTGTCAAGGGTGATAAGAAGGCAACACCTGCCCCCCGACTCCTTCCCCCTTCCCACAACCCTTGAAAAAGGAGAAAGCGGCGCACAAACAAGGCCCCCCCTCGTACCGGCAGTCCGATGAGCTCGTTTTCTGGAGACAAAGGCTCTAGACCAAATCCAGTCTTCATCAGGGAAAACGTCGAATCGCATACCTGCAGCTCCACAAACAAACAGACGTACGAGCAAAGGTGGACTGCTGCGACGCCACCACTTGACCAGAATGCCCTCCCTACCTTTCCCGCAGACAATTTCTCATTGCATGCGCGCTCGGACTGGGGCTGTTTTCCCCTCCCCTCCCCAACCTCCGCTCCACAGTTCCACACAGCCCCGTCCACCCAACACACACATCACTGCATGCAGGCACACTAATAGGCAGAAACCGAAGAAGAGCACGCGCCGCTGAATGGCTTGTTCCGATCGCATGCAAATGCCTCTCGAGGCCCTTCGAAGAGAGGATGAGCCCATCTCCCATGCCGTGCGGCGGCTTCTGCACGTGCGAATATGCTGGCAGCAAACCTACAAAATAAAGACTCTTGTTGAATACCACGACATCGCTAGCTTCGAACTTGCTAAGCGGCCAGCCCTCCGCTAGAAGCGAAAAGGCGGATGCCTCATGAGCCAGCTTAAGGGTCTTGTCTCGGTAATCTGAAGATGCCAATCAGCAGTCGGAGCAGCGGCAGTACAAGTGGACGCACGCCACAGCGCGCGCGTGAGAAGGAGGCGCACACGCTCGCGCAAGAAGGCCTTCCCAGCCCAGGTGCCCCTGTATATACGCCTGAGAACGGGGGGCGAGGAGTTTGGGGTGTTAGGGGGAGAGGGGGTGTGGGAAAGAAAGGAGGAAAGGATATGCGTGCGGGAGGTGAGACGCGAACGGAAAGAAGAGCACGATGAAGAGCCTCAGAACACGTAATACGGACTTTCAGGCAGACATGTGTTTTCAAGCAAGCATAAAAAGAGGGTCACAGACAGTCATTGGACAGAGAGAGTGGCACCGCAGACACACAGAGATCACACACTTCGAGAAACAGAAGGCGCACGCGAAGGACGAAGAGCAAGAGCATGCAGGATAGCCCCTCCTGCTAGCCTCTACGGCCTGCGGGAAAGTGGAGGGGGAGTGGGGAGCGGGGGATGCAAAGTGTGGCGCAGCCAGCAACGAGAAAGGAGGCAGGAGCACATTTCATGCGACTCGAAGAGGCAAGGCAACGTCTGTTAGCCTGCAGAAGACGCAAATTTAAGCGCCAATCTTTTGGCGTCCAAGTTTTTTTCGGTAGGAGCACCGCACGGCTATGAAGGGAAGAGACGCTCCTCCTGTCTTGTCTGTTAGCCATGGAGGTCTGCCCCTGCTGCACTCCAAGGAGTTGTGTTTCAAGTGTGAAGACATACCTGTGCTGCACAAACCGCCGTGTGTCTCTGCTGCTGCGCTGAGACTGGCGCTGGCGTCGAGGGGCCTTGCGTTGGTGCGGAGGAGGACGAAACACAACACGGACAGTACAAGCACAACTACGAGGAGGCGGCTTAAGGGGGATTCGCTGAGTTTGTGTTTGAGCGTGGCGAGGCCTGTCGTTGCAGCTAGGCGTAGTTCGACGAGCCAGCCTCGCGTGCCGAAGGGAGTCGTTTCTCGAGACGCATCATGGCTGGACACACTCAGGGGGGTGACTGAGGGCCCCTGCAGGTGCTGGTGCTGGCAGTTGTGGTGGTAGTAGGGCTGTTCTTCTTCCGCGAGGTTCGGAGGGGGCGAGATGAGATACTGGAGCGTTCCCCCTCCCCACTGCCCTGAGGAGGCCGCCTGGTCTGGGGGGGCCTCGTTTTGAGGCTGGGGAAGCAACTGTTGCTGAGAGAGCAGCAGAGACTGCTCGTGCTCCTGAAGGAGCCGCTCTTGCTGCAGTCTCTGGGGTGTAACGGCGTGGGGTTGCCGCTCCCCCTTCGCACAGGGGTGCTGAGGCCTGCCCATTCTGGGGTGTGCGGATAAGGCCCTTTTGGGAAGGGCTTTGTTGGAAGGCAGACGAGGTACTGTTCGCCTCGAGAAGACGCAGCAGCGGGGGAAGGGAGGGGGATCGGAAGGCAGCGAGCTGCGTTCCTCTGTGGGGAACGTGGCTGGCGCGATAGAGGTGTGGTCCCTGGACGCACCAGAATTTGAGGGCAGAGGGAGAAGGCGAAGCTTGTTTTGTAATGCCTTCAAAAAGAGCGCTGACTAGTGAAACAATGTAACCTGTAGACAGAAGAGTGCAGAAAAAAACACCCCAACAAAAGCCCGCAGCCGCTGCAGGCGCTCGAGGCGAGAGGCCCCATGGTTTGTATGGTGGATGGATGTGGCGGCAGCTGGATCTGCCTGGCAGCCCGCTGCAGGGGCATCTCCCGGGGGAAGTTTCTCCTTTCAATTTCATGGATTTTCGATGGAATGACGATTAAGGTTTAATTCGAGGCGTTTTCCGTTTTCTTGAAGCCCTCTTTGTGCGCCTTCAAGACTGATCGAGCTCGTGCCTGCGTCCGCTCCGAGCACGCGCGGTCGTACGGCTAGGGGGCCCCTCAGGCGCACACAGCATGCAAGTCCGGCATTCTTTCTTCTCCTTTTCGCAGTGTTGGCACTTCTAGAGCCTTTGTTTTCTGTTATTTCGCCTCGCGTGCCGCCCAGGAAGGCCAACAACTCCCGGTGAGTGTGCGCCACCAGCGGCAAGCAGTGCCAGCCTTCGTCACCACTGCGACTGCCGTCAGCCATACCCCAGGCAGCGCATCTGCGGGGAATTTCTGCATCTGCAATCCAAAAGCAACTGCCTGAAGCGAGCTTCTCAAAGCGTTCCGGATCCGATGCCTTGCGCCCAGCACCGCGTCACCGCGTCGCCTAAGAATGTGTCTCTTATCGCTCTGGATGGACAGGGGCCATCGAAATGCCTCCGAAGGGGCCCCCCCCCGGCAGTCTGAGCCGTGGCAGCTCCTGCAGGGGTACCCAGCAGGGCCTTTGGGAATGTCTCGTGACCGGATCTTGCAAGAAGAAAGCTTTTCTGTCTCCGTAGAGCCCCTCCTCAGACTGCCTTGCCCCCACCCTGCACTGTCTATTTGCCTATCACAAAGAAACTCCTTCAAACGACTCTACCTCAATTTCTGGGCTCCTATTCCCACGAGGGGAACGGGAGTCCTCTCCGTAACTTTGCCCCCTTGGAGTCAACACACACCAGCCTCTGCGGGTAGCAGGGGCCCCGGCGAAACGCCGGCAGACAGTGCGACTGGAGAGGTCACCTGGGGGCCCCCCCTACCTCCCAGTGCTTCTGGAGAGGCCGCTTCTTACACGGCCATTGAGTCGGGAATAGCCCAGAGTGGGGGCCTCGTCATGTGCGAGAGGGTGGAGTACGCTCCGTAGGCCCCCACCACGCGCATTTTAGGGTCCTTCTTGCAATGTCGCCGCTGCGCAAAGTGCTGCAAGCCGGCGCTTCCACTTTGCCGACGTCAGTTCAGGCCTTCCAGAGATACTAGGAGGCGGTGTTTTGCAAAAGTCTCGATCTCGAGCACCTAGGCTACCCACCGGGTATTTTTGATGACCTGTTTTGGGGGCCCCCAGAGAGAGGCCCGTACATAGAAACACTATATAGTCCTAGGCAGCGACTCCAGAGCAGGGATTTTGAGGCGGCCTCATTTTGAAGTGCCTTTTCTGTTGGACGCTTCGTCGCGGCGAGCTGTCGTGCTATGCCCTCTCATTCTGGGCCTAGTAGAGGCCCCGTGTGCTGAAAAAGCCAAGGCACTCTTACAGAAAGAGGCTTGCGATCGCCATACAAAAACAGAGGCCCCTGTGAATAAGGGAGGGGCATGAAATCGAAGGGTGGGTAGCATTTTCTGACAAAGCGTGAGAGCGTGTGCAGAGGAACGCTGAAATAGAGAATCAGGGCCAAAGGAAGCGGAACTGGAAGGGCACGTAGCAGACAGAAACATCCACAGAGGCAACAAGACTGAAGCCATGAAGACAAAGAAAAACGGCCGGACGCCAGCAGGGGCAGAGCGTTAGCATGTGCTGCATTGGGGGCCTACTTACCTCGCTCATGGCCTTTACCTGGTGCGGAGTTTGTTTTGTCGCTGGATGCACAGGCGCATCTTGACACGTCCAGAAAAAGCTGCATTCTCATTTCAGGATAGCAGAGCGGAGAAGAGGAGAGGGATGGGTCCAACGCTGCTCCTAGAGCCTCCTTTAAACGTCACGCACTCCCCGAACAATTCTAAGGTCACAGAAAGTGACTGCATGTCCTTCCCGCAGAGTCTTTGTTGCCTCTTCTCCCCGCAATCACCACACAGAGTTCGCCTGCGGGGAGGGCCCACAGTAGGGAGCATGTAGGCTACCCTCCTGGGCATGATCGAGCACTTGCGCACGATCGTACTCAGCAATAGGTCCCCTAGACACACGATAAATTTCCTTTTACATGCGGTCTAAAACTAAGTGAGCGTAGCCTGCAGAGAAGCGGATGCACTGACCCCGCAGACTCCCTGCAGGACTCGAAAAGTTCAGAAAAAGTAGGGCTAGTCCCGTTGGATGGCTGCATAGGCGCAGGGTAGCGCAACGCACAGTGTAGTCTATGGCTCTATATCCACCTTTCACCACTTACGTGACAACGGAGCAGGGAACAAGCTATAACCAGAGGCACCGAGGGATGCACGGGCGGGAAGAGTTAGGAAGAAGACAGACAGGCCTAGGAAAGGTACGGGCAGCAAAAGCATCAGCAAAGCCTGGATGTGAGCATCCACCAGGCGAAGCGCCTCACTTCGATTAGGCTGTAGCGGGCTACGCTAAACTTTGGTCCTTTATGCTGGGAAAGTTATATGCAACTAATAGTTGGTTATTGGGCCTGGTGGTTTATATGTGTTTTTGAGCGTAGAGTCGAGACAGGTTAATACGTCAAGAATTGATACTGAAAGCCTTTGTGCTGTAGATTCTAGGGAGCGCATGGTTGTTGCGAATGCTCCGACTGCTTAGGGGATGCAGCAACGCCCTAGTACCTGAGCTCCTGCTCATCCCCCCACCATACAGCATTGAGCGGCAAGGTCCATGAAAGGGGAATTCTTCTTCAGAAGGGTTCTAATAATTTTCAGGTCGAATTATGCACCTGATTCGGGGCTAGGGGTGTCCCCAAGAAGGCTGCAGAGAAAGCACTACATAGGCCGACTGTACGTAAAGCAGGAAGAGAGGCAAGCATGGAGCAGAAACCAAAACACACATTAGAGTTCTCGACAGTGCGTAGGCAGGTGAAAACTGGCCGTTCTTCATGGTCTAAGGGATCCATATGGTGGGGGACTGTCTCTGAAGGTGCACTGCATTAAGGTCGGCAGTGCACAACAGGGCATTCCGTAGTCACACTGGAGTGCGACAGCTCTAACGGGACGTCTAATTAGCCTTCGTCTGGAAGAAAGCATTGGAGGAAAGAGGCATCTTCCAGCTAATTACGCACATGGCGCAACAGGAGGTCCCCTGAGAGGAGGGCTTCCAGGAACTGGCGCGTTCAGCGGTAGTCGGAGATGAGGACCCTTGCGCAAATGGTTTTCTTTAGGCTGCAGGATTGAACAAAAGGGATGCTAAGGTCTGATTTTCATCAATATTTCAGAGTTAAAATAAACGGAAAGGTGAAGAGGAGACATGGAAGCCGACTTTTGTAAGACCCAGTTTGTCGTTTGGTGGTCTGGTCTGCTCCGTGGCTGCTTCCAGAGTGTGAGGCGTTTTCGAAGTATTCGCGTGCATGCTTCTGCGCTCTGTTTGAGCAAAATAATGGGAGCCTATTTATTCAATAAAATGAGGCCAGAGAGAGGCATATGAAATGCCGTTTCGTCCAGTATCTCCTCCTGTCCCTCTCCCAGGCCATGGCAGTGGCTCAGGGTATAGCCCACAGAGTGCCGGGCTGTACATACACGCCAGAAGGCTCTATGAAGAGCGTTTTCTAAAGCTCTTGCTTTAAGGACCAAGAAGGCGCCCCTGGCGCCTTTTCGAGGCAGAGCACCGAACACAGCATACACCCCAAGAGGGCGCGTGTGAGGCTCCTGTTTGCTGTCTCTCTGGCCTTTCGCTAGACGAACTGCACCAGCAGCAGAAGCCTCGTGGCCAGCAGCTTTAGGAAGGCTGAGCATATGAATATTTCTATAGGAGATGCGGCGCTTGCCTCCTGGGGCTTACAGCTTACCGGAGGGCCCTTCTGAAGGCCCCTCTGAGGACTGGTCTGATATCCGGCCTGAAACCTTTGGACTTCTAGCGGCTTCCTTCTTAACACCTTCTTTATCACCCAAGGCAGTGTTCACTCCAGGGACCGCGTTGGCCTTTTTCTCACAAACACACACGAGAAGCCCCTCTTTGCAGTCTCTTGTGCCGCCGACGCCTTCTCCCCCTTCTGCTTCCCCCACCAGGAGCCCCTCTTTCCGCGGTCTAAGATCGCCAGTTGCATTTGGTATACGCGAAGCTCTATCTCCGGTGGGTAAGACCCCACGGGAGGTTGCGACTGCAGGTTGTACAGCACCTGACGCAGGCCTAGCGCGATGCCCTCAAGGCCTCTTGAGAAGGCAATCTGCTGAGTCGAGGATCGTCTGGAAGGCTGGCGAAGACAAGTCTCCGCAGCTAGACAAGCCGCCTTCGGGAAAGAAGGAGCTCATGCGGAATTCCGCCTCTCCCTCAGGGGCCCCTGCAAGGGGCCCCTGGGCTTCCCGCCCTTCTAAAACTCTGTCTTTGCCATGGTCGGCTGGATCGTCGTGCTGTCACTTGCACCCTCTCCAAGCTCAGGAGGTAACCCTAGCTCCCCCCCCCTCCACCGGAAGCGGCAGCCCGACGGGAAAGCAAAGGTCTCGGAGATACTTTCCTTCAGTCCAACAGCAGCCACCCCCACCAGGTTCTCTGGAAGGAAGCGCCTCTTCGCCATCCTTTCCCTGCAGGCCGCCGACGCCTCGAGGATTGAAAGCCGCGGAAGCTCAGTATCTCGGAAACTGCCTTCAAAAACCCGTAAGGCACCTCGGACAGGCCCCCAACGAGCTCGTCGAGGAGCGTGAACAGTCTTCCAGGTTCGAGGATGCGCCTTGGGAACTTTCTGCGAAGTGTGCCACGCACCGCAGCAGCTTGGGAAAGCGCTTTGTCTGCGGCTTTCGCGCGATGCAAAGATCCTTGGGGGGTCCAAAGGGGCTGCGAAGGGCCAAGGCCAGACGGTGAGTATCAGTAAGGCGTCTTATCAGTCAGGCGTCTTAAGGCGTCTTATCACTCAGGCACCTTCCTGATAACAGTGTCTTTTGCTTGTGGGCCTTGCTTCCACAGCCTCACAAGGAGGCGAGGATGGGGAACCTATGGTAGATAGGGGTGTGAGGGATACAGTCCGACGGAAACTGCTACAGGGAAGGAACGATGGGTGCCTCTCGTTTGGTTTGTTGTGTGTGGCTGGCTGTACTGCAGTCCCTGCTCTTCGGCAGCCACGGTGCTCCGCGAATTTGTGCTGAGCCGTCGCTGCACGGCTGCGCAACCTGTAGCAGAGCCGGACAGGCTGCCTGCTTCCTCTGAGAGGGCCTCTGCAGGCGCGAGTGGCTACGGCAGTAGCAGGATATCCAAGATTCTCCAGCGCCGAGGGTCTTCTCGTGTGGTGCCTTTCTCAGCAGAGGCTGCCTCGGCTTGTGCTAAAAGGCACTTGGGGGCAGGGCGCCTTGGATTTTCCACGAAAAATAGGACTGACCAAGAGACACTTGCAGAGGGCCCCAAGCGCCATGCACCCTCCGCTGCGTGGCAGGAGCCACAAAAACCAGTCGCAGGGGAGGGGCAAAAGTTGAACAAGCGGAACAAAGGGAGCGAAGGGCTAGATGAAGAAGCAGCAGGGCCTCCATGGGCCCCCATTCCGTCGCTCCTCAGGATTATCTGTAGGGCAACAAGGCACTCGGGGATGCCTTCCCTGCTCCAACAAAGGCTCAGCGACGTGCAGCCCGCAGAAATGCGGCGGGAGACACCCAACCAGGGGCACGGGGAATTTCTTGCGGCGGCATCCACAGGAAGCGAGCCGCTTCTAGACGCTTGCAGCAGCTCCCCGGCGAGCTTCGAAGCCTCAGCGGGAGACACCCGAGAGCAGCAGCCGTCCAGGAGACCCCTCCAAGAGGCGAGCCACTCGAAAGCCTCATGCCATCGTACACGGACTTTGAGTCCCTTCCGCATGCGATCGCGTCTCACAGGCCTCCAGGGGGCGTCAGCGATTGCAGAGGGGCGAAGCGTTCGTGCAGTGCTCCCCAGCCAACCCTTCGCGACGACTGCCGCTTGTAGTCGGTGGAGGCTTTCCAACAACCCCAAGGCAGCTAGAGCGGCAGAGCGGTTGAGGCGTCCAGTCGAGGAACCGCAGGCTGCCCCCGACAGACCGGGCCTAAGATCCTTTGAGGACCTGGGGACAGGAGCTGCCCTAAACGGAGACACCAGCGCCACGTGCAACTCGGAGGATGGATCAGCCGCTGCCCTAGCGCCTGTGCCGCAGGCTGTGCCTGGCAGCAACGTGGACTTGGAGAAAACAAACACGTGCGTGCGGGAGCGGCCAGGACTGTGCCGAAACTCAGTGTACGCTGAAGAAGCCGTATGGGCCTCTGCTGCGGCAGCATCGCCTGCTGAAGCAGGAGAGACTGCCGTTCCGCGAGCACGCGCATCAGCAGCACAGAAGCCGTCTGCTGGTGCTGGAAGGCCACTGGCAATTCTGAGACCAGGGCCGCCTCCTGCTGCTGCTGCTGTTGCTGCTGCTGTTACCACTAGGGGCAAATCGCCTGCAAGAAGCTCCTCTCCTGTCGCTGCCGCACAGCCTTTAGACTTTGCTTCTGAGGCAACTCAGCCCGCCAGTGTGACGCGCCCTGCTGCGACTCTAGACGAACCCTGTAAACAGGCCGCCAGCTGCCGTGAGACTCCAATCTCGGCAGCTGCAGTGGCAGCCGACGCTCTATCGTCGCATGCTGATGCAGAGGGCGATGGCGGAAGCGCCATGAGAGGCACTACGCGGGCTCTGCAACTCATCGCCTCCTACAAAGAGCAGATACGCAGGCACAGTGATGCCCCCCTCCAGGGAGCTGGAGGGTGCGTGCGACAGCAGCCAGAGATCCGCAAGGGCCTCCCGGAGGAGATGCAGGAAAACAGGGAGGGTGCGGCAGGCGCCACGCACGTGCTTACCAGGAGTGACGGAAGCTGTCTCCAGCACTTTGAGAAAGGCGCACACAGCCGCAGGGACTCAAGGGGAGCTGAAGGGCCCCTGTATGTACACCCAACCAGCAAAGCTACGCCATGCGGGGGACGGGGGCCGTACAACAGCAGCAGCACAGGCAAAGACGCGCAGCCTGTGGGAGCCGCTGCTGTGTCAAAGGCATCCCTGTTGGCTGAGGACTGCAGCAGAGGCAACACGTGCGACAAACAGCAGCAGGTGCTGCAGCGGAGAAAATCCATCAATGTTGCGGGAAGGCTGATGCTGCAGCCACGCCCGTGCTGTGCCTTCTTGGGTGGAAACCCCTGCCTTGGCTCCAGCGGGCAGCCTCAGCCACTTCCACGGGAGCAACCACAGCAGCCGGCGCATGCTGTGCCTGCTGAAGGCGCTACATCCAATGCGCCTCTCTGTGGCGTGCCGACGTCTCCAGAAGCTTCAAAGGCCCAGGCTGCGCCGTCCTGGGTAGTGGAGAAGAAGTGCCGTGCAGCAGCAGCTGCTGCAGAGCAAGCCTCTCCTGCAATCCAAGAGGCTCCCCCGTCGCCTTCTGCCGTCCGCTGTACAGGCCCCCTTGCTCAGCTCCGTTTGCAGGGCTGTAAAACTGCTGCCGCTTTGACGCCAGAGCATTTGCAGCGCGACAGCAGCACGCCTCCGTGCAGCAGCGTCCCCTGCTTCGTCAGTAACGCAGACAGCCGACGTGTTGCAGCAAAGCTGTACCAAGAGGCCCCTCCACCGCGCTCCCTGGACGCGGCTGCACGGCCAGTTTGGCAAGCGGCTGCTCGGAGGGAATTCGTATCGGCAGCAGGGGGAGAAGAAGCAGGCTGCGCAACTCTAGAGAGCACTCCAGGGCAGCACAGAGGCAGCGGAGGCCCTAATGAGGCTCACGGCGCAGGGGTGGCGGACGCTAACGTGCAGACTCGCAGCAGCTGTAGCAGCATGCAAAGTAAAGACTATAAGCTAAGCAGAAAGAGCTGCAGCAGGGACCGCCGGAGAGGAGGCGGACCGCCAGCTCGCCAGCGTGATAATCTCTCTGAGATGCAGCGGCACCGATGGTCGCTCGACAGGGGTGGCGCGCATTCTTTTGCGGTGCTCCCTGCTCAAACTGCTTTTGGAGGGGGCTTTGTAGGCGGTCCCGTGAGGCTTCGCGAGCGCTGGCAGTCGCTCGTGCAACTGAGGCGCAACAGAAGGGGCCCCCTGCGAAGAAACGGGGGGCCGAAGCCGCCGCACGAGCAGAGTTACCAGAACTTTTTGAAGCCCCTCACAACACGCAAGAAGGCCATTCTTTCGCGTGGCTCAAAAGGCTTTTTCCCACGAGTGCCTGTAAAGGAGGCGACCGAAGGAAAAGACGGAGTATCTAGAGCCGCCGAACGACAGGAGGGTCAAAATAAGTCTGGGGAACGCAAACGTATTGAGCTCATGGGCCGTATGAGGCTTGCGAGTGGCACAGCCACCACAAAAGACGGTCTGAGACGGCCTGAAGAGCCGCGAGATTCTTTTCCCGGGGGATCGGAGTCAGTGGAGGTGTTGCATGCAAAGGTCTGGGAAGTGCTGCGGGCGGCTTCGGGAGCTGTTGTTTCCGTTGAGCTTCAGGAAGAAGGCAGTGTCTCGTCTCCCCGAGAAGCGTGTTGTTGTGCGCAAAAGACAGCCCCCAGGAAGAACAACGCCCCTCAGGAGGCCCTTCATTCTCTCGGCTGTTCTGCAGAAGCATCCCGTGCAGCACCGGCACGCGTTTCTCCACAGCGTCCAGCAGCGGCTGGCGCAGCCGCTGGGCAGGCAGCGAGGAAATGCCCTCAAACGAGAAGCCTTCTAGCGTCCCCCCAGCCGAAGCATTCCCTGCGTCAGGAGGGCCTCTCTGAGAAAGGGACTGCTTCTAAGGCGGACCTCTCCAAAGCGCTGAGGCGGCCGCAAAAAACAGCAGATTTGGACCACATAGTGCGGCTCTATAAATATGCAGCCATCAAACAGCAGCGATTAAAAGAGCTAAAGGCACAGGTGCGCCTCCCATGTCACTCTGGGTAGGGTAGTCGTAGGCGGAGCAAACTGCTGGAGCGGGGGAGGGGAGAGGGTGGCGAGAAGGAGAGGCCCCTGGCGAATGATCTCTGGGGAGCTCTTGGGAAGCCGAATTTTTGGGGCTAATCCCGCACTGCGCAGCAGCTTAAGTGGGATGGGAGCAGGGAGAAGCAACGCATCCACTACAGCTGCCCGTGCTGCTGGCGGTGCCTGTTCAAACCGCCATATTGCAGTTGCACTTTGGTCTGGGGGCGAGGGGGAAGTAGCATCGCCCCTCCGTGGCACCCATGCGCCGCTGTTTGCACTGCGACTGAATTCGCCAGCGCTTCTTGTTTCTGTGCGACCTGGTTTGCAGCGAGAGAGGGAGCTAGCCGAACGATTGCGACACGAGGCCCTTCAGCTCCGTCCTCGGCCTCCCCCATGGTACAGGCGCAGGCAGAGCCTCCTCAGTTCCAGCAACGACAACCGCAGCCTCGGGCAGCAGCTTTTGCCACCCAGATGCATGCACTGTTGCGTCGCCAACTCAGCTAGAGGCATGCGCTGTGAGTGTCTTCAGGCGCAAGCCCTTGGCCGCCTCCATCGACTCAGAGGCAAAGGAACCTGCGCCTTGCAGACGTCTCTGCTGCGGCGGAGTCCTCCTCCCCGCAGGAGGAGACCTCATGAGCCGCCAGCTGTCTCTAGATGAGCCCCAAGTATGTTTGGCTCAGTGCAAAGGAGGCATGCAAAGGGCGACTTATAAGTCTCCCTCTGCCAGTGCGCTGGGCAGCCAGCAGGCACATTATCCGCGCCATTCAGTCCCTAAGGGCCAAGCGGCGCTTCGCCCCACTCTGTGTGATCGAAAGCAGCTGAAGTCTCTGCTACTGCAAATCTTGGCGGAAGAAGCCTCCGGGGATGAGGGCTGCACTCCCAGAGCTGTACCGGAAAAGAACCATCAGGGGGCTGCAGCGGGCAAGCGGGCAAGCGTTGCTTCAACGGCGCGGCCGCAGGCAAAGAATTCGACACAGCAGCATCAGCAGCAGCAGACGGCGCAACAACAGCAGGCGCAGCGGCTGCTGGAGGCACAGCAGAGAGAATACGACACTGTGCAACGCCACCTGCTGCAACAAAATCAAGGCCTGCACCAGCGGCTGCAGTGGCACACGGGGGCCGTAGAGCTCTTCTCTCTTAAGCAAAACGCATACCGCATGCACAGGCAGCCTCAGCAAGAAGAAGCTCACGCTCAGGATTCGAGAGAAGCCACTGCTGCTGCGATCCACCCAATGATGCGCTGGACACTGCCGCCTCCCCGAGATATCCCTGTAGGGCCCTCCCGTGTCTCTTTGGGAATACAGCTGCGTCCAACACCTCTGCCCCTCCTGGAGCCGAAAGCTAGCCACAGAGGCACTGCCCTTCTCGAGACAGCCTACCGACCAGCAGCAGTAGCAAGGACAGCACCCAGATTCACAGGTGCCCCTGCGAGGCCATCCCGTCTGCAGGAGGCAACGCGCAAGCTCGCAGCGTGTGCTAGCCCTTCCGGTGTGTCAGGCCGGCGGAGTGCCAGCGCTACCTTCTCTGCTGCTCCATTAGGAAGGCCTCCAGCGGTCAGTACAGCAGCGGGGGCGCGTCAAGGCAGTGCCTGCAAGCAAAAGCACGCCTCCACACTAGCCCCATTTGTTTGCGGCAGCACACGGAAAAGCCACAACATTCGGCTCCAGCAAGCAGCAGAAGCAGCAGCAGCACGACTGGCAGTGCGGCGGAACGGCGGGCACGCCAGGTCACACAGTATGGGAGCTCTGCTGGAGAGCAGCAAGGCGTCCCCGACAGGGCTGCAGCAGGAGCCAGCTGCTGCTGCAACCCTGTCGAGTGTGCTTCCAGCAAGCAATTCAAAGAGGCCAAGTAGCAGTCCGTCACGTGAGACGCGGCGAAGGCGCGCAATGTACGCCTCGCAGCGCCAGCAGGCGGCATCGGCAGCAGCGGTCGTAGCTGCAAAGAGCGCAGCCCTTGCAGCAGAAGCTGCTTCAGCAGAAGCGGAGGCCGAGGCGGGAGCAGTGCAGGCAGCAGCAGCGGAGCTGGCGGCTCTGCAGACGCGAGCTGCCTTGGAGCTTCTGTCGCTGTACGGGGCAGCAGCGCAGGACGAGTTTTCGCGAGGGTTCTCGGTAGAGGGAATGAGGCCTTTCCCGAGTTCCCCGCGGCAGGGGACGTGGGCTTCCTGCCAGCGCTCGACGAAGCAGCTTGCGAGACAAACCGTGGAGAGGCTGCATACAACGGCGAGCTCTCTAGACCTGCTTGGGGAGCAAGAAGACCGAGAAACACAACCCACGAAGAAGTGGACTGGCTGGGAAGCGCCGTTCTATATGCATTCGTGACCGATCTATTCGATAGAGAAAGGCCTCCTGCACTCAAACTCTGGGGGCCCTCTCCTCTGCTTACTAGGAGCACTAGTCCCCATCGACCTCCTGACGCTCTATTAGCGTCTGCCGCGCTGGGGGGAAACTCCATCATGCACGAGGTGAGGTAAAGCCCAACACGCGAGAAAAGCTCTTTCGGCGAGAAATGTGCCTGGCGAATAGGAGATGCCCCTCAAGACCTCATAGCTTTTCGTAGCTTCGCCTTTTCGCATCCGCACAGGCTGGATGTTTGTACTCCCCGCAGGGGAGGTGACTAAAAGGCAGTAGTGGCAGCAAGAGGGGGGCAAAGGAGGGGGGAGAATGCGTGGGCAAGGTGCAAGCGTGGGCATGCATGATGCTGGCTACTAGCAATTGAGTAAGCGTCGAAAGCAATTCAACTGAAATCAAAGCGATCTGACGCCTCAAAGGAGGGCCCCAGAGGGCAGGAGAGGGCGGCAGTGTCCGTGTGGCACAAAACAAGTCCCCCGAGGCCATGCAAATACGGGCCAGAGCGGCACAGAGCGCAGCACAGGGGTATCATAAAAAGACGCGGCCTGGTTCGGATTAGAGGATAGACGGCGGCACGTGGCAAAAAGGGGCACAGTGAGAGAGCTTTAACCAGCAATGCACCCAAAGACAGAACAAGAAAATGTTGTGAGACGCCAAAGTCGCGGGAGAAACCATTTCAAAGTATCCCGTGGCAGAGCTTGCTTGCTACTCTACAGGCGCAAAGCCCATCGCACAGTGTGCCTCGTAGACACATGATGACCTGAGGGAGCCTCAGGGAGCCTTGACCAGGTCCACTGAAGGCCAGGTAGCCAGAGATGTTAGTGAAAACTTCTACTACCCTATGCCCCATACGTCGGTGTGTTCCGCTATATAGAAAGGATCCAGTCTGTCTTCTCTTGAGGCATCAGCACTTGAACAGCATCCACTAGGTCCCTTGTTTCCCTAGCCAAGGATTCTTGTAGGGCCCTGCTCTTCTGCTGCTCTCCGGCCGCACATGCGGGGGCCTCTGGGGGAGCCGGAGCTTTGGGGACCCCTAGCACTGCCTCCTTTTCAGTCGTTGTGCTGTGCAGAGCGGCGTCCTGCGGGCAAACGCTCTTACCGCATCCCTTGCTAAAATTCCAAGAACTCCCTTCCTTAAGACCTTCTAAGGAAGCCTGCACGCTTGCCGCTCCTGGCAAAGCCTGTAAGAGAGGTAAAGGCCCTGGTGAGCTTTCAGGGCCCCTGCTAGAGCCTTCGTCTCGCAGGTAAATCTGCAAGAGTTCTCGTGCGTCTTGAGCAGCTTCCCTTTGGAGCTTGAGTCGCTCCTCGAGCGGAATCCCAGTAAAAAGCCTGAGCGAGCATCATAGACTACACGTTCCGTCCCACACTATCTCCCCCGAGACGCGAAAGGCCTGCTGCAGAGCTGAACCTTGCACGGGCCTTCCAGAGGTGCAGCTAAGCTCTAAAGTAACCCCAGCTGCCAGCTGTAATTTTAGCCTCTGACTCCCTCCCTCTTTTCCCCGCGAGAGCACGAAGATGGGGTCTCTGAGGGCCGCTCTGCGAGGCCTGGGTAAACAAAAGTTGCACTGCGACGAAAAAAATAAGGCCCCTCCCGAGACTCCCGCCTTACCCGACGTCAGTTCGGCCATGCTGAAGAGAGCCAAAGAGAGTTCCGCTGCCGCGCAGGCTTGCATCCCTGGAAGCAATGCAGAAGCCGTCGGTCGTGGCGGCTGCTGCGGTTAGACGTGCCACTGCCCTCTCGTCGAGGCCCTGCGGTGCAAATACAATGAACGCCCCCTACAAGCTGCACTGGGAAGCCGCGAACCTAGTTGTCGGCAGAAAAGTGGATATCTTGAGCAGAGGAAGCAGAACGCGATCGCGAGGAGGTACTCTTAGTTTTGGGGAAGGCAAGCAAAAACAGGACGCGCGGCCACAAAGGCACAGCGCCCGCATGTAAGCGACGACGCACGAGGCGCACATCCGAGTTCAGCGAGGAGACTCTTACCTTGCCGGACGAATCGAAGAGCAGATAGCATAAGGCCGACTGTGTAGGATCTCGCATGACTCTGCCTCGCAGCTGGTGCAGTTGGCTAATTCCAAACCTGCGACAAAGAGGAGCGCAGGCAAACAGCGGGCCACAGAAGGAGCCGTCTGCAGCGCAAGAAGGAGGCCAAGAGGGGAAGGGGGTAAAATGTACCCGCTGAGCATCTCAAGTGACAGATCACGAATGCCTAAGAATGCAAACAGTGGGAGGGAGCCCTCATCTCCACCGACTACGGCAGGGGCGGCCATCTTAGGGAAGCAGGTCTCGAGAAGTGCGTCATCAGGAGCAGAAACGCAGGGAGTGGCAAACAACACAGGCCTTGAGAAGGGCGGACGTGCCCTCTATACAAGACAATTGGGGGGGCAGCCTTCTAGGCTTGCTTGCTTGCCTCTCAGCAGAATCAACAACGATGAACGCGGCGTTAGGCACGTCAATGCCGACTTCGACTACCGTTGTCGAAACTAATACGGAGATGACACCGGACCTAAAGAGACGCAGAACCTCTTGCTGGTCCTTCTGAGCCATTCGCCCGTGCAGCAAGCCAAACCTGCAGCGGCGTCGCAGGAGCAGATTACATTGGCAGAAGCACGACCAGGATTGAAGCAGAGAGCATAGCAACTGAGCAATCGAGCGCCTCTCTAGCCGCACCCGTGAACCTACAGGCGGACGCCAACATTTCTTCAGTTCCTCATCGCAGACCGACATCCGTGGCAGCGAACAAAGCCATCGACCGAGAAGGAGGTACATACACATATACAGTTGTCTATACCCTATAGCGATACATGTATGGGCAGCGCAAAGGAAGCGGCGACATTTCTAATAGGCACGTGCAAAAATACGCACTGAGATGTCTGTGCATCCACTTGCTCCAGGATTTTTGCCATACATGCATACTTGCACATATCCACATATATACATGTATATATATACATATACATATATACACGTGAGTATATGCATGCAGGTACGTGTCTAGTGCCTACGGCCAGCATGCCTGTGCAGTTGCTATGCATTGCAAGCCCATGTCTTTATGAATATGCGTTCGGAAGCGGCACAACCCCAGCGCCTGTCAGCGATTTTACTCGTAGAGCAGCGGCGGCTCCCACATTTCGCGAGGTAAGCAAATGCCTTTCGTGGGCCGTCTCCTCGCGCGCCTCCGTACGCAAAACGTACCGAATGTGGGGCAATTTTTGCTGCAGTTCCCTAAAGGCCCGAGACGCAGTGCGGTGGCTTCGCTCTCCCCCTTCCTGCATGCACCCCCAGCGTCTGCTGCTCGTGATGCCAGCGCCGAGAGACGCGCCTGTCTCTTCGACAAAGGGGCAGATCCAGTAGGCTTGGCGTCCAGCCGTCACGCAGTCTTGAAGCTCCTTGTAGACCTCTTCAAGGGCGTTCTTGTCAGACCGGTCCACGACTTTGGTGAAGACTCTAGGCGTCGATCCTTCGGCGACCTCTTTTAGGAGCTCTTGAGGTGAGCCCTCGGCGTTTGCCTTCAACGGCGGAGTAATACGGATGGCGTCGAAAGCAGAAGCAGCAGCCAATGACGGCCTTCCTGCTGAAGCATGTGTTGCTCCTCCGCCTGGTACCCCTGGTCCTGGTGCTAAGGAGGCCCCTTCAGTTCGCCGCTGCAGTCTGGATAGCTGCAGCAGGCCACAGTGAGACATCAGCTGCGTACGCGGGATGGGTGTTGCTGTTAGCAGCAAAACGTCGCAGAGTCCCTTCGCCTCCTCCGCGCCGCCCTTCTCCTCCCCCTGAGGCTGCGCCTTCTCAGCAGCAGCAGGACCGTAGGGAGGGCCTTTCATGCAGTCTCTCAGCAGCTTGCTGCGCTGGTGCACTCCAAATTTGTGTTGCTCGTCAATCACCAAGAGGCCCAGCCTAAGTAAGAGACACAGGAAGAAGCCTTATGGCCAGCAGATGGCGTCTCGAGCGGCAGCTGCTGGTCTGCTGCTGCGAAGCGGCTGGCACGCCGCGCAGATAACCGCCGGTGCACTTGCACGCGCAAGGCCGTAGGCTCACGAGTCGCAGAAGCAGCAGCAGCAGCAGCACTCGCAGAAGCAGCAGTAGCACTCGCAGCAGCAGCAGCAGCTCCACTTGCAGTAACCTCATGAGGCAGTAAGAGGGAGTGAGCGCACGGACCGAGGAAATCGAACGTAGCGCTGCAACAGTGCATGAGTTCCCACAACGATCAGCTGCTCGCCGGCCTGAGACGGAGCAAACCTCAGCAGTACGTGAGGCCCAGTAGCTAGCCCGTGGGTAGCCTCTATCTCCTATGCTGCCAAACGTGTGGCGCGAACCTTAACGCTTGGCCCTATAAACCGTCGAATAGCCCGCTATGCCGTGGGGCACGTGTTGCGTGTTCTGCACACGGGGGAGCCTACGGACGTTGATGGCTCGGGTGATCTCTTCTTTGCTAGGGACGTTTCCTGTTAACAGAGACACCTTGAGGCCTAGAGGCGCCAGCAGCTCCCCGATACTGAGCCGCAACGCAGTCATCACACTGACTGAAGACGCCCATCGAAGGGGGCACTTGAAGGTAAATGCCTCTACTTTGGTGTGTCGTGCGTGCAGGGAGCGCCGTGGGGTGTCAGTACCCCCCTGTCCCCCGCGAACAGATTTCTTTTTTGCGTGCGGCTGAAGAACATTCGGTCGTTGTTTTGCTGGTGGTGGACACCTGTGTTTCTGCGCAGCTGCTGCGGTGACATACACTTTCTTATGCTGCCGTGCCAAAGCAGTAGTAGGTGCGAGCAGCGCGGCTTGCCGGCCACTCAAGGCTGCAAGAACCATCGCTCCGGCTGCAACTATTGTCTTGCCGCTCCCCACATCGCCTGCAAACAAGACAGCACACGCAGCCGCAGACTCCCTCCCGTTATGCCCAGCGGCAGGGGCAAGGGCAGCAGCAGCAATTAAAAAAGCGTCGCAAGCGCAATGCGCCAACTCGGAAAAGGCCGTTCGCCACGTGGAAGCGCTGAGCAGGCACCTTGCACAAGGCGTCGCATAGGTCTTGGCATGCGCATGTCCGCTTCGATTTCTGCTAGAGCCTGAAAAAAGGAACCCGAAAGCACGCCACGGCGGAGGGATATATATATATATATAGATATACATAAATTCGGTTCTCGAGACAGACAGAGAAAACGGACAGCCGCGAAAGACACCCCACACTGGTGAAATCGGGGTGCATACGGCAAGGGTGCAGCACCCGTACAGCGGAACATTCTACAATGTTGCAAATTGCGGAATAGTCCCTTCCCACCAGCTGTGTCTGCAGCGCCCTTTACTTAGCGCCAGCATGCAGGATTATCTGGCGTGTAGAATATGTATTATGTACAATATACATGCCACCTGAGTGTGTGTTGTGTGCTTGGCGGGGTGCCCGCAGAGGGCATTTCAGATGCATACCAAGAAATAAAACAGGAAGTGGGTACGAGATCTATCTAACGGAAGAGAAAGCAAGAGAGCGCTACGGTAGCTGGCATGTCTTACTTCGGCTTGTGAGGGCGTCGGAGTGAATGGGAGTGAGCGCAGAAAGAGCTGCAGGGAAGTCTCGCCGTCGGTTGAGGACGCTGTCGGAGGTGCAAAGGCCCTGCCCAGCTGCAGCAAAAAGACTGGCAAAAGCACAAAAACTGCGTGAGCTAAGGCACGCAGATGTCTCGACAACAACAAAGCAACTCGATAGAGAAACACAAAAGCGAGTAGGTGCTGAGGGAGAGCCGATGGTGCGAAGAAAGCGCGAAAGCAAGCAATCCGAATGATGTTGGAGCCGTGTCAAGTAGTGGAGAGACTCCGGATCGCATTGGTGGCAGCTGTAAGTAAGAGCGCAGCTCGTGGAGCGAAAGCAAGGCATCACTATACATATGTAGGAGTCACCGCAGCAACAGCAGAGGGAACGGCAGCAAGACACATGATGTACCTTTAGCAGCCGCAACTCTGCAGCAAGGTGCATCCAAAGAAGCAAATCAAACGCGATCCTCCTGCGAGCATCTGGCAGCTCCGAGGCCACTCGAGGAAAGTGCAGCCTCCTTAGAGCCTCGGCGAAAGCTGGGAAAGCAGCAAGCGCAACAACGCGACGAAAGACATCCCATGAGCACCTCCGAAGAGAGCGACTTCGAGGACGCCTGCAGGGGCATGGAGTGCACGACAACGACAGAAGTGGACGCGAAGGCAGCAGTTTTATGCACTAGCAGCGCCCTCAGCAGGCCTCGACATCCGAGACTTCCTGGGGTGGATACCGAAGAAAAGTTAGCAAGGCAACACGAAAGGGAGATGCTCCAGCGCAACACCTTTGCGGTGTACATACACCCGTCGACGCCAAATAAACACTACTGCAGCCCCTACACAACGTGTGTGCCACAGGGATGGAGCGCGCAAACAACACACATAGGAGGCGCCTCTTCTCCCTAATCGCCTTTGGCAGCAAATCAGGAGCTCTAGCTACACTCGCGAGAAGTTCCTTCATTGCATCCTTCAAGATCTTTGTCGGGACTGATGGCACTGCGAGGTATACAGGAAACAGAGACCGTAGCGGCTGCCCCTTCTGCTCCGGCTGTCCATTCTGCAGCTCTTGCAGCTGCTGGAAGTGCTGTGCCTGCTGCTGCTGCCGATAATTCAGACGTTGATGAGCGGAACTTGCGTCCTCCCGCCTTCCCAAAGCTCTTGAGCAAGCGCTTGAGTGAGCCTTGGGGTCTTTTGGAAGCCAAAGACTCGACTGGCTAGCGGATTCTGGTCCTGCTGCTGCTGTCTTCTCCTCGTTGGCAGGCTGTGCTGCTCCTGCTGCCATCTCGTCGTCCTCAAGCTCTCTTCTGACTGGTGACGCCGGTAAGAATAGCAATGCAGCTGCCCTGCGTTCAGTGCTGTCGCTGGTGCCGTCCTCTCCTACAGGTACACCGGCAAGAGCAGCAGCGCTGGCAGAAGACCGGAAGGCTTCTTCCGAGGATGCAAGGATTTCAATCTTGGGATTAACCATGGTCAAGGCGCGACTCCTCTCCTTTTTAACTGCCTATACACCCCAGGGCACAACCAGAGACACCGGAACCATGAGGTTGTAAAATTGCTGGTGCTGGTGCTGTTGTTGTTGCTGCTGCTGCTGTTGCAAGCGCGTTCTTACCTTTCCCGTCACGGCGACAATCTGGCCAGCGCGAAGCTGGAGCAGCTGGCGAAATTTTCCGATCCAGGATACTCGCAGAGCGGGGACCTCGTCTTTCTTCTTGCTTCTCCTCTTCTTTTTCTCGTTGCTGCCCTCCCTACCGCCGCTCTTCTCGCCGCTGCAGACAGCAGAGCCGTCTTCAGGAGCAGCGCTGCAGCTTCCCTCTAAGAGACCTTGTACTTTAGCCGTTGAAAGCATCAGCCGACCTGGGCTCCGCAGGCGGCAGTGGGAAATCTGCAAAGGCAGGCCGCATGCAGCGCCGCGCAAAGCCTCGCATGATAACGGCTAAAGCAACTGCAAAGCCCCTAGAGTAAGGGCCTTCTTCTCCCTTCAACTCTTCATCCTCACTACACTCCGCACGGGGTTGAGACGCATATGTGCGCGCATGCCTCTTGCAACAAGAATGCGCTTCCTGGGAGGGAATCCAGAAGTCTCAGCGCAGCACAGCACATTTTCCCTGAAACCTTGCACAATAGGCCTTTTTTCTCCTCCTTTCTCAACTAGATTCTTGGTGGCTGCCTTTAAGGCTTTGCGCAGATGCTCAGCGTGGGAAACGTCACAGAAATGTGTTTGCAAAGCTCGCCGTACCAACACCTTTGCCAATACTTTTCTTAAAGATGCATGCGCATTAATAAACTGCCATTAGGAACTAAATTGCGGTGTACGTGCCCTATATATACACACCCTCTCTAAGCAGCCCACAAAGGTGACTGGCCCTCCTTGGAGGTGCAGAGGCGCCTCCTTTTCGGCATCATCCGCATCCCGCTGCTGCTGTTGCTGCTGCTGCTGCTGCTGTTGCTGCTGCTGCTCTACTGCGTCCCCCGCCTTAAAGCTATCCAGCAGCAGTGGGGAGTCGTCTAATGCGGAGGGTTCTGCTGTGGAGCGTTGCTCCTGCGTGGCTGGCAGCAACGCATGCCGCTTCTCTCCCGCTGCTGCATCGGCTGTAGGGGCCGCATGTGCTGCTCTGCTGGAAGAGGGTGCAGGTTGTGCTGCTTCTGCTGCCGCCTGCTCGAGGCCTGCTGCAGTTGCAACGGTGTTGATGGCGAGATATTTGACGGGAAGAAAATGCAGCAGCAGGTCGAGGCAGCTGCAGCAGCCCGTCTCCTGCTGCAGCGCCGCTTCCCGATTTGTCGAAATACCGTGTAGAGCACGCAAAGGAAGGGCGGCCAGTGCAGCAAGGCTGTTGCTGTTGCTGCTGTTGCTGCTGCTGTTGCTCCTGCTGCTACCAGGCCATGCGGAGAGAAAGGAACGGCTACTGGGGAGGGTGGTGTGATGAGAATCGATCTTGCAGCTGTTTGTGTTTGGCGTGGTGGTTGCAGTCCTGGGAGTGCTGTTGCCGCTGGTTTTGCGAACGTCCCCGCTGGCGTTGCTTCTGCTTTTAGTGTTGGAAGTGCTATTGTTGCTGGCAATGCCGTCGAGGCTTCTGCAGCTCGCTGACTGGGGGGAAGCCTCCTCCAGGAGGCGGTGCCTCCCCCTCGCCGCTGCGGGGGGCCCCTCTGTTGTAACGGCCTGCTCAGAGACAGCAGTCCTGCAGGAGGTCTCCTGCCTCTTGCTGCAGCGTGATCTGCGAGAAAAGGCGAACGGAGGAGAGAAAAGCGTGAGGTTAGGCCTCAAAAAGGAAGGATAATACGGGGCAGTCCTCTCCGCTGAGCGGCATGGATCGTGGAGATCACACAAGTGCGCATGCAAGGGCAGCAGTGCGGCGGCAGCAACCCAGCAGGTGACAGCTGGAGGAGCCTGCTTGTTGCGGGTGTGGCGCTCTCCGTGTGCCTGCTGTTGCTGCTGCTGTTGCTGCTGTTGCTGCTGCTTTTGCTGCTGTTGCTGTTGCTGTTGTTGCTGCTGCTGCTCGGGCAGCAGCAAAGCCACGAGCACACACAGCACGAGCAGGTGGCGAGGAGGGGGGATACTGCCTCGTTGCTGCTGTGTCTGCTGCCGCTTATCCATGTGACAAAGACTGCCTGCTGCTGCAGCAAAGGTCTAAGCTTGGTGGCTGCCTTGCAGGAACGCCTCGATTCAGTGTAGCCGCTGCTCAAGGCAGCGTCCGACGGAACAACAAAAACTGCAGCTGCTGCTGCAGTCTTGCGCGACCCCTTGCAGTATGTATTGTGGCAGCGGCAAGAGAGCAGCGGGGGCAGCGGGAGGGGGGAGAGCAAGGGGGGGAGGTTCCCTCAACGACCCCCTTGCGCTCAACAACACCTCTCGGGGACGGGGATTTGTGCAGCGTCTCGGCGGCGCTGCGCTTGTTTCCAAGCTCTAAATGCTCAAAAAGACTTAAAAGCAAAGGAAATGGAAGAAGGAGTTGTGTCCTTGAGGCAGTCTCAGGTGTAGGGGGCCCCCCGTCTTCCAGAGCCCACCGGCTCGATGGGGTACGATGTAGGATGTGTAGAATGCAGCGGTCCGCCTGAAAAAGAGGGCAATTTGAGCTTTAGCAACTAGGGATCGGCGTCTTATTAGATGCGCTTTGCAATTGAAATACTTATACATTTGCGACTTAAAAATATGAAGTCGCTTTTATAAAGGAAAGGAGGCGAAGTATTCCCCCAACGCCTAGCCACAAGTGCGTGGGATGTGCCTCGAACCATCGTACCGCGCGAGGGCTTCGAGGCAGGCAGGCAGCGGGAGGGGGGGGCCCCCTGCTCTTCACCCCACACCAGGATCGAAAGCCAGCGTATTTTCGAGGTCTTCTTTGAGGTCATCCTCTGTAAAATAGCATTTTTGCCTCTGTACTTTGCTGGTAATGCGCCTTCTCCCTTCTTCGTCTTCCTATCGGAGCAGTGGTTGCTTGGCTGTCGCCGGGGTGAATCCCCCAAACATCGGCATTCTGGGGGCCCCTCCTGCGCCAAGGAGGCACCCTGGATTGGACCTTTTGATCCGTGGAGCTGCTTTTTATTGAAATTTTAAGCGTACATCGAAGGGAGGGGCCTCTTAGCGCGTATTCGCGTGTACAATCCGTCTCTGAGAGGCGGTTGCCTTGCCCAGCAAACCTCTCGTGCCTAGGGGCCTCTTCCTCGGCGCGTGCAGCCTACAAGATGGCCACAGCGATGGAACCAGCGGTGGAAGACCTCTCTTCGTGCACGGATAGTGACGGCAGCGCGGCAAGGGCCCCCAATGGCTTCTCGGGGGCCCCTACTAAGCCGAAGGGCAAGCGCAAAGGGGCCTCTCCCTTTATGGTCCTAGGCCTGAGTGCCTCGGTAGCTGCAGCGGCGTCGAAGCACCTCGGCTTCAGACTCCCTACGCCCGTGCAGCGAGCAGCAATCCCCTCCCTCCTGCAAGGCCGAAACGCTGTGGTGCTCTCACGGACGGGCAGCGGCAAGACAGCCGCTTATTTGCTCCCCTTGGCAGAGAGGCTGCAGCAACACGCCACCGTCGTAGGCGCGAGGGCCCTCATCGTCGCCCCCAGCAGAGAGTTGCTGCTGCAGATACACGCAGTGGCGAAGAAGCTTCTGCGGGGAAGCTCGCTGATCCTCTGCCCGCTCATTGGGGGCTGTGGATTCGACAAGCAGTTCGAAGCCCTCGCCAAGAATCCAGACATCCTTCTTGGCACGCCAGGCAGGCTGCTGCAGCTGCAACAGGACGGCGTTCTGCAGCTGCAGGCTGTCTCCATTGCAGTCCTCGACGAAGCGGACAGAATGCTCGAGCTAGGATGGGGTCCCCAGCTGGAACTGCTTTGGGCAGCCCTTCCAGGCAACCAACAAGGCGTCTTTGTCTCCGCCACGCTCCCCGAGAACCTCGTCAGCCTCGCGCGCTTTGGCCTCGCAGACCCCGTCTTCGTAAAGCTCAACGAAGAGGGAACACTGAGCGACAAACTGGCGATGCGATTCGTCTTCGTGCGGCCTCCCGAGAAGGCAGCAGCGCTGCTCGCCACGCTCCACCGGCTGCATCAGGTCCGTCCGCCTTACTTCGTACTCTGCAGACGCCAAACAACGTGCACCAGTCGATTGCATGCGCCGCTTCCAAGCCGCACTTGCGGCCAGCCCGAGCGAGGGGCAAAATTCTCCGAGACACACTCCTTCGCATCTCTCCCCTCGTCTCTAGGTGTGCATGCATGTATGTAGACGTGCCTCTCCAGGCGCGTATGCATACATCTTATGCATAGACACACTGACACATACATACATATATATGTATACATGCACATCTACATGTACATATACGTGTGCGTGTTGTGAGGGTTTTCTACGCTGCAGGCCTCTCAACAGGCCCTCGTCTTTGTCAGCACGCGCCACCAGGCGGAGCTTCTGCATGCGCTCCTCTTCAGGTGTATCCGCATCTCCTCGGCTGTCATTTACGGGTCTATGGATCAGAGAGACCGATGCTCACAGCTCGCAGCATTTAAAAATCGTACGCCCTTAAAAAGCGCTGCCCAAGAACTCCCTTCAGGGAGGGACCGCTTACAGACACACTCTAGGCCTCCTGCATGCACGATCGATGTTCGTCCTTGTTGGTGCGGTGCTTTGGCTCGTGAAATAGGCGGATGCATGCATGCCTGTAGGGGCCTTGTTATGCTAGTCTCTAGGGCTGAGAACGGGCAGGACTGTATGTATTTATGTGTAGATGTGTTGTTGGGCCTCTCCTTTTAGGAAATTTATTGTTTCTTCTCGTTACGGATGTCGCCGCGAGGGGGCTTGATTTGCGCTCCCTGCCAGCCGTCATCAACTTCGATTTCCCGGCATCCCCGCGACTGTTTGTACACCGGGCAGGCCGCACGGCGCGAGCAGGACTGTAGGGAAATCTAGCACGCCAGAGCTCTCCTGTGATCCGTCTAGAGGCGTGAAGCGTTCATGTTTCTAAAGGATCCTGATGCGCCATACGTTGGTAGACCTACAGATACAGTGGCTAAAACTGCACCCTTGTGTCTCTTCGGAGGCAACTTGGCGCCCAACGATTGAGACGGCGAGGCAGTGCAGCGTGGACTCTCTAGATATATATGTATATATATGCATATATCTGTGTTGCTAGGCAGCCGCTTGTTGTTTTGCACTTGCGTAAAAGAAGCCGCTCGCTGCAGCAGCTGCAGCGAGCGGCGTATGCAGGTTTCCTCTAAGCTCGTCTGCCTGCCTGTCAGCCTGTGTGTTGTCTGTTGGCCTGTCTGTACACTGGCCCCTCTTGTTTGTTGCTGCCGCTGCTCTCGCTTGTCTTCCTGGCGTTGCCGTCACCGCTGTTTCTTGCGTTTTTCTGCCGAGCCGCTGCACTTATGCCCCTGATGTGAGCGTTCTCTGCCCTGTCTTGTCGCTCGTGTAGGGAGGGCTGTGCGGTATCGCTCGTGACTCCGGCAGACTTGCCTTTTGCTCTGGACCTCATGGCCTTTGTTGGAGGCCGCATCGTCCCCCTTGCGCAGTGGCACGGGTCAGCAGACGCCGCTGCAGCAGCAGGAGGCGCAGTCGCAGAGGCTGGTAAGAGTGAAGAAGCATTCCCCGACACCAGCAAGTCTGTGGCATCAGCGGCCGCAGCAGGCTCTAACACGTATCCTTTAGGGGCTCCGCCGGCTTTGGATTTTTACATCGAAGCCGTAGAGCGCTGCTTGCACGAGGACAGCGAGATGCAGTCTCTGCAGCGGTCCGCCACGGCAGCGGAAAAGCTGTACTTCAAGACAAGACCTTCGGCTAGCCGTCAGGCCAATGAACGCGCGAAAGAGCTCCTTGAGGGGGCGGGCGGTGCTCAGCTTGTTGCAGCAAGGCGGTTCACAGAGGCCGCGTTGTTGCCGATCGTCCTGCAGAGCGGCAGCCAGCAGCAGGAACGGCGGCAGGAGCTGTCTCCGCAGCAACAGCAGAAGCTGCAGCAGCTTCTGAGCGTTAAGGAGCAGGAGACGGCGGTTTCACTGGAGCTGCTGGAGGCAATGCGGCGCTTTAGACCCAAAGTCGGAGTGCAGGGGAGTGTGCTCAGTGCTGCCGCGGTCCGGGGGATCGGCAGGAAGCAGCAGGAGCGGCTGCTGCTGTCTGCCGCAGCCCAGCGGGAGGCACAGAATCACCTGATCGCTGCCAATTGCAGCAGCGACACGCATGCCAGCAGCAGCGCGGACTCTTCAGAACTCAAGAAGAGGGAGGAGGAGGAAGAAGACGAGGCAGAGGGCGACGGGACTGGACGAGCAGCAGCAGAAGAGGCAGCAGCGGCAGTAGCAGTAGCGACAGACGCGAATCAGGCAGAGGTGTGTGAGCGTGCACTGGCTTCCGGAGACAGCAGCAACGCCACCAGAACAACCTGCAAGCAGCCGGTCGGCTGCAGCGTTCTGCAGGCGCTGGAGGAGGACGCTGCAGCTGCAAGAGCGACTCGAGAAAGGAGACAGCGCGTCAGCAAACGGAGAATGCAGAAAGTGGCACGAGAAATGGGCCTAGAGCCTACAGCAGCGGCAGCTGCTGCTGCAGCCGCTGCTGCCGCTGCGGCGAGTACCCACAGCAACAACCCCGATGCCTCCTTCTTCATAGATGTCACCCCAGAAGCCAAGGCAGCGGGGCAGCACGTGTTGCTGCAGCTGCAGCAGCAGCAGATGGGACTGGTTGGCGATGAGGAGTCGGAGCTGCGACGCTCTAAGGTTCAAGAAAAGCGCAAGTACGCGATGTTTTAGAGTCTCTGTATATGCACGAGGCCCCTGCGAGCCAGTGCAACGGTAAAGGCCACAGCACCAATATGGTGTATGTGTTGCCAATCCCTGCAAGCAGGCTAAGTGCGGGGTGTCTATAGGGAGAGCCCCCTGTAGCTTTTTTCTTGTATTCGAGAAGATCAAGCAATCGTCGATACAGCGACACCCTGGGCATGTTTTTCTGTAGGGACTGTGTGGCCTTGATGCTTCCGTGCACACTCCATCATGAAGCGCAAGGCCTCCCTGCTTTGGCCTGTTGTTGCTGTATTCTAAACTGCTTGTTCTGCCTGCCTGTCTGTCTGTACGGACTGCTGCCTCGTGCTGCTTTGGGGTGGTGGCGCAGATGGGACCCTAAGAAGCGGAAGTTTGTCGTCATGCGAGTAGACAGCAGCACTGGGCTGGCGGTTAAGCGGCAGCGAGGCGATGACAAACGAGAGGCTAAGACGTGGGCTTCGGTTGGCGCTGAAGCTGCTTCTGCACTATTGGGAGTGTTCGTCCCCCGAGTGCCTCTCGCTGATGCGTCTCTGCCTCAGTCTTCTCCCGCTGGTCCTTTCGTTGATGCCCTTGCCTCTGCTGCTTTGCGTTTCTTCCATACATTTTCCCGATCGCTTTGTGAAGGGCGTCTGTGAGGGGCGGTTCGTGTATTTCCTAAAGCGTCATCTCCCCTCTTCCTTCCCTTCTTTGTGCTGTCTTCTGCTCGGCGAGAACGCTTTCCCGAGTGAATCGACTGCCTCTCACCATCGGACGGTTGCAGCTCTCTCGGATCTCTTTCCTCAGGAGCAGCGCCACGCGGTACGCACAGTGGTCAAAAGCCACGAAGAAGAGGATTCAGAAGATTGGAGAAGAGGAAGAGACGACCTTGAGACAGAGCAGCACTTCCCAATCTCGTTTTAACAGAGCCCGTAAGTTGCTTTCGCAGTGCAGGCGTTCATTGCCTGCGGGTCCAAGGAAATGCCTTTATTCTCCTAGCTGTAGATAGACACCTTGGGGGTTGAAGGCTTTCGAGAGCTTCGAGTGTGACTTGCTGCAGCTGCGAAGAAGGTTGTGAACGAGGACACCCTCAGCTCCAAACTCCGTATCTTGCCGCTTCACGCGAAGCATCTAGGTGCGAGATGCTGCACGGTGTCAGACCCCTCTTTTACCCTGTTTGCCCTTTCTCCGCGCGATTACCTGTCTTGCACCTTGTTAGGGAGGGCCTTTGTGCTGGGAAGTCTTCTTGGCAGCTCCGGAGGGATTTGCGTGCCAGAGGTGCTCTTAAGAGGCCCTCAAATGCCTCCGCCACGAGCAGAAGCTGAGGAGCATGCAGGATGAAGGCAGTGGAGGGGTGGTATGAACAACGTACAACTCGAGCCTCAGGCGCTTCGCCATATCGGCTTTGCGATATTTCCTCTCTCCTATGAGAATTGTGGCTCCTCAGGCATAAAAGAAGCCCTCCAAACAGGGACTCCTTTAACTCACAAACAGGCAAGGATTGCACGAAAGCTTATTGCGAAGGTGAGCCCTGATGCAGCGCCGCAACAAAGCAAAGGCAAAAAAGGAATGCCATTGGCCAAAGGAGGGCTGAAGACTGTGGAGGAGGTGAGGAACTTCTTTCTGTTACCGCGTCTCCTCCCTTCCCCTAGATGCCTCGAATGTCAGCTTCTCTCACCATTCCTCAACTGCGAGGTCTTGAGACCCTTATTATTCTAGTGGCGCGTTGCATTGCAGATTGCGAAAAATCGGATCCGGAGGGAGCAGCTGCGTCAGAAGAACGCAAAGAAGGGGAAAGGTAGCAAGGCCGCCGCTGCAGCAGCCGCCCAGTCGAAAGCCAAGTGGATGAAGAAGCAAAATGTAAAGATGGCACGAAAAGGAGCTCCCAACAGATCCATTGCGATCAAAAGGTCAGGCAAGAAAAGGTGATAGGATGCTTTCTGCACTCGAACGTGTGGGGGCAAAGGCTGTGTACACGGGCTCGACGAGGGCCTCCTTGGGACAGTGCCTCAGGGGTTTTTTTCAAAAATAACTAAACAGGCTTTTTTACGGGGGCATCTCAGGGAATCCTTATGGGGGAACCACTTGAGGCCCTCCCCCAGGATAGCTGTAGAAGCCCCAGGACAAACTCATATATATGTTCTTTGCGGAGTTATATATTCGCCCAACATGAGTTTGTCTGTTCCTAAGGAGTTGTTGCGGAGACAGTAGGGAGGGCTCGTGCCAAGGCTACTTGAGGCGCATCCCACATTGTTCTACAGACTACCTCGTTGTACATCAACAACTGCCGATCCCCCTTTAATAGGCCTCTATAGAGACGCTTATGTCTGCATCGTGCCCTACCGAAACGCTGCATCCCGTATTTCTGTATAACGCACGCAGAACTCAGCGATGCACTTGGGCCTTTGTAGTGCGTTCAAATACACAGGAAGGAGGAAAGCGGTGTGGCACTGGAACTTGGGAAAAAGTGCTGCCCTCCACCCGCTCTTCTCGTAGCGTGCAAATGTGGAGTCGATTATCGGCGAGGCGACGTCTATGAATAGGAGCCATGTGCCTGGCTCTCCAAATGACGTTCCGCTTGCGTATGTGTGTGCATACTTAGACCACTACAACAATGCGCCCTCTTTGTTCCCCACACAGGCGCATGATCGCTTTCAGTGCTGACGAGCTATTGTCTCTTCATGAAACCTCTCTGCGCATATCCCTGCACTCAACTCATCAGGCTCCGGCCCCATAAAATAGGCGCTACTGCGTGCACCATCCAGCCACATGCATTTAGTTGCACATGGGAGCCTAGCGCATGGGTGCATAGCACCCAGGCCTACATTTTAAGAAGCGAGGCTCACAATGCAACGAGTAGAGCATTAGACCGGCCCAATCATGCAAGTGCTGCTCTATCGACCGAATCTTGACAGAATATACGTGACGTAGTGCAATGTGCGCCTTAGCGCCTGTCATTTTACGCGCTTTGCATGTGCAAGCGGTGCATGCCTGCTCATTAAAGCTCCTCAGCCTGCTTGCTATTGGCCCCTAGTCGCCATTTCATTGCCCGAATTTCGCTGCTAATTGAAAATGCATGCTGATTTCATGAAGAACGCGTGTCTTTAACGCGCGGTGAAGCCATGGACACCTCAGCAATGAGAAGTTTTGCAAGTATATGGACTAGATACTCATGTTTGCTCAAATACTATATTAGCCGATTGCACACAGCAACATGGAGAACTAACAAAGTGCCCAAGATGCTGTCAAGATAGACCCCACGTATCTACCCTCTTCACGAGCTGCCGCCGTCTACGAATGCCCACTGTTGGAGCAAAAGCATCCAGGCGACCAACCCGTGTCTCTTCGCTCAAGTCCTCTTGGTTGCACTGCATAAGAAAGGCCTTTTCTCTTTCCTGGCCTTCAGGTTCAAGCCGCCGGCAAGTAGCAACCCCCCTTCTGGCCACTCTGCACCTTCGGGGTGCAGTGGGGCTTATTGATTAGCTTCCGTTGCGTCGGCGAGTGCTTCTCCGCGTTTCCCTTGATCGGTGTTTCTGCTGCTTTCATGTGTAATTCTGCTCCTTTTTTCTTCCGGTCTCACCTTTTCTGACTCTGCTCGTAGTGCGGGCCCAGCATCCCATGCCCGCAGGCGCTCTCCCCTCCTGTATCTTTTCTCTCTCTCTCTCTGCCTCCTCCTTTTCCAATTTTTGGTTGCTTTCTTCCCTCGCTCCCCTCAGCAGCAGTCCTAATGCTTCAGGAACAGGATACGCCTGCCCCTCTCCAGCCTAACCCCCCCAAAACAATGGAAGCTCATACCACGGGGGGAACTGGCAGGGTGATCCTGGCCTCAGTGTCGCAGATAATGTACCCAGTTGACTTGGATTTGATCCATCATCTCTTCTCCAGATACGGGGAAGTCGAAAAGGTCAGCAAGCGCGCAATCAGCACCAGCAGGTAGACTTGAACCGGGAGCTCTGCGCCTTGTCTACCCATATATTTATGTATATACACCGCGGCGTGCTGATGCTGAACACAGAGAGCTGTCTTCTGTGCCATTTCATTCGTCAAGCGCTCACTCCTAGTTCAGAGAGCGGGTGCCGATACACCGCGCGACAAAGGATAGTACGGTCCCCCGCAGCGCCAGGGACGAATGTGTGAAGGGTCTGCCCTCCTGTGTCACAATATATGTATCCAGTTCTTATCTGTAGAGGTGTATGAAGCGGAGGCGTGAAAAAGTCTTCAATGGCATAGCGCTCAGCGCAGGGCAGACTACGAGAGCATGGCGGTATCCCCAATCCACAGATAGCCTGTCAGGGCGTTGGAGGAGGGGGTCATATGAAATGCGCACCCGCTGCTAAAGCGTATGCAGCTCGAGCTCAGATGTGCATGCGGCGTCTGTGAATCAGCCTTCTTCTTCTGTGTCTGAGTGTGGGGCAACACTCTCGGGGTAATCGGGGTGTCTGGCTGGTCTGCGCACGAAAGCGCCTCCCTCATGGGGTCTCGAGGTGTCTCGTCTGCATGCCCCGATCTGCAAGACTTTTGATGAGCCATGCGTTTCTGATCGGCGTGCATTGGGAGGTTCTTTGCTTGCTTTGCTGCCCTGCTTGATTTCCTGCTCTTGTATCGTGCATGCATACACTGCCTGCCCCCCAGGCGCGAACAGATCGCCACGCGGCTCTTGCTGTGTGATGCATCGCTGAGTTGCAGATTGTGAGCTTCTACAAGACGCCTACTCTCTACCAGGCGCTGGTGCAGTTTGCGCGACCAGAACAAGCGCAAGAAGCCCTCGCCAATCTCCACAACAGGAATATATACGACGGCTGCAACACGCTGCAGCTTCAAGAATCTCGACTTCCAGAACTGGTCGTCAAGTCGAACTGTGCAAAATCGTGGGATTACACGATAAGCGCAGCCGGGCCGGGGGCTTCAAGAGCATCCTTGCTGGAGCATCACCCCCAGCAGCAGCCTCAGCACGCTGTACATCCAGAGATGCATCACCATCCACAAGCAGCAGCAAGGGGCATGTTCACGCCATATGGCGGGGTTAGGCCAGTCCCCCATCCCCCCGTCTGCTTCCCTCCTGAGCGTCTGCCTCAAGAACTGAGAGAAATGGATTTTGACTTTGCCAACCCCTCGCAAACGCCTGTGGTTATCGTCTACAACATTCCCGCGTCTGTCAACATCCAGATGGTCCGTTAAAGGCCTCCTTGCGCTCGAACGCCACTATTGCTCCCTCCTCACAACTGAGTCTTCTCCTCGTGTCGCAGCAAGCAGTGCAGAAGGATGGCAGTCCACCCCGCCCTTACCGGGTGGCTCCGTTGGAGAACACCTTGTCTGCCTCCCTCTATGCAGCCCTTGGAGTCTTATAGTGGTGTTGGCGTTGGCTGTGCCAAGAGTGCTTGTGTGTTTTTCGCCTTCGCCTTCCACTCTCTAGGCTTATCCACGCTCCGTGCTTGCCGTGGCCACCCTCCTTTCCTCCCCTTTGGGGTGGGTAGGGGGTTGGTGGTTGTGGGTGTTGATTTTTTCCCGGGAGAGATCGTCGTCACACGGCGGGAGGCCCTCATGTGCGTTTTATGCGCCTGCCTCTCCATCCGTGCAGTTGTTCAATCTGTTTAGTCTCTACGGGATTGTTTTGCGGATCAAGATTCTCAAGGAGCGGCCGGATACTGCCCTCATTCAGTATGCTTTGCCGTTTTACGCAACGATTGCGCAGTGCCTTATGATGGTGAGTGGCGTTTTCTGCCGCCTCCTTCCTCCCGCTTCCCCCGAGCAAGAAAAACCTCCAGGGGGGTAACATGCATTCTACTCGCCCTTCGCCCCTTTCTGTTCGCGGCTCGCAAGCCATGTTTCTGCTTTCAAAGAAAGGCGCTTGCTGGATGCTTGGTGCAGGGAGCTGTATGCGAAGGCCAGGCTCTCCAGGTGACCCTCAGCAGAAACAAGGAAGTTCGTCTTCCCTCCTCCGCAGCGACGGCTTCAGGAGACTCTACAGGAGTGGAAGACGAGAAACGAACTGTTGCTTTCAACATGAAAGATCAGAGATACGGGGTAGGCTCGCTTGCTCTCCGCGCAGAACGAACGAGGGGAGGCCGCGAGAGGACATGGGTTGCATGCAGGCGTTCCCTGCCTTTCCCCACGTCTTTTGTGAAACTCGCGGAGGAACTTGCATGCGCTCGTGGCTGCATGCAGGGCGAAGACGTTGAGAAATACGTCAAGGGAGCATGCAGACCTACCAAGACCGTCTTCGTGGCGAACGTGAATGAGGAAGCGCAAGCGGAGGACGTGGCGGCGCTCTTCAAGCAGTACGGTCAAGTCTTGAAGATCACGTTCAAGAAGCCGAAGAACGAAACAAGCAGAACAAAGCTCTGCATCATGGAATTCGAATCTGAAGAGAGGGTGCGACTGCTGCGGAGGGACGCGTTGCTGAATTTGCTCCATTCGAAACACGCACGACATGAGTGTTGAATCTATCGGTGTTGCTCATCAGGGTCACTCGGCTGCAGCCCAGGAGGGGGTTGAGAGGGGTGGGGTGGGGTCCTCTGCTGTTTCGAGAGTCCATGCAGTGTGTAGGCGGCTTCTCAAGTGTTGTGCTGCTGCATTTTGTCGGCGCGTCATTTCTCTCTGCGGCGTGCAGGCATTGAGTGCAGTGATGCATCTGCACAATTTTGAGTTCATGGGGAGGTCCCTAAAGGTCGCCTTCTCCAAGAGTGTTATTTAAAGTCTCAATCGCCGCCCCTACACGCAGAGCAGCGGCCGCTGCTGATTACTCCAAGTGCAAGTGTAACGAGTATTGCGGCAATGAACAGAAAGACACAGAGAACGCGGAGTGGGAGGCGGGCAGGGGGAACTGAGAGAGGCATGCACCACGGAAAAGGGAGATCGAGGTCCCCGTCGCTTGTTTCTTACGCTCTTCTTACCCCTCCGAAATCCGCTTCCTTTCACGCGCAGCCTTGCCACCTCCAACCCCTTTAGTAGAGTCTGTGTGCTCTCCATACTGGCAACTCCCCCTGTGCGTTTATTTTGAGTGTCGCCGCCTCCACATCCCAAGACAGCCCTTCCTTGACTGCACTGCAGTGATATGTCCTTCGCCTCGCGCTGCGTCTCGCTTCGCCCGTATCATCTACAGAATGCTGGCATGCTCTGTACCGCTTGGCTTGCTTCTTGTGAAGGCGGTCAATATGCTTAGGCAATAAGGGCTTCACAGAAGGTCCCGTCGCACTGCTACAATGGTAGACATTATAGGGAACTTGGCGGACACGGTTGCTCTCTGACTGCCAATAATACTACGCAAGGCGACGGGGTTGCTGGGTAGGAAGCGCAGGGGCTGCTGGGCAGGAACAGAGGTCGTTTGGCTAGTGCATGAGGTAAACACAACGCAGAGACCGCGTCTCATCAACACCCAGCGCACATACATTCATAAGGCAGAATGGCACGGAGAACGGTGGTGCTCCCCGTTTCAGGCTTTCTTATGGGGAGCTGCTTAACGGCCTCATGCAGCGGCTGCTCTTATCAGCTAAAACGACCTGGCTAGACACCTCAGGCGAGCAGCCAGGTGCCTTTTAAGGAAGGCCGAGATAGGGGAGCGGTCAATCTTCGCACACGCACACCAGTTGTCCTCCTCTCAACACATTATACCTCTCTCCTGAGATCCAACGCTTCTAGCGCAGTCCAGAAGGTTGCAACAGAGATAACACGGTTTAAAGGAGAGGGTAGCAGGGGCTGATTGCCTCAGCGTAGCGGGAGCGGAAACGTCGAGAAGCCGGGGGAGCCACGCTTGGACCCCCAGCGGTTCCCCTTCTTATGGAGGACGATGCCCGAGTGGGCTAAACTCGTGGACATTTTTTACTTTCTTGCTGCTGCCTTATTGTGTACTTGTGGTTGAAGTACACCAGACGATTGCCATATTCACCGTACGGAGCAGCGCAGTTTTATTCGCAGTGATTTTGTAGCGTTCTGTTCACTGCGTCAAGTTTTAGGTGTCCATACACGTGGGACGTATCGACGTTTTTCCCTCGCTCGGGCTGCCCGTGTAACGTATGGAACCTATGGTTTCTATGCACCCGCCGGCCTCAGTATGCTTTCTACAATTTTTGCGTCTGGTGATGTAGAGTGCTCGAGAGTTTTCGCCGATCGCGGTGCAGGGGTCAAGCGTTCTGCGTGGAGGCGTACACGGGCGGGACAGAAGCTTGCAAACAAGCGGGAATGCGTGGGAACTGATATACTTGTCTGGTTGGTGGCCACTTTGGGGCAAGAAAAGATCCTAAAGGATCTTGCAGCGGACGAAGCCGATAAACAGGGAATTTCGCTGCAAGATAAGATGCGCATAAATTTCAAAAACCGTAGCGACCGCCTGCATGCCCTGCCAGCTGCCCGCCCTTCACTTCTTCGCAAGGTCTACGGACAGCCTGCAAGAAGAAAAGCAGAAATGAGCATTGCAAGAAGGCAAGTGTAAGCGCGCGAACAGTCCTGCACACGGAGGTACACACCGCCACACAGCATTCCTAGTCGACCGCCTGCAAACAAGGGAGGGCGTATGGACTACAACAGAGAGTCCTCCCCATCACCTTTGGCCTCCACCCAGAGAAAGGCCGAGAGGGCGATTATAGGGGAAAAGGGGAGAGAGGCGCAGCCTTTGCGGAGTGTCGGAAGGTCGCAACACATGGCATGCCGCCTTCTTCGCCTCCTTCCTTTGCTGCTTCTCTAGTCAAGCCGCCCCACGAAACTGCCGAGACATTGTGCCATACCGCAGAATCTTGAGACACGTATAAGCCTTGTCCCTTTCCCGTCTTCCCTCAAAGGCCAATGTGATTTTGGGGCAGTCCGCCTGTTTTGTCGTGAGCACTGCAGTAGGCACAACGGCAACAGAAAGCAAACCGCAAAGGCACGCCCTCCGGTGGAGTCCGCATACATTACACCGCAAACCCCCGAGCTGTTGTGTTGCAACTTCCGTTTACGCCAACGCCGCAAGGGGAAAGCGACAACAATCTGGGTGCTACAGGAGGAAATCTGAATGCCACAAGAGAGAGGTAGCAGGTGATGCTACTCCAGCGGCGGCGAAAGAGAGAGACAGAGACGGAGACAGAGAGAGAGGCATCGCAGCACGAGGGCGCTCAGTGGGGGGGGTAAGCAGGGTCCAAGAGTCCGCAAGCAAAAGATATATTCGAAAAGGAGAACTGCGAAAGGTGGCAGCCAGGGAGAGTCCATTAGGAGCCAAACAAGGCCGCGTCTCTCAACTAACCGAGGGCAGATTCCAGGTCTACAGAAAGGGGTGCTTGTGGATTCTTCTCCCCATTGTAGAAGTCTTCTGCTTTAAACGCTCCCGTAAGACTGCCGACTGCAAAATGAGCCGATGGCACTTGCGCCTCCTCGAAAGAATCAATGGATATGTCCTACAGGAAAAAAAAGTGGTGGCCAAAAAGGCGCACACCGTTAGAAAAGAGGCAAAGCTCCTGTCACGCAGGGCTCTGCCCGGCGGACATACATCAGAGGGCGTCTGTCGTTGCTTCGACAAAAACAAGAAAACAAGTAAACACCAGGTCTACTCAGCGGCGAAGAGCCGTCAGAGAAAGGGCAGTGTGTTTTGTGTAAGGGGGCCAGGATGTGTGTGTGGGCACCAGCAAGTGTCTGTCCATCGAGAACGTAGCGGCCGCACTTAGGTCTGCGGAGGGCAGAGCACTTAACACACAAGCGAAAGGGTGTAGCTAGCGAGCTGTTCTTCCTCCTTTGCCCAGACAACTTGTGGAGGTGAGAGGAGACGCAAAAGAAGGCAGCCTGCCCCCAGCATGGCAAACCGGGTGTCGTCATCGCGCATCGCGCGGGAGGTGCTTGTCTACAAAGCCCCACCCCGGTCTGCATCGACAATTGTGAGTCCGAATCCTGCAACAGCTTCCCTTGCGAACTCCTTAACGAGGGCCTGCAGCCTTCGTTTCTCTTCTTCCTGAGGTTTGGCACGCCAGAACAAGCAGCTCTGCCGCAAAGGGGAGGTGCAGGCCTCTTAAACAAGCAGATCTATATATATGCATGCATGCCTATTTGAATCACGGCATTAGTCAAGGAAGCGTGGGTGCACTGGTTTCTAGAGACTCCGGCGAGCGCAAAGTGGCTCGCTCCCAAGCCTTTCGGGAGGGATGGCCTGTCCGCATGCAGCTTCGCTGCATCGAGGGTGGTTTGGCTGTGTTCCCTATCTGCGAGCACTCTTGCAAAAACGTGATGCCGGACTGCTACACCTGCGCAGCTAAACGCCTAAGTAGTAGCGCGTTTGCAGACCTTCTCTTCGGGAGACATGTCGCTCAGGCGTGTGACTGCAGTGCTGCTGCGGTGTATAATCGACTGCTTTGGAGCAGACAGCGGAGGCCGCTGTTGTGGCTGCCGCTGCTGCTGCTGCTGAACCGCTGCCGCAGCAACTGGGGGTGAGGACATCTCCTTTGCAGGAGGCTTTGGTTGGTGGCTGTGCTGCTTCTGCTGGTGCGGCTGCTTTTCTTGCTTGGAAGAAGACCTCCTCGCAAGCGGCTCCTGGGGAGACACATAGGCCCCCGAGGTAGACTTCCTGCTGGAAAAGCTTTGCATGCCTCTGTACGATTCACTTGCTTGCTTGTCGATTTCGGGAGAAGACAAGCCGAGCGCTGCTGGCCGCTGGAAGGAGCCGCAGGGGCTTCCGCCGCTGCGGGAAAGAGAGCTGCCTTGCCTGCTGCGAAATACTTTGCTTCCGTCTCTGCAGCGGCGCATGTTTTCTTCCAGCCTGTAGACTTCTGAACTAACTCTACTCTTGAAGGCAGGTGGAGGGCTGCGTCCTGCTGAGACCACGCGAAAATGAGCACGCATAGAGGTCACCACAAAAGACTGCACGGCCGAGCGATTCTCGGAAAAGTTGTCGTTTAGAGCAAGACAGAACTGGAGTGCAGGGATACAGTGGCAAAATATGCAGACAAACAGATACGCACAGAGTATTTCAGATAGAAGGGAAGCGACTGATAGTGCAGGAAGCAGCAGGGGGAGCACACACGACAGAAAATGGGCGTCAAGGGACGAAAAGCCTATCAAGACTGTGATGGGGCGTCTCTAAATTGCAGCAGCAATTCTTTAAATGAGTATCGCAGGAGACTTAGCACGCCTTCGAAGAACGCAATACCAATTAAATTCAGACAGACAGACAAACAAACAGACAGGCACACACCCTTAGCTAGACTGGGGGCGCCCGCATCGTCGCTTTCAAAGTCCAGCAAATCATCATCTGAAGATAGCAGAAGCACACGAAGCAATTTCTTAGGTGTTCAAAGGCGCACTGCTCATGGATGTTCGGTCGGGCGATATCGATTATTTTTTACTATAATGATACAAGCATAGAAAGAGGGGTCTACGCCTCTGTGTGCTTTGCGCTCTATGCGTGTATCTGCCTCCCAACTAGCGCATGCAAGAACCATGAGCTCAAGAAGGGTCAAGCTGTCAGACATACCGGATAAGCCAACGTGCGCCGCAATTCGATCGTACGGCGCCACACCCAAATCGGCTTCCTCAGTACAGCAGAAGTGACACAGGTCCATCTTCTTGAGCAGCGTGTGTTGCTTGCTGAAAGAATGAGTATGAATCGCCTTCGGAGGTCAAGGGCTCAGGTATTGGAATAAAGCTCGTCGTGAATACACTTTTCAAAGGGGATACACTTCCTTTCCTTGATGGCAGACTGCCCAGGTGCCTTTATCGTCAATCCGGCAAAGAGGCGGCGGCAAGGACTGCAAAGGACAGCATTATTCCCTAGTTATGGGTTGACCGCATGGTGGGTACGGAACTGGTTTGCGCTCTGTTGTGGCTTCACTGGAAACCGATTCCTCGAAGAGCAGTTCGGTAGCACTTGTTCTTGGCGACCTCTCTGCAGGCCAAAGAGACAAAAAGCAAAGACTTCAGCAGGTGGGTATACAGAGGAACCCAAATGAGAGACGAAAAAGACACACACAGCCGAAAAGTACAATGTTCCCAACCGCCGCCAATGCTCCCTGCTCACCCAAGTGCACGAGGTGAATACGAGACCTCATCGGAGAAGGCTCTCTTCCCTGAGCTTTTTCTGCAAATTCCGGCAATTCAGGCATAAAAATGTTAAGGGTTGCCAATAAAAATAGTTTGCATGCAGAAAACGCAAAGAAAAGCCACTAGCTCGCGCTGTTTGTCCGCCCTTGGGCCGCCGAGAGGGCGAGCAGCTGCTGCGTACAGGTTAGCATGACCACCGGAAATCAATGAGTACCGCGAAGATGGCGTGTGGTACAAATATTAAAACGCCTAAAAGTGACTGGGTCCTTGTAAACATTACTGCATATAGAGGATACTAGGCAGAAAAGGGGAGTGAAACTAACGTCGCGGTGTGTATGAGCCCTCAGCTGTCGATACACGCTAAACCTGCGGTGAAGGGCCTCTGATTCCGGAGGAGATGTAGGTTTTTTTGCAAATTGCATAAAGAAAGTTTTAGTCGGAACTTTCACTCCCTTGGCTCTTCTCAATGCACTACCCGAGCAACGCACTGTACTGAACTGCAGATCCCGCTGCCGCCGTCGAGCACGTAACGAGGCGCGCGGAAATTACCAGACTTCACGTTTGTAACTGCCGTACAGCTCGCATCAGCAAAGAACTATCAAAGTGAGGGCTAGTGATTGAGTACCATGGAGCTACTGAATTCCGTAAACCTACTTAGGCTCTGGGTCGTAAACACACTTGAGCAAAGTCCAATCACTTCGCCTGGCTGCAGCAACCAAGTTTCACATGTTGCAATTTGGTGTGGTAGCCCAGAGGGCGAGCCCCGAGGTAAAAGCTCGCCCTCTATCGATTTTGAAACGCAATCTTTTTAACTTGCAAAGCACCTACTTAGGGGGCCTCCGTATGGAAACCTGTGGTCCAACAAACGCATCAAAACTCAAGAGAAGGCTATTAGACACCACTTGAGAGAAAATTCTTTACCTTTTGCCTGCCCGCGCCCGACACAATTCCAGCATGTGGGGAAGGTAACATACCGGTGGCGCGCTGCTGCACCATCGGAAAACTCCATCTTTTCACACCCAGCAACACGCCGCAAGTTAGTGCCTTGGCACAAAGCCTTCATCCTTATAGTTTCTGACTCAGCAGCGCTACTCTATAGCATTTGGCTTCTCCAAATTATGAGCCATAAATGGTAAAGTAAGAAGGCCCAACATGCAGCCTGTCGCCTGCTGTAAGCCCAACTCAAAACCCAGTGACGGTAATCCCTTTAGTCGGGCATCCTCAGACAGCTGATAGCGTTTGTTGGAGGCCTCTTATCCGTTTGATAAAGCTTCAAGGTACTGTTTGTGGCTAGCGCCAGAAGACTGGCCAAACGAAGAGGAAATAGAGGGGGGACCAGGCAACAGACAGAAAAAAACGCTCAGCAGGAGATTTTCCTGCTTCGTTCTTGCAATGTGACGGTTAGTGTTGAGCATCAAACAGGGAGACAGTGCAGTAGAGCGCGAACAGGAACGGTATGAAAGGAAGAGGTGGAACTGTGCAGAACAGACAACGAAGGCCGTTGAAACGGAGAGAAAGACGCGTGCAAAACTGTGTCTCTGTACAGAGAGAGAGAGGACATTGGAAAAGAGAGTGGCGGGCTAGAGATGGAAAGAAGGAAATAAAGAAAGAAGTATCCCTCCGCCCACTTTGTCGTCTTTCGTGCCTCTGCCCCTTTGGCAATCGTGCTGCGTTCTTGAGGTCCTCTTCGGACAGCGACAGCATACAGAAACACTTGCAGACACCGAGTGCAAAAAGACGTGCCCACCACGGATTTTTTTCTACCCTTCTCTGCTTTCTGCAGCCTCTCTCATATCCTTTCTCCGTTTCTCGGATCCCGCTCAACAAGCGTCCGTCAAGAACATCTTGCGTGCAGGCCCCCTCGTTTCGCTTCGCCATCTGTTCTTGCATCCTTCCTCCTACAACGATTTTTTTGCAGCGCGCGGATCGCTGCAGAATTGTTCCCGCAGTTTCCACTTACGAAGCCCTCAGGCGGCCTCGTTGTGCTCCTGCAATCGATCTGTGTCTGCACTCTCTTTGTCTGTGTAGTAGTGCTCCTGTTTATCGTCAACTGGCTGCCCTGGAATCCCCGAGCTTTCACTAAGAAGCCGTCGTGCTCCCCCCCTCTGCCCGCTAAACTCTACAAATCTCATCCAGGACGGTTCTTTGTGGAAGCACGCTTCCAACAACGCCTCTAAGGGGCCCCCCACGTCGAGTGTCTCTGCAACGCCTCTCTGTGAAAGGGCAGCCACAGCCATTGTTACCCAGCGGGTAAGGACTGACGCTAGGGCGTCTGGCAAGCCATATACCGTGCTGCAAGCACATCACCGGAGAAAGGAAAGAGCTGCTACACACACAAAGGCAAAGAGACGGGAAACGGCAGGAGAGGCGGGAGCAGAGGCAAGGCACAGATGACGGCAGAGTAAAAGGTTGCTCTCGAGAGCCACAGAGAGGAAAAGACACACAGAATTGCCCATGTCTGCACACTGCCCCGCTTGCTTCTCCCTTTTCCCCACCCCCTCCTTCCTCCAGAAGTCCAGACATCAAGAGGCTACAAACATACAAACTCCAGAAGCGAAGCAAGCAGAAACATGTAGAGTTGGGTAGATATTTACACGTGCAGGCAAGCATGCGCGTCAAGACGAAGGGCATATCCTTCGCCGGTGTTGAAAACGTATTTACCCACACACACACACAGTCTCTAAAGCTCTTCATGCCCCTCCTCAGTCCTCCCCGAAGTTTCCGTTTCTGACTACCGCTGCACAGCCGCCTCTCTGCCACGTGCCGCTCAACTGCCCTCCAGCAATTGTCTACTCAGTCGCACAGGGAAGCCCAGCAGAGAGACCTACAAGCTGGACGCGAGAACAATTCCACGCCTTACTGGAGAAAAGATGCCACTGGTGAAACACAGAAAGGCTGTCTTAGAGCCTCGCACGCGAATCCGCGCAAAACATTTGTCTGAGTGGCAGCACGCATACACAAATCGCAGACTCCGCAAAACATCGACATCTAACAGCAGGGACTGCTTCACGGGCGAACCGCGAAGAAAAAAAGAAGGAAAAACATCAGATACAGCACATGGAGAACAAGGGAACTCCCTAGCCTCCCCGCCGCTGCGAGAGGCTGAGTGCAAAGGGAATCGACAGACAGACAGACAAACAAAAACCCAAACAAACAAACACACATACACACAAGGAGGCGACAACCGGAAGAGGGAAAGGCAGTTTCAATGTGAAGGATTTTTAGGATCGTGACAAAGGCGCGAACGCCTCCACGAGCGGAAGCAGACGTAGCAGAGATGACAGATGGGGGTGTCTGTCTTTGAAAAGGAAAGAGACGGAGCATGCGCGCGCGGCAGTTGCCTCGCCGATGTCTCCAGCGAAAGCCCAGCATACGCGGCTGACTGAAGCTAAGAAAAAAACAGCCCTCATGAAGGCATTTCAACTTGCACGAAAGAAAGGCAGAGCAGCAAGTGCTTTTTTGCGTCCCCACGACAAAGCTCCTGCGCACTTTGGGGTCAGACGGTTCGATCTTGATGCCATCCACCTGATCCGTTGCGAAGTAGACGATCCACGCGGCTAAGGCGAGGGAGATCTTGGCAACACCCTTGTGCTGCTCTAGCAGCTGACAGATGGACGAACGTGTGGTGCTGTAAAACTTGCTGCTGCCATCCTGGGCGACGCGCTGCAGCTCGTCCTTCACGAAAGCGTTTCCAAAGCGCTCTACAACCCTCTCTTTGTACCTGCGTCGAAAAAAACACAGCTCGCGAGACACCACCCACCCACCTACCTACCAGATGCAGAGGCGAGCCTTGTTCCCCGACTCTCCGCTTCGCAGGAGCAGCCCTGTGCCTTGCCATGCCTCAAAAGGCAGACGCGGAGAAGTCATGCAAAGACGCAAAACGTAGATCAAGCCTCGAGCAATGCAGGAGGCTTTGTTGCCGGGGTGTATTTATTGTCGATGCCTCAGTTCTTTTGGGTTCGCCCTCTGGCGTAAAGCGCTTTCTCCGGCTTTGTCGTGTTTTCAAGCGCTGTTTCCAGCTGCATGCATTGTGCCCAGAGATGCGCGCTTGACGAAAGACAAAGCAGACAGCAGCCGCTTCCTACGCTGGAAGGACGACCTCACCGCTCAATGTCGACCTTGAGATCCTTAAGACACGGAGTCGCTTCATCCATGTAGCTCCTCAAGAATCCACTGATCCTGAAGCAAGCGGAGAAAGCGGCAGGTGGGAGGGGGGGTGGCTGCCTATACCACACTGGGGAGTCCATCTACCAAGCAGCTCCCCAAGGCAGTCGAAAGATAGAGAGATAGAGAGAGAGAGAAGGAGAGAGATAGAGAGAGATATATATAGAGAACGAGAGAGATAGAGAGATATATATATAGAGAACGAGAGAGATAGACAGCGACAGAGGTAGGGAGAGATAGAGAGCGATAGAGGCAGAGAGAGAGAGAGAAAGAGAGAGAGATAGAGATAGAGATAGAGAAAGAGAGAGCTACAGAGAGAAAGAGATAGAGAGCGATAGAGGCAGAGAGAAAGAGAGAGGTACAGACAGAAGCAGAGAGAGAGAGGCAGAGAGAAGGAGAGAGGCAGAGAAAGAGAGGCGCAGAGAAAGAGAGGGGCAGATAGAGAGAGAAGCAGAGAGAACGAGAGAAAGAGAGAGAGAGAGAGAGACGCAAAGAGAAAGAGAGAGAGAGAGAGAGAAGCAGACTGAGAGAGAGGCAGACTGAGAGAGAGGCAGAGAGAGAGAGATAGAGAGACAGAGAGACAGGCAGAAAGAAAGGGATAGATAGAGGCAGAGAGACAGAGAGACAGGCAGAAAGAAAGAGATAGATAGAGGCAGACTTAGAGAGAGGCAGAGAGAAGGACACAGCGAGAGAGCGAGACAGAAAGACAAAGCGAGACAGACAGCAAGAGACAAAAGGACAGAAAAACAGGAAGAATGACGACGAAAGAGTGCGCAACAGAGCGAAGGAAACCATGGCAAAGGCTTTTTGAGGACGCAGTACAGGGGGCATGTTCTTGACGCTAGAGAAGAAAGTGTTTTCAGCTACAGAAGCAGCGCTTCTTCTTTGCGAGCAGAGCATAGCACACCCCATACGTGTGAACGTATGCCTTAGTGCAGGAGCAGCAGCGAAGACATATGAGGGGCATCTTCTCGCATGCACGCGTATGCGTCGGATCTCACATACGAAGAGAAGCGCAGCATAGCGCAGCGTTCATCGGGAGGGGCAGGCATCTGTGCAAGAGGAGGAGGAAATGTTGCAAGAACCCCCCCCCGCTATACTTTTTTGTGCATTTGAAAGGGACGGTAGCGATGCTTCCGAGGAAGATGTGCTCACCGAACATCTCGTATGGCTTCGTCTACGTATCGATAGCCCAGCAAGGTTGAAATGTATGCAATGCAGCTGTGTCCAGCGTTCAAAAGCTTGAGCTTCATCTCTTCGTAACTCTGAACCTCCCTGACTACCAGGCAGCCGACGGCTTCAAAGAACGGTCTGTCGTTGCAGAACGTATCCTGGCGAGAAAAAGAGAGAGAGACAGAGACAGAGACAGCAGACGCAGAGGGGAGGAGAGGATTACGAGGGCTGATGAGTCTCTCTCTACAGCCTTGCCACCTAGCTCATTAGAGGCAGGATGTGACACATGCCGCGAAAGATTTTGAACGCGATCGCAGTGCACCAATCCCGGCTATGCAAGACGAGAAAAGGGCGGAGAACCAGAAAAGCAGTAGGAAACGAACGGGGGAAGAATGAAAAGACGAAACAACGAACAACAACACGGAGGAGCAGCCGCCAGAGCGACACACAGAGCGAGAGAGAGAAAAAGTGGACAGAGAGAGAGAAAGAAAAAAAGATAGAAAAATTAAGAGAAAAATAGATACATAAAGTGAGAAAGAACAATATATAGATGAAATGAGAAAGAAAAATAGAGAGAGAGACAGAAAAATAGAGAAAGAAAAATAGAGAGGGAGAGAGAGAGATAGAGAGAAAGCAAAAGGCATTTGTCAAAGGAGCACCAGGAGGAAACCTCATGGCGGACGGAAATGAAGGAAATTTAACTCCGGCAGAAGTGTATCTGTATGTGTTCGTGTATCTTGTGCGCAAAATGACACGTGCAAAGAAGGCCATGTGCCTTGTGTACAACAGAATCGGTTTCCCAGTAAGTGTGTCTCTGCTCGTGCTTAGGCGCTGCTTGCCAAGCGCGAAGAAAAAAGATGACGCATTTTTCATAAAAACGGAAGAAGCACGATGATGAAGCAGCCGCCCCGCTACGACAGAAGAAAAATACCCTTTTCCACTGCATGCAGCCTCCGGAGCGATCAAGGAAGGGAATGGCCGTATCAGAGATGAAGATACACCTGCCTGACTCACCCCTATTACCCATTGCTTGAAGTCTTCAGCAACTACAGGCCACTTGTCTCCCACGCCGTAGTCTTCTTCAAGAAGAGCGATGTGCTCGCTGCCAGTCATGGGAGTAATGCGGTCAACCATCGTGCAAGGAAAGCTGCATGCAGGCATGCAAATGGGTGGTGGCAAACACACAGTCATGCCTCATGCATCGCCATCCAAATTTTCGCGCGCGCACACACACACACCTGTCCTCTACATAAAGACACAAAATGACACGCAATGCGGGATTCAAGCAGGAAAAACGCACTGTATGCAAAGACAAAAAATGTGGCGAATACGCATTCAAAACGCTGCCAATCCAGTCGGGGCCCCTCCCACATTGCAGCGACTTCCCTCGGGTGTACATCCCCCGAGCGTGTTGTATGTGTATGCATTTTGTATGTCTGTGTGTGTGTATGTGTATGTGTGTGTATGTATGTGTGTTTGTGAATGTCTGTGTGTATGTGATTGTCTGTGTGTATGTGTGTGTCTGTGTATGTATGTCTGTGTATATGTGTGTGTGTCTGTGTATGTGTGTGTGTGTCTGTGTATGTGTGTGTGTCTGTGTATGTGTGTGTGTGTCTGTGTATGTGTGTTTGTATATGTCTGTGTATCTGTGTGTGTGTATGTGTGTCTGTGTATGTATGTCTGTGTATGTGTGTCTGTGTGTGTCTGTGAATGTGTGTGTGTCTGTCTGTGTATGTGCTTCTCTGTGTGTGTGTGTATGTGTGTATGTGTATGCGTATTTCTGTGTATGTGTATGTGTATGCCTGTGTGTATGTCTCTGTGTGTGTCTCTGTGTGTGTCTGTATCTGTGTATATCTGTGTGCATGCGAATATACATGTATATATACAAGTATATATATATATATATTTATGACTGGGCGTGTGGAAGACAAGAAGCCTTCAAGCGTAAGTGCAGCAAACGCTAGATGCCTTTTTTGTAGGTGGAAAGAAGGCGGCATGAGGGGGGTATAGCGTCGTGTGGAGGCACTGAGTGCCTTGTGGGGGGCGAAGTTGCTATTGGCATAAACAACTGCCTCCCCGAACTTCCACGCGTTTGCAAGGCCAGAAGAGGCAAGAGGAAAGCGACAAAAGCTGCTCACACCCGCAACCCTCACCAGACGTGTTTGCTAATCCACGTTGCCATTTCTACATCCACTTCGGTGGCAAACTGAACGACCATCCTCTTCAAGAGCTGCAAAGCAAGGCGAAGCAATACACTGAAGGCAGCCGGATGCTCTTGTAGAGTCACATTCAGCCAGGAGAAAAGCAACTGTCACTGTCTCCGTGTCGCAGCATATGCATATGTATATATATAGATATATATACATATATATGTGTTCAAATATGCACATATAATAAATACATATATATATATATGTATACATATATATGTGCATATCCCTCCCTCTAGATGGAAGTTTTTTTAGCAAGCGTAAAAATACTCAGAATTGTGCCTCCGCCGGTTGCGTTGGAAGGCGCGCAAAGCTTGCAAATTTCAGTGATGCCTCCTTCTCTTCCGCTTCCCTCCTTGCCTGCACTGGCCTCGCTAAGGTCAGCAGCCTGCACTTCGGCGAGGCTTTCTTACCTTGCCGTTGTTCGGAATATTATCGCAAGAAAGGACGGTGAATGGTCTAATGCCTGCAGCCCTCCTGAGCGCCAGTCCCATGTAAATAAGGCCTATGGCCGTTTGGGGTGTCTCGACGCCCTGAGAAGCAGGCAGTGCTCGCACATCCTCTACGCTTGAGAACGCGTTGCACAGCAATGCAAGGAGAGCAAAAGGAGGAAGCCACTCGGCAAACAGGGAAAAGTGCCAAGACAGAGGATACACCCGGGTGGTCCCCTGTGTGCGTGCAAATTTTAAGAGGCAGAGCATTCCCCATCAGGTAGAAAGCACAGCAAAAAAAGGACAGGGGGGGAGGAATTGGGGAAAACAGGGAGCAAAAGAAGACAGGGGCTGAAGGTAGGTGGGGTGGCCATTTAACGGAGGAGAGAAAGACACACGGGGCTGATAGATACACTCGGAATACGGAGCTGAACGATACACTCGGAATACAGGGCTGACCGATACACTCGGATTACGGGGATGAAAAATACACTCGGAATACAGGGCTCATAGATACACTCGGAATACAGGGCTCATAGATACACTCGGAATACGGAGCTGACAGGTACACTCGGATTACGGGGATGAAAAATACACTCGGAATACGGAGCTGACAGATACACTCGGAATACGGAGCTGACAGATACACTCGGAATACGGGGATGAAAAATACACTCGGAATACAGGGCTCATAGATACACTCGGAATGCGGAGCTGACAGATACACTCGGATTACGGGGATGAAAAATACACTCGGAATACAGGGCTCATAGATACACTCGGAATACGGAGCTGACAGATACACTCGGATTACGGAGCTGACAGATACACTCGGAATACGGGGATGAAAAATACACTCGGAATACAGGGCTCATAGATACACTCGGAATACGGAGCTGAACGATACACTTGGAATAAGGGCCACGGACTCATCTCTTGACTGGTGCGTAGAATTAACACAAAGTGAACGCTAGCTGGCGAACAGACAGACAGCTATACACACGCATTCAGGAGATCCTCAAAGTTGGAAGCACATATAAGACTTGTACGAGCTGCATTCCACAGGTCTTAATTGTCACTCAGGAGTACTGCCTCGTGTCAGTGTAGCAAAAGCGGAAGGCGGCTTTTGCTTGGCGTCGTGTCGCAGTCGCTACAGTAATCTAAGTTGGATCGAGGGGCCGCAAGTTATGGCGAGAAGGTGGAAAGAAGCCAAGCCACACGAACTGCAGTTTCTCGTCTCATGAGCAAGTTTCGACGCGAATTACACCCCGCCTCCTCCCTCCCCTTGCCCCTCGCGATCCTTGCCTTTCCGCAGTCTCTGCCTCCTGTGAGGCAGACAGCAGCTTAGGCAAGTCGGAAGAGCCCACCGCTCCTCCTGCAGGAGGCTGCGCTCCTCGAGCCGTCCTGCCTCACCTGCCACGTAGTTTTGTTTGCCTTGGCGATCGTCAGATCGCTCTTGACACCCCTCGACTCTCTGTCTAGATTGCCGTCAGTGGCCATGCAATAGCCTTTCTCCGTAATCGTCAGAGAGAGCAGCTTCGTTCTTAAGTCCACCAACAGTCCTCGAAGGCGCATAGGCTCCTCTGGAGCAAATACAAAATCCATCAAGGAGCCGACTACACGCGCTTCGCATATCCTTTGACTTCTCGTGAGCACCTTTGGCGCACGCAACACGCAGCAGGAAAGTCTCTGCGCGTGTTGTCGAGATACGACGATGCATGCAGCCTCAAACTTCCGAAAGGGAAGGCCGGCTGCTGCTCCCTGCGGCTGCGCATGCGGCGTTCTCGGCCCCTCCGAAGGCGAATGCATCTCGTTCTCCAGCGCTGCTGCCCTTCTACCCGTCACTGGAGACACGTCTTTCGCTCCCCGCATGCGTTTCGTAATGCGGGAAGAGGCACACGCCGCACGCAGAGAGACAGACACAAGCTCGCCAAACGGCAAGCGACAGCAGCCACAACTAGCGCGGCGAGACACATGGAATGCGGTGTACGGACCGTATACAGGAACTCCTGATCGTGCAAGATGTCGCACATGCGTTTGTCGCTCGGCAAAATGCCAACGCCGCACACTGCCCAAGGTCCTCGATCTACTCCTTCGGGCAAGTCGTCTGAAGGATGAAAGAAGCGGAGCAGCAACCACACACCACCGCACGCTGCTGCTTGATCTGCACAGAAGAGGCCCCCCTCCCTCTAGAGGAGAAGTGGGCAGTGGCAGAGTCCTCCCACACAGACACACAAAAAAAACCGGTAGTGCCGACTTCGAGAAAGCGCAATAAATGGCATATGCATGCAGATTATGATGCTTCGCCAGCACCGCATAGCCACACTCCTCGGATTGACTCGTCCTCGTGACAGGCGCGTGCTCCAACTCCCCCTTTCTTCAGGAAGTCGCCTCTATCAACAAGGCCTGGGAGAACAATACTGCTGCGGGCAGAGGAAGCGGTGGCTTGCCTGCAGGGAAAAAGCTCTCCCCAGGCATGCAAGGATGGAGGCTGCTGCGCGGTGCAGTGAAAGAAACACACCCGGGAGGAGTCCTAGGGCAGTCTTCGTGAGGAGGTCGTCATAAAAAACACACTGGTGGCTGCGGTGAAAGCCGCCAACGCCAATATGCGCAATCCAGCATTTGACAGCGGTGCTGTCAACGGGGTACTGCGGCACGGTTGCTTTTTCTGTAGAATCGCACAAGAGTTTGAGAGACGGAAGCAGAAAACGCCATAGCGCTCACGAGGGGAGAACTGAAAGAAAGAAAAGGAAAGAAAAAAGAGAGAAAAAGAAGCAAACAGAGGGGTCAGCGATCGCACAGGGAAAGACTACGGGTGTCTGAGCAGGTGAGGAGGTCCTACGGATACAGCCGAAGAGGGAGGGAGGAAGCCGAGGGAACCACAAGAAAGCAGCGAGAGAGACAGAGACACACACATGGTGGTGAGCGCCTTGGATGCCTTTCTTGTATCGGTGATTCTTACGTGAAATGTGCGGAAGAAAGTCTCTCCTAAGGGGCCAAACACCAGCAGAAAGGAGGGGGGTATGCGGGTTGAAGAAGAAGCGCAGCCACTTCGGCTCGAGCTCCATCTTTTCCATGGAGTGCCCCCGGCTAAGAGCCTCGACTTCCGCCAATGCAGAGGGGGGGGGAGCAGCTCCTGGAGCTGTCAAGATGATACCCCTTGCCGCATTGTCGGAGCCGTTAGTGCTAGACGCGCGCATCAGTATCCCTGTGCTTTCCAGCGAAGAGGCAGCGTTGTGCGACCCTAGAAAAAGGTGTGCAGAGCAGCACGAAGCAGACGCGACGCGAGGCAAATGCAGACAGGCGATGAATGAAGATGAGGTTGGAGGCAGGGCAGGCAGGCTGGGAGAAAAAAGCCTTAGTGGCGGCAGCGCAGGGGAGGAAGGGAGAACCCGAGCGAGAAAGAGAGTGGGAAAGCGAGTAGAGCTACTGCGTGCGCCAGCTCGCAGAGAAAGGGAAAAGCAATCATGGGGAGAGCCAAGACGTGAGTTGGGCGTGTTGCAAAACTTGCATTCCCTTGTGATCGCAGAGACGGTCTGCGCAGCGCACAAGGAAATCCGAAGTGAGCACGCTACGGACGCCATAGCGCTTGATTGACTAGCACTGCCACTGAGAAGCAAGCCATGATACAGCCTGTGTCTCCGCCGACGTGTTTTGAGGAAACGGGCAGGAGGGGCAAGGGGGGAGCCTGCGAGAGCAAGGCGTCAGTGAGCGAAAAAGGCAGCCAGCGAGAAGCAGCGTGGAAGATCGGTCACCCGAGGCACAAAGATGTGGCATGTCACATCTATGCCCCAGTGGTAGGCAGAAGGGTGTAGCGCCACATAGAGAAGGCAAACAGCAATTGGGTTGGAGGTGGTGGTGTGTTTCTCGGAAGTAAGGCGCGTGCGCCAAGTGGGGTGCCATAGGAAGGGCACGCGCAAGTGATCGAACTACAGTAGCAGACAGAATGGATGTACGATGTGCATGCAAAGAGTATGCACAGACACCGGGAGCAGGGGATTACATGTTGCGTTGCAGTAGAAGCGTCTTCGGCAAAGACATCATGGACGTCTCCTCTAGCGCCGTGCGCCTGATGGCGCCTCCAGTTGTGATAGCCTGAGCATCGAGAAGCCCAAGAGGAAGCAAAAAAAGAATTGACATTCTTAAGGCCAAAGAAAGCCAGCCAGTCAGTTAGCTGGGCATGAAACACTAGGCACGGGGAAGGGCATAGTGGGGACGCTGTGTGTGTGTGTGTGTGTGTGTGTGTGTCGCTCGCTCTCCAGCAGATCAGCGGGCGGTTATACGCAAGTATTTGTTATTACTAAAGAAACAGGATGTTGCGAAATTTCCACTGCAGCTCCGGTAGCTCGCTATCTACACACAGGATACACCTGAGATGAGCAGACACTCGAATACACCCGGTGCTGCTGCTCACCTTTCCTGAATTCGTGCGCCCTTGCTCGCATCGCCCTCAAGGCTTCATATCCATGAAGAACCGCATGAGTCCCTGCGATCGCAGATCCTTCGCTTTGAGCTTGGCTGCCTAATTTGATCCGGATGCTACCAGATTCCGATCTGGATCCCAGTGCCGCAGAGGCAGCCCGCGGCAGCATGAGATTGAGAGCCTCGAAGTGCGAGCTGCCATATTCATGGCCTCCAGAATGAGCAACTGCCGCGACTGCCTCAGCGACAGCCGTTTCACGGGCATCCGACTGCCAGTGCAATTGCTGATTATCCGAGTTCGCGATTTCGCATGATGTATTCCACTGTTTGGGGTCGGCGCTTGGCTCTACCCCCCCCTCAGCAGCAACCATGGTCGGCAGGCCCTAAAAGTACAGGAAGTGCAAACCAAAAGAAAAAAAGGTAGGAAGATAAGTGAGAGGAGCGAGCACACACAGACGTCAAGGGGCAGAGGAAGCACAGGTCAAGTTGCGGAGACCTCGATCAAAGAGGAAGCAGCGGACAATGGGGTGTGCTGGCAGCATCGATTGCGACAAATACACATATGCGTCGAAGAAAACACACTGGATGTAGGGCGCGAAATATGGGATATTTCTGTCTCTTGGGGGTCTATGCTACATGCAAGTCTGTGAGTGGGTTTGCTGGCTCGCTTCTGTGGTTTCTATGTAAACAGGACGTTTCTTCCTCTCTGATCCTATCAGGGAATCCGCAAATATTCGCCTTACAATGCCAGGAGGTGCTAGAAAGCCTTTCTTCATGAAAGGGACGAAACGGCTGTAGACCTTGCCCCTGGCAACCAGTGGACAGCTGCCGTAGCTGCAGGCGCACATCAACCAAACGCCGCGCTTACTGTCACTCACCCTCGTGTACGCGCTGTAACTCTGCTTCGTTCGTAGAAAAGATGCTATATCAAGGCCAGGTAGAGTCAAAACGTAGCACGCATGAGGGAAATGTGCAAAACAAGGAATGGACGTTAGAGCTAGGCGTACAGATGTGGTTTAAGAGGGCCAGTAAGATCTTCTGGTGCTCAGAAGAAGAGATATTGTCTAAAGATGCGACCTGATTCTCACAAGAAGAGAGAGAGAATCTCCCACCTTCAAAGAAAAGCAGACATTGCCTCCCCAGCCGCACATGTAGCAGCAGCAGCAGCGTGGGGGGCCAGTTACCATTTGTCTCAAGAAGCGAGCCAGCAACACTCGCATTTTCCGGCTTCTTTTCAGTTTAAAGAGAAATTTCTTCTTAAGTTGACGAATTCGCACCATTAGCCATTAAATATCTATGGAAGGAAAGGCCAGGCAGGGTCAAAGCCATAGCCACAAAAGATGTACTACCGGCCACGTTGGACTACGGGCAGCTCAAAATGAATACACAGTCTCAGAAAGTATTAGCTACATTTGAGAAATACTCGATGTGCATATCTGTTTTCCACCAAAATTTCAAAACACGACCCTCACCACACTTCGTATGGCGACGGCGATTAGACACAAAAAATGCTGGGTGGTGGTTCTCTACCTTAGAGCAGGGCATTGACTGGTTTAATCCACTGCACAAACTCCCTGCGGGAGCTTTCTCTGGCAGCCTCCAGGTGGAGTAAAAAACTGCGCCTGCTGGTGTTGTTATTCGTGCGAAGCCACTTTTAACACCGCCACTCCCGCGCAGCCTACCATGAGGCGTAACCTGGGAGAGGCAATGTCGCACTCAGTAGGAGCCTTGCTAGAAAGCAGTAAAGGAGCACCATGGGAACACAGTCGAACATACATATGCATACGCGCTATTAGAGCTATTCATTGAAGCATGTTACTAATTCATATTTTTCAGAATGCTTATCACCCTGCAAATATACAGCGAAATGTAGCACTCTATTCGTTTGCGTGGCCATGCTACATACGACGTAGTAGATTCATGAATATGTACCTCTAAGTTCTTGAACATAGGTATGTGTCGCTCCACTTACAATATGATCGCTAAAAACCCTAGGTCCGGCAAATAGAGGAAAAGGAAACGACACACAACAGCTACCTCCCCAAGCACGCACAGCGACTGCCAACACGCATAGATGAACGTACAAAATGGCATTCACCAACTCTAACTGCCACTTAACATTATCAGAAGGCCCCGAACTGACCCGCAAGTACAGAAGACAAAGCAGGGTGAAGAAATGCATGCACAGGGAGATGCAGACATCCCCAACTTGGAATGGAGGCGTACCCATGCACGCATATGTATAGATCTACACAGGTTGAGACAAGCCGGAAAAGTCTGGTGGTGTGCAGTTTCTTTGTGAGTTATTTCAGCACCCAGCTTTCTTCCCATGAATGCCGCGCGGAATCTCCGTGCAAACAAGCCTGCTTGCGGGTTCTATCTACAAGCCCAGAGCCACCCCGCCTCACATCTAAGTCCTTCTGAAAACTTCGCCCTGTAGACGCGCACCTATAAGTGTTTGAGTTGTCCCTGAGCACCTAACTATACAGACGCCATCTCGTACGAGCTTACAGCGTTTTTTATGTGTGCACTGCTGAAAATAAGTGCCCGTTGGAACAGCTGACAAGGATACGCTGATCTGCCATTCTTTGCAACTAAAGCGCGTAATAGATGTAGATACGATATTTAAAATACGAATGCAATTGTATCTCTGCTACTTCAGCTCTACGTGCATACACATACTCACTAGCAATGCACGACGAATTATGTGGAACATGCGTGAATCAAGTCTATGCTGCTACGGCTTTCTGTGCATAAAAAGGGCAGAAAGCGAGGACTCCGAATGTACCACCAAATCAAAGCAAAGTGTCTTACATAGAGCTATGCAACGGCCGGAGGGGTAACCCCGCTACACACGGCTGATGAACCCACCACCCCAGCAGTGGCAGCAGGTGTATATACAGCTGCTCTCATGCGGGCGCCCTTCTTCCCTCTTTACTGCAATGGCAGGTCTGGTTGAGCGGTAGTAATGGCAGGAACGGCAACGACAGCGGGTTCTACCGGAGCCGTGTTCAACATGGCTTGCAGTACCAGCCTGGTAGGACAAAAAGAAAGGTCCACTCCAGCAGCGGCGCAGCAGATCACTACAGCAATGCATCCAAACGCCGACAGCAGCAGCGGAGCAGCGGATTTCAGTCTCCCCACTGCGAGGTATCCCATGGCAGACACATATGTGTAGCACCAAAAGCCGTAACAGTGAAGCGCTGCCGCCAGCCACTTCCTTACCGGGGCAGGCAACAGGAGTAGCAGTGGCTGAAGCAATAGAGGCACCACTTGCGTGTACATCGCAAACACAAAAGACCCGTTGCAATGCAAATCGAAAGAAAAAGCAAGATCAAACGGGGAGGGGCCGCCGCTGCTGCTGCTGCTCGATCTTCCGGAAGAAACACTGGTGGAGGCACTGCTGCTTCGGTGAAGGCAGACGAATGCGGCAGGGATAATCAGTAGAGCAGATATGAAGAAAAGAGCTAAGGGGGCAAGTGCGGCAGCAGCAAAAGTTGCTGCTCCCGTTGCCTGCAACGCGGCAGCATGACCTATACCCGTCAGCAGGAGGATCAACAGCAGTAACAGCAGGAAAGCGGGGTCCTCTCTAGCGCATGACTGCTGCTGCTTCTGTCTTAAAGCAGCAAGACTATACAGACGGCTCGGGTTCGAGAGGAGCAATTTGCACTGCATTGCACTGTATTGTATGTCCAGCTGTGAGGGGCGGCAGCAACGACGAAGAAATCTGCGCCACCTGTTGCTGCTGCTGCTGGAGTAGTGGAGTGGCAAACAGCCGTAAAGGGTCCCCATGGTGGCAACTAGAGAGACGAGAGTGCCGAGCTTGAGGAGGGCAGGCACCACATCAGGGAGGCGAGAGAGAGGAGACACATGTAACGATGGGCAGATGGGGAAGGGAATGCAGAGGTTCGGGCTTGCTGGTCTGTTCAGACTTGTGTCTACAGCGTTTGCCCTTCGCCTTGCTTATGCATCAGTGCCTTTGGGGTACTTCCACGCAAGAAATGAACTGAATCCTAGGCGGTTGTGTGCCGCCTATTTGGGGGAACGGCGCTATGTGCGGTGTTGCTTGCTGATTCCCATTCAGACAAGCCGCTGGAGAGGGAATGGGGAAGTATTAGGCGAACGAGCTGATGAGAATAAGACAGAGGAACGGGGGCGAATGCGCCGTTGAGGTTGTCTTCTATGCTAACAAGAAAGCAGTGAGACATGCAACAGCACCAGAAACAGATCTGAAGTGTCCATTCACGAAAAAAGTAAGGCCAATTCAAAAGATTTCAAAATAGGAAGGGATTGGTCTCTTCCAGCAGCTGCTGGGCGTGCAGGTCGGCCATGCGCTTGCTTTAGGTGTGAACACCCCCGACAATTATTGTCGATTACCATACAATTTTGGAAAGAAAAAATACAGCGAATGAGTGCAATCCATAAAATGTGACAGAGTTCGGTAAAAGAGGCCCTCGTGAAAGCAGCAAGCCGTGCTTGGAGAATTATCTATATATATTACCAGCAGGAGAAAACTGGGCGAACATCCAAGTGCAAGCAACAACAGCGATGCGATATACTGAGGTGTTCTCTTCTTTGTTCGCCTTCCTGGTTCATCTTCCCCGTTTTGGCTCCGCTTCGCAGGAACTGGAAACATTGACAGCACAGCCCCGTGCATGCAGGTGTGAGCGAGCGGCACACGGATAAGGAAGAAACTTGTGGAAATGTGGTGCTGGATTAAACGCTTCTACAGTCACCAAGAATCACTGCTAAATGCAAACGAATCAGAATTCAAGAATGAGGGCAGACATGGGAAAGATCATTTGTTTCTCATACCGACTGGTGTTCCAATAGCGATTCAACGTAAACGAATGATGTCGAGGAAAAACCGGTATGATACGCGTTCGCTAGGAAGCAATTGGGGAGTGCAGTTACTTCATTAGTCTGCACAATACGAAACCATACGAATAACCGCACACTCCGAAGGCGGTGATTTCTGCGCAGACTGTTTTGAATATATGTGTGTAGTTACCCCGAGCATCTTCATCCTATGGGGGCTCAATTAGTTATTCATTGGTGGTATACTACTGTGTTCTGGAGTTAAACCTGAGAAGGGCATGCCGCGGCTACGAAAGCCGGCGGAGGATTGTGTGCGCCCGCTATTGCAGCTTGCTATTTTACACTTATTCAAATTTCACTGCACTACTTGTATTAAACAAAGAATTGAAGAGTCTCTGATAATTCCCTTGTCCGTTCATACATCTTGTGTATCGCAGAGTAGTGTTCACCCAATGCAGTGAGCTGCGTGGATGTGTGAAGCAAACCACACCCTGTCACCCTCCCTCAATGGCGGGGAACCCTCATAAACGGGGCACGAGGGGCTTGAAAGCTCTTTCGAGTAACACGCAGTAATTATCTTCTATGCCTTATTTTCAAATCTGGAGTGAAGTGCTTTCCTGGAGCGACCTTGAATGGCGCTCAACAGTTGGTAGCACAGGGTTCCATGGAGATGCTCCCTCCTAAATAACTGGATTTGAATAGAGTGGGGAGTCAGTCGGCATTTTAAACTTCGTCTGCATTTGATCCACCTATAGGGTAAATCAATAATCTTTGTTGGCAACCATCTGGAAGAAAAACTCCCCTGGTGATCATAGTGCACAACGACAGAACGCCGGTAGAGGCCATAAAGGCCAGCCTGCAAACTAGTGTACACCAAATAGCTTCACAGCTGGTAAAGGGGCATCCGGCGTCACCCGAAAATCGCTCATGAATATATCATTGAACTTAGGCAGGGCTGAAAAACATAAACGCCTCATCCTTGGACCAGCAGCACCCGCGAAGTTCATTCGCCGGTGGGGAGAAGTACCTGTTCTCGTATGCCCAGAAATTAAAAAGTGTGTCTTCCATGCGACAGCTATATGCATGTGCCTGTTATTGGCACTTTTAATGCAGAGCACGTGGCCTGCCTGCAGAATATACTGCATTTCAAGCCTTCATACAAGCCCTGCTTCATAGGTTGATACGGAGATCAGTTCAACAGCAAGGTTCACGAGAATTGAGAAGACTGAAAAATATGCATCTAGCAGTATAAGAGTATATCGAAAAATATGAAGCGTTGGTTTGCAGAAGCCACAACTCAGCAGGATACCTTCTTTCGCAAAAGTTTTCTCGGGTCTGCTCAAAATGTCGCGTCAGGTGGTCAGCAGAGTGAGCAGGAACCCAGCACCCAGACAGCCGATTGGCAAGGCCACCGCAGATGATGGAGTAGTGGACGTATTGCCATATAAGCGTACTCCCGTGTCTCTGGTCGAAAGCAAGAGCCAAGTCGGGATTGAGAACTTTTGGATGTCAGGAGTGTGTCGAATGGCCTTAGCCAACGTATCGGGTGGCCTGAAAAGAAGGCCAGAGGAATCCGCGCTCGTGTGCGCCCCAGACATCTCCTTCACAGTGCATTTGCTTATACTGTGTAAAATACATTGCAAGAATCAGAGGTATACGGCCACTGAAGCACAAATTTGTTTTTCTACTTTGCGCTGTTTGGTCGTGTTTGCCTGCCTGAGGTGTGGCAATACGGAGGAAATCCTTCTAGTGTCCTGGCCGCAGTTGGTTTCGACGGACACGTACGAAAAACAAGGGCATGTTTTCGGATCTGGGGAGGGAAGGGAGGGGGGGAAGTTTAGTCGGCTGCTTCATTTGTACACTCTCACACATTTCTCCTTGCAGTGGTTATATCTAGCCCACCAAGAATTCGAACTGGTTGCCTGATTGATTCAATTCCGTATGTTTCATAGACTGCCGAGTACCTTTGACTCGACGCAAGGAAAGGCAATGTCGTGTTCTTATGTCCTAGATGCTGTGTACAACTGGCTGAGCATGCTCGGAAGGCTAAGGGGCTGGAGCTACGCGCTAGCTGGCTGCCCCCTCCTCTAGCTTCGAAAACTCATGAAAGAGGCCCTGGCAAAAGAAACCGGGAGCTAATTTGAAAACGCTAAATACCTTCTCTATCACGTTCGTAATGAATCTGGAGTTAAATGTCTTTTCACGGAGACCCCTATACCAGCGCACCCAACTGCGTGTGCATGGACACCTTTCATCCTTCTTCTGTAGCATTAGGCATTCGACTATGAACCCTACACCAGAGGGAACAATTCAATGGATGTCACTGCATGAAAATTCAACTAGACTTTGACATGAAGGGTAAGAAACACCTATTACGATGCGTTCCACCAGAGGCACTAGGTGTGCAAGGTGCAAGCTCTCTCGAAGAGCTCGAGTGGATTTTTTGGCACTTGCCACTGGTCAGCATCCTGCATACGGATGGTCCCTGCTGCTTTGGTATTACTGCTGCACGGCAAACACTAGAAACGCCCCTGCTGCACGGGGTCCAAGTGAAGCTTTTATACCATTCTCGTGTCTGTTTCCGCGCAGCACAAAATCCACTAGCCCGCCTCGTCTAATTTCCGCTTCAAGCCCGCGTTGCCATCACAAGACGCCTAAAGCCCTTTCGTCTGCGATCTATTCGATGCACATCTCTTCCCCCCACCGTCGCCCCTACTCAAGCGTCAAGCATCATGGGCGCGGGGGGCAGCAAGCCCGCCTTTCTCTGCTCTTTTGTTGCTCGGCTATGCTAGAGCATCTGCCATTCCCTTCTGCCTCGCATGGCTCAAGGGCCTCTGTGCTTCCACAAGGAAGAAGTAGGGTGGGCACCATTCTTCCAAAAAAGCGCTGCCCTCCCCATCGCTTTCCTTTCCCCTGCCGTCCTCAGTCTCGTTCTTTTCTTTCGGGCTCTGGGGCAAGCCTTATAAAGTCGTCGATCCTCAGGATCGTAACGGCAGCCTCCGTCGCGAACTTGAAGCTTTTTGTTTTAGAGACTGTGGCTTCCACAATACCCGAGGCGAGCGCCGGGCAGAGCTTCCCACCGACCAGATCTAAGCCCATGAGGCCCTTGGGGTCTGCTGCTGCTGTCGGGGCTGCAGCCGCCTCGGAGCCGCACTGCACCTTTGCATGCGCCGCTCGCAGCCGTGCCACAAGCTCAGTTGCATCCAAGGCTGCGTTCAGCGCGAGAGTCTTCGGAATGACGAGCAGCGCCTCGGCGAAGGCTGCGACGGCAAGCTGCTCTCTGTTGCCAAGGGTGCGCGCAAAATCCTCGAGATACACAGAAAGCGCAGCTTCTACCGTTCCCCCGCCAGGGCAAACCGAGGAGGAAGACAGACAGCGGCTCACTGCACACAAGGCGTCGTGCAGAGAGCGCTCGACTTCGTCTAGCATGAACTCGTTGGCTCCCTGAAACACAGAGCCGTCGCAAAACGCATGGATAACCCCCTTACGGAAGCACCTGGCAGGGCCCCGCAGACTCCACCGACGAGGCGGGAGGCGTTTCTCTCCGCCGAATGCATGCAAAAGAAAGGCTGCCAAAAGAACTAGGGCGCATGCAAGCATGCAGAGCCCCTTCGGAGGGCCCCGCTCTGCAAGGGGCCGGCTGTGCGGTTGGTGGGGCCCAGCGACGTGGAGGCAGCTTTAGATGCAGAAATGATCTCAGTCATGAATCTCACCCGAAGGATTACGGTTGCCGCCTTGGATGTTTTGCATCCCCTGAAAAAGAGGTAATCCCAGTCGCCAACGCGCTCCTCGCACACCTCTGCGCAGCTGCCAAGGGCTGCGGGGTCAAAGAACTCGTCGCCTTCCAGCGTTGCGAGAGTCAAACACACCGTGCCTGAAGAAACGCGTCATCGCAAGCACCACAGCGAGCTTGCACGGTGTGCGTGTGTAGCATGGACCGAGTCGCACTTGCACGAAGAAGCTCCGAATACTCCTCACAGAACCGAAACAGCTGGAGAGAGGAGAAAAAAGTGCCACGCGGCGACAGGGCCGGAAATAGTGCTAGCCAAGAACTAGTGGTGGTGCGGGGGGTGGGTGGCCTTGACGCCTTTTCGAAAACCGCATTGAAAGTTTCAAGATGCTAAAAAGTGGCACTTCAGATGGCGCCGACGATTAGCCTCAGATCTTAAACCCCACCGCCTGTGGCCTTTGCAATCCTGCGAATATCTTTCTTCGAAACGCGACGGACTGCGATCGCTCCGGCCTCAACGAAGTATTTGAGACACATGTCATCAATGCCCTATGAACACAGCGTAGCAATCATACACCTTGAGAATACACACTCCCCACGAGAGGTCGCGCAAAGACAGCTTCGCCCCAGACCCTCAACCCGTGACGCACCTGTGTGGTAACGATGACGTTCGCTCCTGATTGAAGGATTTGCTTGACGCGCTGCCTGGCTATGTTCTTCTCTCTGGAGATCGCAGTAAACACACGCCGAGAGAGTCGCAAGCGGTGAGCGCGACGGGGGAAACGCAAGGGGTGGGAAACCACGAACTGCAGCGCCTGCGCAGCTCGGCCGGCCGGTGCAAGTGAGAGACGTAGTTCTTGCGTCGTCAACAAGGCACGACGGGAGCCAAATGAACACGGCAGGAGGGAGGACTGAAGAGAAGCGCGGCGAGCCTTAGGAACAGGCCCTTCGCCCCACAGAGACAGATGGACTACAAGGATGGACAAACGAGTGGCGTTGGTGAATTTTGGATGCAAGATGGAAGCAATACGCCGCAGAGATTTCCCGCTCCTCTCGAGACACGGAGCAGCACCGACGAAAACAGAGGAGGAGAAGGCAGCGCCGGGCGGGCGGCAAGCCAGGAAGCGACTGCGAAAGCAGAGGGAAGGATACGAAGTGTTTCGCACTGCTGCCTGATCTTCTCGAGAGCTTCTGGGTCGTTCACTTGAATGGAGACTCCCAGCTGCATGCGGTGCTGCCGTAGGCCAAAATCCAAAAGCGCAATCTTGGCGTCCTTCACGACCATCGGCATTCCTGAGCGAACGAAAGGCGTCAAGTACGAAGAGCGCTAGGCGGCTGGCGAGCAGTGCATTTGCGAAGAGGAAGGCAGGAGAGGCGCAAGCAGAGGTAGAGTTAAGAATAAGCAGCGGCACTTTTCTGCGTACGCCTCCCTGCGTGCTTGCCGCGATGGACGGCGAGACAGCGAGAGGCCACTTGAGGGAAAGAGCAAAGTGCAAAGAAGACACCGCGGCTTCGCGAAACTCTTCGCAGACACGAAAGACCTTCTTCTCCCCATTCTACCCTCCTACCTGCCTGCACCCCACCCCCTCTGCTTCCCCTTCTACCCTACAAAATACTGACAAGATCCTCCGCACGCAAGAGCCAACACGCAGGAACCCGCATGCAGACTATATCTGCACAAAAAGCGCTCAGTCGTGGCCACACCTTGCGCAGCTCGAGAAGTTTTTAGCGCGAATCCATCTACCAACTGGGAGTCTCTTGCACTCTTGCCGTGAGTTTTGAGAATCGATATCGAGTCTACGGGATAGCGAGCTTCCCCCTTCTCTGTTACCTGTGGCGCAACAAGAAGCGAAAGCGGGGACGGAAGGGCATGTGCCGCCAGAGGATGTGTCTGTTTGTGTGTGAATGTATGTATATGTCTGTCTCTATGCATGTGTTTGTGTACGTGCAAATGTCTGTCTCTATGCATGTGTTTGTATGCGTGTAAATGTATGTATGTATGTGTCTGTCTGTCTGTATGTATGTGTCTGCGTGTCTCTCTCTGTGTCTGTGTTGAAAGCTGCACAAAAGGGCAGATCCATGCGCGGCAGCGAATGCAGCCGCAGAAACTCTCAAGGCGGCTTTCAAGCGGCCTTCCCCCTCCCCCTCAGACGCAGAGACAGCATATTCAAAGCCCCAAGAAAGATGCCTGACCATCTTGACAGCTTGGATCGCTGTAACGCAAAGATCCGCGAAGAAGTCTTCTTCCGTCCCGATGAACTTTGAGGAGAGGGAAGTCTTGGCGACAGAGAGAAGCAAGGAAGGATCCAGCTTTTGCAATTCGACGCTCAGGTGGCTCTTCAGGTAGCGAACACACTCCTGCAACCGCGAAAACAAACGAGCAATGCAGACATGAGTGCAGAGGCTGAGACTCACTCGCTAGAGTGCTGGCGTGTCTCTCCTCCAGTCTATCCGCATATCTCGACAGCGCGTCCCCCTCACCTTCATCGCCAGTCTGTAACCGGCAATCACAGCTGTGGGGTGCAAGTCGTCTTTTATGAGCTGCACCGAGAGGCGCAACAGCTCAGAAGCCAACAGCACGACAGAAGTCGTGCCGTCTCCCACTTCCTTGTCCTTAAAACAACAGAAAGAGCAGCTGCGAGGCAGTGGAGGCTTAGAGACAGCAGCAGGCAACAGGGGGAGGGAGGGAACGGGGGGAAGAAGTGCCTCTTCTCCCCTTCCCTGCCTTCCCCCCGCTTTTGGATACAGATTTACATGCACATAAGGCAGCAGCAGGCAACAGCAGCACCCACCCACTCCTTCCCCCCCTGTCCTCACACACCTAAAAGCAAACCCTCAAAGGCGAGCCTGTATGTGTGGATTTTTGGGTAAAAGTGGCCACGTCTATATGCGCGCGCAGAAACACTTTAGGAAAAGAGGGCGTGGGAGCTGGGGAAGAGAAGGATCGCAACGACATGGCGTCAACAGAGGCAGAGCTGTTGAGCAGCGCTCGAGGAAGTCTGTCTCACCAGAGGACGAACACCGTTCACTGCAAATTTCCCAAGAATTAATGGACACGCCGACGAGGCAAAGAAAACAAAGCAGCAGACATCGAACCGAGGCAAGACACAAACGCAACAGCAGAATGCATGCACTGATCACATCAGGCTCATGGATGGATAAGATACCTGCAAGTCCGAGAGATCGACGAGAACCTTGGCTGCCGGGTGCTGCACCTCGAGCTGCTTCAAGATTGTCGCGCCATCATTTGTTACAACGACGTCCCCTGAACGACAAACCACCCTCCCCCAAGAAGGAACGCTTGAACATCCGTCTCTACGTTTTCCACGCACACGCCATCTCTGTTTCCAACCCAAGCCCCCGCGAAGGCAGAGCACGCAACAGATCCGAAAGAGCTGCTAGCACGCCTTCGTAAGGCGCAGAGACAGCTGCTGCTCCGCGAAACCAGCTCGAACCACACCTCTGACCCCTCACGCACCGATGTCATCGACGAGCATCTTGTCCAGCCCATGGGGCCCCAAAGAAGAACGCAGAATATTCGCGACTGCCATCACGGCCGCCACTGCGAGAGGCAATGCGCATGAGAAGCCATCAGGCGGGTGTATATACACTTCGAATAGGGGAGGAGTGCGCAGGGTCGCCGAACGCCGCAGCCCGCGTTCCTCCCCTGGGTGGACATACACAGCAGGGACGAGAGGAAGTAGGAAGAAAGCGCTCAATGGGGCAGTGCAAGAGAAACCAAAACACGCAAATTTTCCGTTCCTTCACAGGACCCTCATCATACGCCCAAAGAACGGCTTCCGAAGCATCTCCCTCGAGGCGAGCGGCGCACTGGTGCTGCCCCTCGAAGCCGCCCCCATTCCACTCTACGCCCTTCCTCCAAGGCAGTGTCAGAGGACGAAAGCTGAATGCTCTTGAGGAAGACGGTGGGGGGGTCAGGCTTGCATGCACCTCCTCGCGCTGCAAGGGGCCCCCGCCATATGATCCTCTCGGTTGTTTTAGCAAGCGAGATTATTACTGTGGAAAATAATACTTGCATCATGCACGAGGCACATTGCCATTAGTACAGGAAGGTGCCTTGTCTAGAGACACAGAGGAAGCGAATGAGATGAGGGAGAACCCTAGCCGGTGTATGTACACTTACCATTGGCGGACCGGACGTCCTGGCCGCTCTGTCTTTCCCCGAAGATCGCCAGCGTCATTTTCTGAGACTTTCAAGAGAAAAAACAACAAAATCACCCAAACCCCGAATTCCACCCCAACACACGCTGCGGTGTACATGCAGCGCACGGCTGCCGACCCCACCAGAGCCAGGCTGCCAGAAGCCCCTTAGAAAACCCTCACGGGGCCCTGAGGATAATGGAAAGAGAAAAACATGCTTCCTTCGCATCAAAAGCTAAGCTGCCGAGGGACTAAAACTTAGTAAAAATCCCATTAAGTGAACTCGTCTTTTTCCGCTTGTTTCCCCCTGCGTAACCCATCCACCACAGGGCAGTTTCCGCCTTCGGCAGAGCCACCCTTTACCACTACCTACTACACCAGCTGCTTTTGAATGAGATGTAGCGAGGAAATGACTACTTCGTTTGTCTGGTCGTGTTCATGGCAGAGCACTGTGGGTTCAATAACACAAGAAGCAATACTGTGTGCGTGTGCTATAGATGTATGTGCAAGTAGCTGTGAATGCAAGGAGTACCTAGAGGATGCAGCTGGCCGCACCCTAGCTGTCCGTATCCATTAGAATAGAGAATGCTCACGAGCGATGGCAAGACAAAAATGGGTTTCTTGTCGCGAGACACTCGCAGAAGAACGAGTTTTTACTAAGTCTCGAGTTCAGTGTCTTCCTACGGATACCTTAAATGTAACCCTACTATGCCAGCTTTCCCGAGGACCAATGCCTGCATTTGATCCACCTATAGGGTAAATCAATAATCTTTGTTGGCAACCATCTGGAAGAAAAACTCCCCTAGTGATCATAGTGCACAACGACAGAACGCCGGTAGAGGCCATAAAGGCCAGCCTGCAAACTAGTGTACACCAAATAGCTTCACAGCTGGTAAAGGGCATCCAGCGTCACCCGAAAATCGCTCATGAATATATTATTGAACTTAGGCAGGGCTGGAAAACATAAACGCCTCATCCTTGGACCAGCAGCACCCGCGAAGTTCATTCGCCGGTGGGGAGAAGTACCTGTTCTCGTATGCCCAGAAATTTAAAAATGTGTCTTCCATGCGACAGCTATATGCATGTGCCTGTTATTGGCACTTTTAATGCAGAGCACGTGGCCTGCCTGCAGAACATACTGCATTTCAAGCCTTCATACAAGCCCTGCTTCATAGGTTGATACGGAGATCAGTTCAACAGCAAGGTTCACGAGAATTGAGAAGACTGAAGAATATGCATCTAGCAGTATGAGAGTATATCGAAAAGTATGAAGCGTTGGTTTGCAGAAGCCACAACTCAGCAGGATACCTTCTTTCGCAAAAGTTTTCTCGGGTCTGCTCAAAGTGTCGCGTCAGGTGGTCAGCAGAGTGAGCAGGAACCCAGCACCCAGACAGCCGATTGGCAAGGCCACCGCAGATGATGGAGTAGTGGACGTATTGCCATATAAGCGTACTCCCGTGTCTCTGGTCGAAAGCAAGAGCCAAGTCGGGATTGAGAACTTTTGGATGTCAGGAGTGTGTCGAATGGCCTTAGCCAACGTATCGGGTGGCCTGAAAAGAAGGCCAGAGGAATCCGCGCTCGTGTGCGCCCCAGACATCTCCTTCACAGTGCATTTGCTTATACTGTGTAAAATACATTACAAGAATTAGGGCTGTACGCCCACATAAACAGGCAAGGGTCTTGGGCTACCAGGCTGGCCCCAGCGGAAGCAGGCTGCGGCACAGTCAAGGGCGCCACAGAGGATAGGGAAGTAGCTGGAGACTCGAGACATGTCATTTCTGAGCTGGTATAAATTCAAAGTAGTGATGAAGATTAACAGAGTTTCTGTTTGCCGAGAAGATGGCGCAGAAGTGCGATCTCCCTATTTGCGTATTTGTGCAGTCCCTGAGACTCCAGTGTGCTTTGGGACAGGAGAAAGCAAGCACTGGCAAGGCTATGGCAAATGACTGTCACTTCCTCTCAATCCCGTAAGCGTGGTCCGAGGGTCTTTTAATTCCATCTATGGTGGGCAGGGTACAGCATGTACCGCAAGATGAGGGAGAGTCTTCACGCACGCTGCTCAGTCAGCGGAGCAGTAAGAGAAGGCGATTCAGCCGACGCAAGCAATCTTGGTAGTTTTGATGTCAGTCCTTTGATAAAACATTCGAGTATGCATTGAGTAAAGGAACAGCCGCAGGGGGCAACTCTCAAGGAGCAACTCGCAGACGTGTTGTATGTTGACGAGCTACCTGCAGGCGGGCCACCTTCATGCTGGTGCTGCTTATATGGGCCACGTTTCACTGACCACACCAGCCACTAGTCCTTGTCATGCTTTTTGGAAAGTGCGCTACACTTCGAAAAGCTTAGAGTCGTTCTCTGGCTTGACAGCTTCCCGCGGTACGACTGTACAACGAAGTGCAATAAGGGGATCACCCACGAGGTCACCGACCTAGTTTCGTGACGCCCCGGCGTTTCCTCTTGTGCAGCACCGCCACCAATCCGTAATGATTACGGCTCTAATACAAAAAGCGTTTTCTGATGCATTTGACACCCACACATCCGGTACTGCTGCCAAAATCCAGAATGGGAAAGGTTGGAGTTCTAACTCTATGAGCATGGCCTGCTGTAGTTCACAACAAGACGGACACTCCGTCGATTGTAAATTTTGACTTCGCTACGCAGTGTCACTTTGCTCAAACTCTGTTGGCCCGTGGTTGGATTCACGCCTCAATGGAAAAGCTCCCACGTTCCTCCTGGTACCCTGGGGTACGCCCTGCGGCAGAGATGTGATTTATCCCCCAGCGCATGTCCGCTGCCTGGACAAGCTGCCTTCATCTACAAGTATCATTTGAAAAGTTATTGTTACTAGCTGTAAAGGTGTCCTCTACACTGGGACCTATGCGCAAGCACGCTCAGGTATCTGGTCCCTGCATTCTTTCTTACGTATATTTAGGGGTTGACGATCGAAAGTGCCGCATGCAACGCCTGCATCTGGACGCAAACATTGCTCTGTGACGCACGGGGGGACTTTCGAACTAGTGTGTACCTCAATTCCCTTTGAGCATTCTACTTGACTTCGGTTCGCTCGCATCAGGGGGCTCAAAAGTCTGCGGTCCGACGGCAACAAGCCATCGCGCCGCTGCGGTCGCATGAGTTTAGTCTCTCGTTCATTATTGGCTATTGCATATGGCTGTCTTTCTCTCGATCTCGGTTAAGCGTTTGAAGTGCACATTTACTTTTCTGGTTTGCACGGTTTTGTCGTTTCTTCCTGCCAGGGGTGTGGCGATACGGGAAGAATTGTTCCGGTGTCCTGCAAGCAGTTGGTCTCCACGAACAGGTAAGGAAGATAAGGGCGTAGGCTTTAAAATGGGGGAAAAGTGTCGCTGGCTGCGTTATTTACTGACCATTTCTTGCGGCACTCTCTACAGATAGCCTGGAATTGGTAAGGAATTGACTAATTGGGTCTTCGTTCTCATTTTGGTTGACTGCAAAGTGGTGCTGGCTCGATACACTAAGATTTAATGATCTGCCCTTGTGCTAGATGTATTGTATGACTCGCTGTAAACGCTCGGAATGATTCGAGGGTGCTGCTTTGCTTACTCTAGGTATGCTTTCTCCCTCATTTCGAAAGCTCTAAAAGGAGCTGGCCAGGAGAGGATGAATGCTTTTAGGAAACGTAATATAATATTTCTGTTCAGTTTGCACAGATTCGGAAGTTATGTGACACCGTACGGATCCATTGAATGAAGGGTTGCACTAAGCGTCTCCCCACGGAGAGTTTATATAAAGCTTTACAGGAACCTTAGTTCTTGTAGGATCAATGCATAGAACAGGCGTTTTCAACTGCCAAAAAGAATTTGCAGGAGCAATTGTATTGTCTTGACTCCATGCTTTCACAGTTTGTAGTAAACGACTTTGATTTATTGGAAACTCGCAAACAACTGGCTCACTACACTGCCTGTCCGATTGTACGATTTTCTTTGAAGAGTATGGATAAACAACCCGCGCGTGCGCTCATTAAGCTACTGTGTGCACGTGGGTGCGAAGGCAAGGAGGGCGCAGATCTCAGTGCAACGTACAATGCAGCTCCCCTTCGCCCCTCCTGACCAAAGTCTGCTGAGTAGCAAGAGAGGGCAGCGCTTTTATAGAGAAGCTTAATAAGCTGTTGAGCCATTGTCTTCGGTTGGGGGCTAATGGTTTCGCCTCGGAGGCTCTAGCTGGGAAGCCACGCCAAGCATCCAGGTAGTTAAGTTCAGCAATCCTTCCCCATTTGCTCCATGACCCTCAGGAAAGCGGTGCGAAGAGCTCTTATAGATAGATTTGAGAGCATTCCGTTCGTGTTATGATTGGCATGAAGGCCACGGCCCTCTGTTTGCAGAGATACTGTGTCACACAGTGCGCCACACATGAATGTATCCCTTGTTTAATCAATCCACCTCTATCTTCATCTTCTTGCCATGATGTCTAAGGAAAATGCATATTTTGTAGTGCCGCCATGAGAAACGACACTGCCGGTTGCTTCCCGAAGCTGGGTGTGACGGTCAATAGTACGACGGGTACGCAGACCATTTCTTGTTTTACAAAGAGCTTATGAGATATTATATTTTCTTCTGTTTTGGCCTTGAATTGGTTTGGTCTGTGTCCTGACACATGCATGTCAATGCGTAAATGCGGGGTCCCTATTTGCAATGGTCAGGATGGGACCTTGACGTTCGGCCACATGCAAGCGTCCTCCCTGGGCCAGCGCAGTTCAGAGAATCCACGCTTTCATTGACTCCTGATCATCATAAATCCTCTCATGTTGAGCTCCCACGCTTAGTAATCTTTTTTACACCCATCTCTGGATGCCACAGTGTTTAAATTTTCTTCACGTTTCTCCCCCTGGGTTCCAGCTCAGCCCCACTCTGCGAATGGCCAATGCCCCTCGTTGTTCTGAAACAGATCTCTTCGCAGACTTTCTTAGGTGAACTTCGCTCATTGAAACGCTTTAGCGCTAAACGCTGTAGGGCAGAACGAGTCCGGCCGCCACCCCCAGGCCTCTTCGTTCTGTACCTTACGGGTTCTCTTTCCAGTGTCGACCGTCCATTTGTGCAGCAAAACAGACATGAATGCACGTACCAGCACTTTCGAGCGGAAATTCTTTCATAATTGACTCATTCCGCTGCATATGAGTGCTTCTCCATCAGCGATATTTAGCGGTCACGCACTGCCAGGTCGAAGGCGGCTGGGTAGACGGATACAAAAATATGAATTTGCCTCCCCTTTTTTGTCTTTTCTTCTTTGCCTCATGGCCCTCCCTTGTTTTTTCTGTTTCCGACCCCGGCGCCCCCCCCCCATCCCTTTCCTCTTCACACCTACGAGGCCAAAGTGACCCTCATGAAACGCACACTCCTGGGGTGTCCCTACCCCCTGATGCTCCAAATGCGGTCTACAATAATACCCCGAGCCCTTCTTCCAGTATGTCAACGGAAGTCGCCGAAGACTACGAAGAAATGCGCACCCGAGCCGTCCTGCGAGCTGCACAGCCGCCTGCCCTGTGGTTACACTCCCTCGACTCGCTCAGATGCGCGGGAGAGGGGTCACTTGCTTCAGAAAGAGAGAGCACAGATGGACCTGAAATCTATGAAGGTGCTTCAGCCGCAGCGAAGGCAGCAACTGCGCCGCTTTCGACAGGTAGCAGCTGCGAGGGGCCAGATGCGTGGCGCAGAGCGACCGATGGATCAAGTGGTGTTTTTTTCATCGCAATGGGCGACAGTGGAAAGCTCTCCAAACATTTAGAACAGGTGAGCGAAAGAGAGATGAACATGAGAGAGAGAGGGTGGCTGGGTGAGGGGGAGAGGGATCTGCCCATAAAGTTTGCACAATCAGGCGGAGGCTTCATGCATGCCGAGAAAGGCACCTTCGAGAGGCCGAGGAGGCTTCTTTTTTTGCATGCATCGTGACTTTTTCTCCCTGGTATCTCATTTTGCCCCCTCTCTGCCTCGAGAGCTCTGCTTGGCAGCAGAACCCCATCCCTCCACCCACCCCCCTAATTCGTGGCCAGTGTTTTTCCCACCGACGTTGCCGTTTCTTCTTTAGGTGCCTGTCTTTGCAAAGGCGTGCGCGCGCACACGCTGTCTGTTTGTTTCGCTGCGTCGCTTCACAGGTAGTTGCGCGGCTTGCGGCCGTCTGCTCAGTGGTTCCCGTGTCTTTCATTTCCTTACTCGGCGACAATTTTTATCCTAATGGCATAAGCAGCTCGCAAGACCCCCTCTTTTCGTCGCATTTCGAGGAGCCCTTCAATCATCCGTCCCTCCAGAGGGTAGGTTCTTGGCCGCTGTTTTCTTCCTGCATCTCCGCCTCCTCTGCTCTCTGGCATGCTGTCGAGTAACACGCCTCGGCAGTGGCACCCCTCCTCTGCAGAGAAGTAATGCGAATCGGCTGGATGCTCAGGTGGCGTTCTTTCCTATTCTGGGGAATCATGACTACAAAAATTCTCCCGACGGGCAAGTCGAGCGATACTACTCCGCGTGTGGCAGCTGCAAACAGCAAGAGGACTGGAATTGTGAGCGCAGCACTTTCCTGGAGGAAGCGTTGTTGGCTGTAGCCTAGTTAGTCTTCATCGTGTGGCTTGGGGAACTTTCTTTCCGTATGCGGGCCCTTATTTTCGGATGTGTGAAAAGGGGGGTAGAATAAGGCTTTTTTCGGCGCGGCACATTGGCAAGCTGCATCCCCTCCAATACATAGGGATGATGCATGCCTCTCTACGCAGGCAGCGAGGCTAAGAACTCTTTTGCACCACTCCAGGAGGTGTGGAGTGGCGAGTGTGTGTCTACATATATATATATATGTATGTATATGTATATACTTAGGGGGAAGCTGCTGCACTGGTTGCTGTCTTTCCGAGTGCTGCTGTGCTGCATTTAGCTGCCCTCGTGCGTTGGAGAATTCCGAACTTGTGGTACTTCACGCGCTTCGTGTATTCTGATGCTCCTATGGATCTCTCGGGGTCTCCTCGAGTTGCCAATGCGGCGCATATCCAAAGGGTAAGAAGGAGGACGTGGAGGCTGGGCTGCTGCTAGCGGTGCTCCTTGTGTGCAGCCGCTCTTCATCCGTCGTAGTCGCATGTGTCATGCTGTTGCCTTCTCCTTTGCTAAGGCGGCTTTTTGTGCCGTCTTGCTAGCGCCTTGGCTTGCCTTTTGAGACCTCTCCGCAGTTTGGCGGTGCTGGGCTGTATGGACAGCGGCTCACGCGCGGGGTCCTTAAGTCAACGGCGCATGCACGTTGACTTAAGTTTAAATGCCTCTCTCTCTCTCGCAGTGCCCCCTTTTCCTTGCCTTCTTCTCACCCTCCGATTTTCTGAGTTCTTCCGTCTTGAATGCTGTCAATTGCAGCATCAGTTTGAGGCGACACCCACCAGGAGGGCCATGACAGTCGTCAACATTCATGTTGACTCCAACATCTTACTGAGTACGCTCCCTCTGAAGGAGGCGCATATAAAATTCCTGGAGGATGTACTACAGTCAGGTGAGCACTTGTTGCTGGTTTTTTTTCCTTTTCGCCGTCACGCAGAGAAGCTGCAAAGCATGGACTTATTTTGGCGATGCTGCTATGGACCTGACACGGGTGCTGCTGCTGCTGCTTCTTTTCTCTCCCCTGATGCTTGAGGCTTGTCTTGCGTTTTCGCGCTGAGCGGCGAATGATGGATGCTTCTTCTGCCTGCTCGGGATGCCTTCTGATTTCTAAGAGGCTCAGTTTCTCTCTGTCATGGCGAATACTCCAAATCGCCTTCCCTGCTGCTTGCCGAATACCATCATGATGTCTGATGTTTGTGCGCCTTCCGTTTCTACACATTTCTTGGCGGGCATGTGCGCTCTCTCTTGTGGGTTTGTGCGCTTCCCTAGCCATCATCGAGGCGGATTGGATATTCGTGCATCAGCATCATCCCCTTTTTACAGATGGATCGCCACGCCGCAATAATAAATCCTTCCAGGATTTGCTGTTTCCACTCTACCTGCGCTTTGGAGTAGATGCTGTCTTCGCCGGGCATGAGCATCTCCTCTCGCAATTTGAGGTAAGAGTACAAGTGCTGCGTCTCTTTCCCGAAAAGTTTTCTCTATTGTGTCTGTTTTTTATGTGTGTCTGTGCTTTAAAATGTATTTTGTGTGGGTGTGTTGTTTTAAAATGTGTTTTTTATGTGTATGTATGTATGTTTGTGTGTATGTATGTGCATGTGCTTGTTTGTGTATATCTTGTATGGGTATGTATGTATGCATGTATGTATGTATGCATGTATATGTGTGTATGTGTATGTATGTGTGTGTATGTGCGTGTGTTTATGTATGTGCGGTTGCTTGTGTGTGAATGAGTATCTGTGTCCTTCTTCTGCGCAAGCGCATTGTGGCTTCATCTCCATCTCAGGGGTTGAGCGTCCTCCCGTGAGGTGCCCTTTGCCTTTTTTCAAAAGGCTGTGAGATTTTAACCTCCTTCTTCGCGCGCGCTGTGTTTGAATGCAAGCTTGCAGTGCAGCAACCCTTGTTGAAAATGCCGTATACTTTGATGCGTCGGGTGTCTATACACCTACACACACTCACTCACACACACTTACATACACACACACACACGGAGGCACATTCCTTTTATTTGTGCACCCCGTCTTGCATTTTGCGTTGCATCTCGCGCGCCTTTCAGCAAGTCGTTATTTTCTTATACACACTGCATGCATCATCCCCCTAGAGCGTTCTTTTTTTCACTCTCTCCCCCTCCAGAAGCAGGGCGAAAAGTCAAAATTCTGCTTTTGCCGCGTTTTTGTGAGGGCCTACCTACTGCTTGTTGCAGCTGTCGGGTCCGGAGATGCTTGGAGGGCCTCTCGTTCAGGTGATTAGCGGTGCAGCATCGAAGCTGCATCGGAAAGCGTCTTATTGCTGCGTCAAGGGAGCGTTCCCCGACTGCCCCGATGGCGAGAAGGCCTGTACGAGCAGCAACTGTTTACTTCAGAAGTCAACGCCTGGTGTCGTGTTGGTGGAGTTGTCTGTCAGCGAAATGAAGCTGCAGTTTGTAGAGGCGGAAACAGGCAATGTGATCAGACAATCAGTGCACGCGTCGAAGAAGGCTGCGCGGCAAGCCTTTCTCGCTGCGCAGGCAAACAAAAACGCAGCACATCGGGGTCGCATAGCGGCTGCTGCATCGGCGGATGCGCAGCGTGGGAGCCGCTCAGTCGCTCCGCAGCCTCTTTACCCATCAATAGCTAGGGTGCTTGTTTCAGAGCCACTGAAGCGAGACAGGTGGCTCTTGATCCTGCCGTGGGGTTTGTGTATGCTACTTGTTCTGGCCGTCATGATGATGCTCACCTTCTACCGCGCTTGGAGCGCATGCAGGAAGCGCTTGGGACGGCGAAGTGGGTTCTGCTTTTTCTCTGGTTTTAAGCAGGCTTGCTGGTGCTGTGCGAGGAAAGCAAGATTGCCCTTTTTTAATTTCACTGCGACAAACGCAAACGTGGAAGAAGGGCTGGCAGGCAGGCGTACCTCCCCAAGTGTCGTTGGGACCTCATGTTGTTCCCGTGAAGGCGACGTGGAAGATGCAGAAATGAGTGATGTGGTGCTGCAGGCAGGTGCGGGGGGGGTCCAAGATTCAGTCAGCTATTGTGAACTCCGGAAGGCAAGGAACGACGAAACAACTTCCTGTGTGCCCACGCAAGTTTGAATGCCTCGCACAAGGTAGAGCCACTACCCGAACAAGTGCGAGGTCTATGGGAAATGGTTGGGGAGGATGCGGAAGGGCAGTGCAGTGGGGAGTTCAACTTTGAATTCTGATCGAACATCATCTCGTGAGGTGCCTTTGCCTTTTCTGGAAAGGCTATGAGGTTGCCTCCCTCCTTCGCGGCCGCTGTGTTCGAATACGAATCCGCAGTGCAGAAATCCTTGCTGAACACACCGTTTGCTTTGGTGCGGCGGGTGTCTATACACACATACATGCACATATACACATTCCTTTTTCTGTCCACCCTCTTGCACCTTATGCCGCATCTCGCCGCCAGCACGTTGTTATTTCTGTACACTCCATGTGTCCCCTTAAAGCGTTATTTTTGCTCACTCCCCCTGTCCACAAGCAGTACAAAGTTGCGACTCGCCTTTGCCCCCACATATTAGGGGCTTGATCTGTGTGCTTTAGATACGATTTCGCGGGAGCGTTTGTGCACCTGAGGGCTTATTCTTTGCCCTTCAATGGAGCATTATCCGATTGGTTTTTTGACTGGAAAAGCTTATGAGACTTCATTGAGCTTCAGAAGCTTGCAAGCTTTTTCGTATTCCATGCAGCTTCTCATGGAACATTCGGGCAAACGCTCGTCGTGTATTCGGTTCGCCCTTATTTTCTATTCCTGGTGCTGTTCGCTCTTTGCCCTCTTTGCGCTTTCCATCCCTTGAACGTTGCGTACTGAGCTCCTCCATATGGGCGTGATGTTTATGAGTATTGCTGCAAATGCCGGCGCTTGACCCCTTGGCTCTGGGTTTTCTGGCATGCTGCAAACTGCCAGTGCAGCAGGTGCAAAGGCAACGCCAAAGAATTTGACTGACTGCGATTTAGGGACTAGCGTCGAAAGTACCACACGGTTACGCTAGGGAGGACTATTCCAGCACATCCTTCTAGAGGATTTGTGCTCACTCCAGGGGGAGGCGGCCGGTTCAATTTTTCACAGCTCGGTTTCGCCGTTCCCACCAAGCTTGGACACTAGTGTTCGTGTTATCTTCGAAGAGTATTTCTGCCGATCGTAACCACGTGTAGGGCCGCACTAAATCAAGAAACAGCCTCATTCAGGCATGAAAGGGAGTGCCCTCACTGTTGTGGTACAAGTTGATACGCATCGTACAGGAGGGAGTTGGAGGAACACGCTCATGTATTGGCGCATATTGCCTACTTCCGTAAGATCCTTCCTCGTGTTACCTGGGGAGGAGCAGACACTACCTTCATCTTACACGATAGAGTTGCCTACATCACTACGCGATAACAACTAGCATGTATTATGCATCTATATACATATATTTAAACGTTACTTCATGGAACCTCGCACGTTCACAGTCCTTAACAACTGTGATGTAGTAGTACAGCGGCTACCAGTGGACATTCATTGATACGGAGAGCTACGGTGCAAAAACTCCGGAATGGATCAAAACGCGCAGAGCGTCTTATGTTCGGGGAATCGATTGGTTCGAGTTCGGAGTCAAAATATGCGTGAGCAGCCGTTATGTCAGTAGGTCCCAACGGTACTGCCCATTAGCACCACAATTTGTTGCAAAGTCCCATGTGGGAACACAGGCAGAACTTTTAGCCTGGATTCAAATACATTGTCTTTTTTGCGACTTTGAAATGTCGTTACTAAGGTCCATGCTCTGAGCGCTCACGGCTCCCGCAGTGGAGAGGATGACGTAGAGTGCAGGGGCTTTGCTGCACTTTCCAAATACTGAGGGCATTCACAGCTACTTGCACAGATCGTCTAGCGCACGTACACACCGCGTTGGTCCTTATTACACTGAGCTCACTTTCCACTCGAAAAAAACAAACCAAAAGGTTTACTCTTTATAATCATAGAAATACACCCTGTAGTCTTAAATGAAGGGTCTTTTGCCTACCTGTCCGTCAAGCGAAACCAGCTGCACGAAGGACGGCGGACTTCCCGCCTACCACATCGCTTTTCCCCATGCATGCGGAAACACCAGAAATAGTGCGAGTCATAACAGCAAAATGAGCATTTGCTTGGAATGGGAAATCGAGGGAGAGAAAGATGCGCACCCTCGCTAATGTTCAGCGCACCCGTGAACTCCCCCTTCCTGTTTGCCCATACCTGCGGTTCTTCAGCTATGCGTTCGATCGAATTTCTTAGTAAAAGGCCCGCTACGCAGCAAGGAAGACGAAATGCATGCTCGCAAAAGTATTTTTTTTGGTGCACTGCCGAGCCACCCGCACTACGACACTGCCGTACCTTGTTGGGCCATAAAATTTATCATGCTCATCGTAGACGAGGTGAATGTCGTCAACGAGAACAGCTGATGCTTCTTCCTAGCGCATCTTGGCTTCGTAATTTCTGCATCGTGAAGCTGTGGCCGCGGGCTCGCGCTTCCAATAACTTGATCAAAACCGTACAGCTATTATGGGGAGTCGAAAACTTTTCAGCATCCGCTGCATTGCACGAGTGGGAGGCAGCCACTCCGAACCATGCGGTAGTATTCACTGAGACGCTGCATCTAAGGCCTCTGTTGGAAAGCACTTCACAACAGACTTTAGGTAACTTAAGGAATGTTGTGGGGTGTTCTTAAAAAGGTCTCTCAACCTCCCCGGATGCCTACTTGAGGAGAGAGGTACAGCATGGGATAGGATTTGCTGCACGCTGTCAGCTTATCGAGAGATCACAGCCAGTTGCGCATAACACGCATCGTTGATGCGAACAGCATTTCGCCCTCTTGAATTGAGCTTACGCCGCTTGGCAGCTAAAAGGACATTTAAGCAGACGAACCAAGCTGACAATTCTTTACCGTTTCTTCGATATGACTAGTGCAGTGAAAGGTTCCAAGATGTAGCTTAGACAGCCACAAAAGCAGGCAGGCATTGTAGGGAAAGCTGGGATTTTGCCGCATCCCAGCCAGCGGATTGGGGGAAAAGCAGCTACATCGAACTACTTCGTGCAAATAAATGCAACACTAACTAGCTCTACTCGGCTACACGTAAGATTCGAGCTGAAGCCAAACCCACCAGTCATTTCTTTGCAAAATTTAATTAGAACGTAAGATATGAGTAAAGGGAAATCCAATAAACAACGCTGCACAATTTGTAAGTTGAATGTAATCTATATAGAGGAAACTGCCTCCGTGTAGCTCATCTCCCTGCACCAAGAGGGAAGACATAGAGAGCTAATCAAAACACCTGCTTTTTGCCTTTAACATAGTATATCGCACGAAAGGTAGCTTGGGCTGTCCAAAATAGCATGTGTTTGAAGTATTCGAGACGCAGTTTCCCATGAGCGCCCTTGGGTAAAGGGGGCCCCGGCCTGTACGTACACTGGGAGTAAAGGGCAGGAGCAGGGGATGTTCGGCATTGGAGGGGCCCCCCCCAAGCGAATCCATGGATGGTTTGCAGCAATTGATGCACCACCACCGCCTCTTAATTTCATAAAGAGCTTGCATTTATGATTTCTCCGTTCCTCTGCCTGGCTCACAGGGGGCCCTCCCTTTCTCCTCCCGAGTCGTCATCGGGGCGCAGGCGTGCATCAACGCTTGCAGTTAGAATTACGCCTTTTTTGTTTATGCTTTATTAGGCTGTTGTTTCAACTGAAGCAGGCTGGTCTTCCTTGATCATCCCCTCGAAAGGCAGGCGTGGGCTTGACCTCCTCCGTTGCTGTGAGCACCGATAGTCCATGCCGTGTGGCGCCCGCTATTTTCACGGGCTCCTTCCGTTTGAGAAGGAGCAGATGGAAGCAGCTCGATGCCCGCAGCTGTCCTATGCTGCCTGGTTTCTGACTCGAGGTGTACGCACACCTTAGCTCTGTGGGTCTTACTCCTCACACGTGATAACGACATCTCCAGTTTCGCGGCAGCAACGGTTGAATTCCACGCGCGCCTCCCCAGTATAAAGCGGACTTCAAGAGACGTATCATGAGTTCTGACGCCTCGTCTCTTCCCCCCGTATGCCCTCTGAGCCTCGTGCGTGCTTCCCAGGGGCAAGAGAAAGACAGCCCCCACACAGCCGCTGGAGCAGCGGACGAGGAAGAGCTGCATGCATCCGGATGGGCTCACGTAGAAGAAGGATCAGACTGGCTCGTTCATGGTGCTAGCGGCTGGCTTTGCAACCCAGCAGAAAAGGTCTTCTTCCACGCCGAGAAGCACCTTCTTGTCCCCGCAGAGCTTGCAGACGCAAGCGAATCCGATGCAGCAGAGCGCGCAGGAGGGGGATCGGCACAAGCAGCGGTGCTACTGCGGCCTACTGTGGGAGCAACGGACGCCTCCCCGGAGGTTTCTGGGGGACGGTGCAGCGGGGATAGCGAGGAGGATGCAGGCATCAGTCTTGAAGAGTTGCAGGAGCTGGAGGAGGAGGAGGAAGGGGAGCCAAGGGAGTCAGACGAGGATTCTGACTTGATGCTCGATTTAGAAGACGACCTTGATGCAGGCACCGCGCAGACGAAGGCAAGTTTGGGAGCACTTTGGAGAGCTAGCTATCAAGAATAGCAACAGATGCAGCCCTTTGGCCTTGCTGCTCAGGCTCACGGTGCAGCTGCTGGTGCCTGTGCCGTTTCTGGGCAGGCGCTCTTGTACGTGCAGCTCCGCCCTGTTGAGCTAATAGTCTCTCTTCTCTCCCCTTTTATTCCGATTTTCTCTCCGTGCTGCTCTGCGCATATCCTCGCCGGTTGCGCCACTTTCTGGCTGTCAAGGAAGGCCCCTTCCCCCACATTGCTGCCTCACATGCGGCGTTTGCACTTTGTGAGGCTCAGGGTACAGCAGAGGGCAAGGACGAGTGCGAAGACCGCTATGTCACGCGCAAAGGTCTCCCTCTGGGGATCGTGGCTGGCAGCTCCGAAGGGCTGTGCTACTTCTCTGCAGTTTACGATGGACATGCCGGATCGGAGTGCGTGAGATTGAATTTTCCATCTGCGCCATTGCGTTCTGACACGCCCACACGCTTGTCGAGACGCCCTTCAGAGGCAGCTTCTTCCTCAGTGGATCCCGTATGAGAAGGCCTTGCGATTACCTGGTGCTTCTTCAGCTGCGCAGAATACGCCGCTTCGCATCTGCACAAGAACCTGTTGAGCTGCTATCGTCAAATACACCGGACGGTGGAGGTCTGGCGCGATTTTGTGTTTTGCGTAGTGTAGAATGCAGAAGCAGGCATTTCGGCTGTCACGACAGGCCTGCACCGCACGTCCTCGTGTGCCTTTTCTTTTGCCTCTCCGTCTTCAGTCCTCCTGCGAGACGCTTCCCTCTACGCCAGAGCTGCCCCAGCCTCTTTATTGGCGCATGTTGCTGTTGCCCAAAGGCTCTGTTGCTTGCGGCTGTCTGCAGACATGGCTGCCACGCCAGCTGCATGCAGCTGCCCGCGTCTGCTTGCTTCGCGGTGCTCTGACTGCGCCGCGCCTCTGAGTTACCGGACTGCAAACTTGCAGGCTTTTTCTCACGCGGGCACTGTCTCTTGCTGCGTGTGTATCTTCGAGCAGCGACGGAGGCAAGAAGAGGCCCTCAGGCACGGCGGAAAGAGACGGAAACAGCAGCACGCCTCCCAGTGGCTGCAGCAGCTGAATCTCTCGACGGAGGCTCTACGACATGAGGAGCGCAGGCTGTCTGTCGAGGTGGAGGCCTTAGTGAGAAGCTGTTTCAGTGCCTTCTCGCTCACGGATAAAAACTACCTCGGTCGTGCATCCAGCTCCCTTGCAAAGAATGGTGCGCCTATCCAGCCTCCCTTCCAACCCTTTGCCCTTCTGTGTTTCCAGTTGCTGTCTCTGAGGCTGTCTGTCTTCCCGGCTCTACGCCTTTCAGCCTCACGCGACACGCCTTCTTGCTGGTCTTTGCTCCTCGAGTTGCGTGCTAAAGAATGGCCGTGCCGAATCGTCTAAGTCTTCTCTTTGTCTGGCTGGAGGCTGCTGGCGCAGTTTTGCCGGGGTGCAGTGTGGGGAAGGTCGTCGTAGGACTCTTTGAGGGGGGAAGGGGGGCAAGGAGGCAGCCACAAGTATGAAGGGATGGTAGCGATTGCGCCTTGTGTGTCTTTTTCTGAAGATTTGCTGCCCGTGCATGTTTTTTCTTGGATTTGGGGGCGTGCTGGTGCGTAAGGTAGTGGGGTTTTCATCGCTCTTCTGCCAAAGTATGCGGGATGCGCAATATTGCAGCCGGCACAACCGCCTGTCTTGCGATCTTCTTTGGTCCGGATGACTCTGGGGTGCTACAACTAATTACAGCGCATGCAGGAGACTCCAGGGCAGTGTTGTGTCGGTGCGTCATTGCGTCTGTCTCCCCCGCCGGCAAATGCATCTTCTAAGACAGCCGTTGCACGTCAGCAGTTGCAGACACACAGACATGGAGAGAGAAGAAATTCTTCTCTCTCCATTTTTATATATATCTATCTCTCTATATATATATATCTATATGTACATATATATAGATATATATATATATATAGAGATAGGCGCTGCAACGCGTGGGGCCACCTGATCGTAGTGTTTCTCCATCTCAGTGGTATTCAGCGCATCGCATGCAGAAGAAACTGAGTTAGGGGTTGCAACACGCACGGCACGAATTCGTCTGCTAGTAAGAGGGGGCCAGCAGACAGCGTGTTTTTGGTCAGGATAGACGGAGAGGGGTGGCGTGGCGGCGCTCAAGAAAGAATGCAATGCCCAGTGTCATCCTTTTGCACTGTCTGCTGTGCTTCGGGGTGTATGTATGCGTTTGCAGAGACGGGGAGGCTATTCGGCTGACGGAAGATCATAAACCGAATTCTCCTGCCGAAAGGAAGCGTATTGAGAAAGCAGGGGGTCAAGTAAGAGATTTTACGTGATGCGCTGGCTCTTCTGCCCTCGTCCCTTCTCTCTTCCCATTCCCTCCTGTTTCCATCATTCGCGAGTTTCCTCCCTCCTCAGGAATCCCTACCGCTTCTGCTTGTGTTTTGTATGCAAGCATGTATTTGTATTTCATGTATTTGTATGTGTCTGCATTGCATGTATGCATGTATGTATTTGTATGCCATGTATTTGTATTTCATGTATTTGTATGTGTCTGCATTGCATGTATGCATGTATGTATTTGTATGCAAGCATGTATTTGTATTTCATGTATTTGTATGTGTCTGCATTGCATGTATGCATGTATGTATTTGTATGCCATGTATTTGTATTTCATGTATTTGTGTGTATCTGTGTTGTATGTATGCATGTATGTATTTGTATGCCATGTATTTGTATTTCATGTATTTGTGTGTATCTGTGTTGTATGTATGTATTTGCGCGCCATGTATTTGTATTTCATGTATTTGTATGTGTCTGCATTGCATGTATGCATGTATGTATTTGTATGCCATGTATTTGTATTTCACCTATTTGTGTGTATCTGTGTTGTATGTATGTATTTGCGCGCCATGTATTTGTATTTCATGTATTTGTGTGTGTCTGTATTGCATGTATGTATGTATGTATTTGTATGTCATGTATTTGTGTGCCATGTGTTTGTCATGTTGATGTATCTACTTGGCGGGCCGCGTTCCTGCGTCTCCGCCATTTTGTTGCTCGCGCGGAGCTGCTTGTTTTTGTCTCTTGTGTCTTCTTGCGCTGCAAAGGATGTTCTCTCTCTCTCTCTCTGTCTTTCTGTCTCTCTCTGTCTCTCTCTGTCTCTGTCTCTGCCGCTTTGCACGGCGCTTTTGTCTGCTGCGTACCTTCTTCGGATGGTGTTGTTATTGTTTGTTGTGCTTCTCAGGTGATGCAGATTCAAGGGGTGTGGCGTGTCATGGCCTCAGACCAACGAGGAGGACGTACAGTGGGGCTAGCGACGGCTCGAGCGCTGGGAGACTCCGCATTGAAGAGGCCTAAGCCTCTTGTCATCAGCAATCCAACCGTTCACGTGCACACCCTTCACTTTGATCGGGATGCCTTCCTTGTGAGGCTGAAGGGAGCCGTCGCAGTCGTGTTGTTGCTGCTGCTGCTGCTGGCGTCGCGTTTGCGGGGACTGGTGACAAGACAGAGAGAGAGCGGGGAGCAGGGGGAGGAGGCCTCGTGGGAAGCGAGGGTAGCTAGCTGCTCCCCAGTAGCCTGCCTTCAAGGCTCCGGAAGAGAGGGGCGTTTTGTGCGTCTGTGCTGCGCTGTTCAGGTGTTGGCATCAGACGGCATTTTCGACGTCCTGTCGGATGAAGAAGTGGTGAAGCTGATCTTCTCTCGTCTTCCACGAACGCCTGCAGAGGCAAGCGCCGCAGTTCGCCAGCGCGAGTAGAGCGGGCGAAAAGGCGGCTGTTCAGGGGCAGGGGGCTTGGGAGGAATGGGAAGAAGCGTCCTCAAGGGGGAAGGTCGGTGCGGGCGGTAACACGCGCTCGTGTGTGTTGCTCGTTTGCTTGGAGGCCTCTCTTGGTGCAGGCATCGCAGTTGGTGGTAGATGAAGCAGTTGCACGCGGAGGGACGGACGACAAGACGTGCACGGTGATCTACTTCAGATGGCGGAAAGACCTTTTTCCCCCCTCGGAGGAGACGGAAGATGTCGGAGAGCAGCTTCACGAGGAGGCCGAGGAAGCCTTCCAGCAGATTTTGCCACAGCAGGCTGCAGGAAGCCTCGCGCGATCGGAGGCTGCCGAGCAGATCCACGCATTCGACGCTGCACCTCCCTCCTCGCCACCTGGCCAGCTAGCCAGTAGGCAGCCTCTGTCAGAAGCAGCAGAAGGGCCTTGCGCGGCTGTTCCTGCGGGGCAGAGAGGCGGTGGAGGTGTCGCTGCAGAAGAACGCTGCAGCGGGGACGCTAGCAGCGACAAGAGAGATCCGCGCGTTGGCACAGGGGCAGTCGAGGAGGATGAAAAAGACTGCGGGGCGGCTGCAGCAGCCAGGGCAGACGAAGCAGAAAGGGGCCTTATCGCGGTAGTCTGCGCCGCAACTGAGGCTGCAGAAGAAAGGAAGGGAAGGGGCTTGCGCAGCGGCGGGTTAGAGGAAATTGCCGCTGTCAAGGTGTCTCTAGATGTGGAGGCCTTTATCAGAAAACGAAAGCGGGAGCAGCAAATGGAAGCAGAGGCGACGGCAGCAGCGGCGGCTGCGGAGGCAGAAGCAGAAGTAAGCGTGTACAGGGGAAAGGCAACAGGCACTCTGTACAGCTCTAGGGCGCAGAGAGAGGCACTGAAGTATAGTGTCGATACAGTAGCGAAAAACGTGAAGGGGCTCTACTGGAAAGTGCTTGCTCGCAGTAGCAGTGCACAAACATACACATTCATACACAAGCACACACACACATACACATATATGTATACACATACACACATACATACACACATACAGTCTTACATACACACATACATACAGTCTTACATACACACACACGCACACATAATCCTGGTGCGCTGTGAGTACCGCCACTTCAACATTTTATACGCCACTTCCCGTGTTTGCATTATGTTTCCGTCTCGGCTTGTACGTGAGTGTTGCTGCAGGATGACTTTGATATTTTTGGCGGAGGGAGTCCGCCAAAATCTCCTAACCTCCCTGAGGCACCAGTGGAGGGCGTAGATAGCGACTGATGATGTGCAGAGCGAAAATGGTTGTTCTTGCTGTTGCATTGTCGTATGTGGAGTGAGAGCGCTCCTTTCCCGCTGCGTGCGCAGTCGCATGATATACACAAAGCCTCGAGACATGGTCGGGGTAAACTGCAGAGCCTCATTGGGGGCAACAGACAGTGGTGCAAAGAGGGACAGCTATAGACGGGTAGCCATACGCAGAGATCTGATGACAGTGCTTGAAACGGCAAGAGTGTCGCTCAGACACGTGAATCGGCGGCTTCTTATTAGGCGGAAAGGCCTGTAACCACGATGCCATCCTTAGGTGAATGCAGTCCTAGCGGTTCCTATAGGCAGCAGAAGCAAGACCACCCTCGCATGTTTGCCCTTTCTGCTCGGCTCCCCGTGCCCCTTGAATCGCGCAAGGAGCGCTGCTTGAGTGTAGCCTATCCGTGGACGAGAGACACTACACCGCCAAAAGAAGTGCGCACGCAGAAAAGTCCTTAGAACTAACGGCAACACTGCCCTGCACGAGGCTCCTGCTTCAAGGTTTTGTGTCGCCCCTCCTCTCAGCTACGGGCGTGGAGGCGAGCAGAAGCTTCGAAATTTTGGCTTTTTACCGGCTCTTTCGCCTCCATTTCGGGCAGTCTCTCTCCTTCAGTTCAATCGTGAGGGCGTGCCCTCTGCACCTGGAGCGGAGTTGCTGGAGCAGCGCATCCTGAGGCTCTTCCTCTCATCCTTTGCTACCGAGAAATTGCGCATTCTTGCATTCATTAGAGCCCCTAAGAGCCGATGAGCAGCTGCTCACGACCGAAAGTGTTGGAGCCGTTATAATAAGTGTGCGGCACTGCTTCTTCGCAGTATGGCATGCAACGCGTCACATGATTTTCCGTGGGCACGGTTTTTGAAGTTGCGCGATGCTGCCCCTTTTCCCTTGGCTTTCAGCTTTCCCCTCTTTATAGTGCTTCCTGTCCTCTGGTGGAGAGCGCTTGCGCTTGTCGAGTGACAGCTAGACAAGCAGACAGTATTTGCGGTGCGCCCCCTTCAGGTGGATTTTTGTCTGTGTGTTGGCGGCAGTTCGTCCTGCCAGCTTTTCAAGTCGCTTATTGACTGTAATGTGTTAGAGGCCGGGCGCTTGGCTTCTTTGCTCCCTCGCGAAAATGCCCCTCCTACAGTTAGGCGGTCCCTCAACTTCATATTTGCTGGATGCTATTGCAAAGGCTGCTTGCTGCCTCTCTGTCGGGGGCCTGGCTCTGCTTACTTCAGAGGGGAGTCAAGGTGAGATATCGTTCCTGCCGCCTGAGGAGTGGGAGACTACAAGTGGCTCTACACGGGACTAGATAAATCACCGGCGAGCCAGCAGGTCTCATGCCAGTCAAACATTTCATAACCGGTTGATTTCTAAGCCCAGTCGCGTTCGGATGAAGACTTGAGGCGAGGCCTAGGCATGGCTAATTCTGCAAGTGCTCAAGGCCACTGTATGAAGTCATGCCATGCTCCGGACGCGTATCATTCTGCATTAGATCCTATGAATGAAATCAAACCTGTAGGGCTGCGCAGCAAGGGTGCAAAAAATTGGCAATTGCATCGCGTGGGGCCAGTGTTTGGCGCATTGAAGCCCTCCTACTTTTCATGGCCTTTCATAAAGACCCCGAACCCTACACTTCTTCTAACGGCGCGAGAGAAGCACTTGATTTGTTGCCCTGAAAGAGCTTCCACTCGCCGTTTTCCAGCCTTCACTTTACAGGGCGTGTGGCAGCACGGATGCAACTTGCTTCGTTCCATGTTTCATCGAGCCGGATGTTCGCATTTAAGTGGATGTTGCAACTTGGCGCACAGACACGCAGCGTGCACTCTGGATTCTACTCTAGCGCCAACGAGGACGCTCAGTGGCAAGTAGGACTTATGAAAAACCAAGCTCTTCAGTCAATGATCAGTAAAAACTGGTTATATACAGCTGATGAGGGCAGGTCTGCGTGTTTCTTTCGAGTGGCCTGCTATAAGATCAGCCGCCAGGCTTTCAGCCAAAGGCTTGTGGTCACATGTCTAGCCTTGCCGCATTTGAAGCCGCGAGAGCAGCAAAAAGTTAAAGCCACTCAATCTGGGAAAAACAAGGTAATCTGGCGTGCGTAAGACGGGATTGGCTCCGTTTCGCCAACTATGGATGCCTTGAATGCCTCAGAAGCCACGCAGCCCGTAGTGTGCTAACCTGCACTAGGACACGTCGTACTAAACTGGTAGTACTTCAGAATTCGTAAAACGTCTGACTAGGTTTGTCTGATATTATATCGTGTTTATAGTAATGCGGATGTGTTCAGTATGGTATAAATTGGTATTGTGGGCCAGTACGCGACACACTATATGCAACTAGCTGTAGAGTCTGGGAATCCCTTGAAGGTGATGCAAAGGACACTCTAGCTATCCCTTGCCCCTCATATGGGAGCATTGGGGGTCACGGACAAGGGAAGGCGGGAGCTCTTATGGAAAACACTTTCTAGCTTGCTTGTCAGCTTCTATTATATATGAAGTGAAGTGCGTCCTTACCTACAGCTTGTATGAAGCGTCAATGATGGTATCACACTAGGATTTGATGGAGCTCTTCCGCGCCCATCTACTGGTTGTAGATGCACTGGCATGACAGCTCTCCCTATTACAGCTCCCTGGTTGTAGTAGTGACTTTTGGTAAGCCCGTAATCTTTATCTCGTTGGCAGCGGTCCGAGAAAATGAGTCCTGTTGCAATGAAAGTTGACGGTGGTATGGCGCCTGCTGGAGCGGCAGACGCCGGCCTGCAACCTGATACGAACGCAGTGGCTCAGCAGCTTACAGCAAGGCATGAGTTGTTGGCAGAGAAAATGCTAATGGGTGCCTTGATCAGGTTATGCTGACCAGAAAAGCATGACGCCCGTAAGGACGAGCAAGTATTCGAAGACTTTATCAGCCGGTTGGAATTGTACCTCGCTTAAACCCCTAAATAGAGAGAAACAAGGGCCCTTTTAGGCATATTGATTGGGGGGTGAAACACTCAAACAGTTATTTGATTCATGTAGATCAAGTGGTCTGCCTGCATCGCCTATTGCAGTCCGAGCTTTCATGCAAGCCTTGACTCACCGCTTTACGCCAACATCAGCTCAACACCCGACTGTGCGAGAAAAGAAAAAGTAGAAGAACAGGAATTTAGCAGTGTATCGGTATCTGTTAAAAATAGGAAAACTTGGTACGCAAAAGCCACAACGTACGAATACCTCTTTTATCAGTGGATTAACTTTGGTCTACCAATATTGCCACACCAGGCGGTAAACTAGTGGACAAGGACTCAGTGAATAAACTGCCTACCGGCGAGGCTTCTGCAAATGGTGGACTACTTGAGGTCTTAGGAGCGAATGAGCACAATTCCTGCATCGTTAGCCGAAAAAGAAGAGCCAAGTCGGAATTAGGAGCATTGACTGTCCGGCTGTGTCAATCGGCCCTAGCCTGCAGTCCAGAGTAGACGACAAACAACGAAGAGAGAAAGCAGATTTTCCTGAGCAGCCACAGAAAACCCCCGAGCAATTCATCTGCTTCTACTCGGAAAATTGGCCGTATAATGCAGGGCTGCATGCATATGTAAAATGACAAAGACCTTGAACTACAAGAGTGGCCCCAGCTGAAACAGGCTATGTGGCAGGCAAAGAAGCCGCATCAGGGAAACGGCAAAGCCCCCATGCAGGCTGCTGCACAGTTAAGAGCGCAATACAAAAAAGAGTCGCAAACGGGGACTCACCCCGGGTCAACCCTGTGCTGATATCAATCCGCATTAGGGGTGGAAAAGTACTAGCTCTACTTCGAAGTGAATAAGAGGTGTTTCTTTTTTGCGAAGAGATGGCGCAGAAGTGCGATTGGCCTGTTCAATCGTTGGTGCAGCGCCTGAGACTCGATTTCTCTTAGGGGAGGCAGAATGAAACTGGCAAGGCTACGTCAGTTGAATGTTACTTATAATCAACATAGGGTCCTGTCATCAGGTTTGTGAGGCGGATACAATCCTTGGTCTGCCAGGGGTGACCCAATAAAAGGAAAGCCTGCGGCCATAGCTGCGCGCTGCAGAAGTTACTAGGGAAGAAGGCGCTAGGGAGGAGCACGTCCTGGGCTCCTCGACAAAGCCTATTTGAGCTACGGTGAGTGGGATACAGCCCGTGGCTCAAAAAGGTGCTGCAGAGCTTTCGTAGGACTGGCTGAGCAGTGTACTAAGAGAAGACGGCTTCGACAACACAGCTAATCTTCCGTGCTGTGTGAATATCTCGTGAGTGAAGAAATTATTTGCGCATTCACCGGGGGACCATCAAAAATGGGAGTTTGCGGGTTTGCTAAATAATGACCAGCTGTCAGCATGCTGGCCACTTGCTCGTCGTCCACTGCAACATGTTGAGCAAATACCCACTGCAGACCCAAGCCCTAATCCGTGGCATCGGAAGGCCTTATGTAATAAAGGGGAGATCGATCAAAAGGCGGACAATTTGCTAGAAAGGTAAAGTGCAGGAATCGACCGGAGCTTTTAGAGGCAGCCCGGTGTTCGTGCCTGAATGGAACAAGGTGGCTCATATGCGTCGATTTTAAGCCTCTGAATAAGATCACTGTGGAGCCGAAGCTCTCAATGCCTCGTAATGACGTTTTACGTAAAGCCATATACGGAAGAACGGTGTAACTGACGTTTGCCTTTGAACTTGCATTCTCACAATTATCCATTCACTGCGACGACTTCCACAAGAGGGCTTTACACAGTGGTTCGCAAACTGAAGCATGCATTCAGATGTGCCTTTTGCTCTTGGTGATGCTTCACCTTCAGTGCAACGGCAAGTGAATTTTGATGTTGAAGAGCCCGTAAAGAAGAGATACATCGTTGTGCTAATGAAGACGCCTGAGTACTTCGCCAAGCGCTCACGAGTACCTACAGCACCTAGAGCCTGGGCTTCAGCTGTTACGGGGCAAGCAATGCTATGTGGGGGCATCTAAGTGGCCTTCCTCAAGTGCAAATGTGTTTTTGTTGTTACTTCATGTCTCGGCTGGTAGTAATATGATGATACGAGGAGATTGGAAGGTGAGTTTAACGTGTACCCACCAGCAACGACGTTGTAAAGCTTCATGGGCTTGCAATTCGTTACCCAGATTTCGCTGTTGGTTTCGCTTAGATCACTGCTCCTTTGACTGATGTACTTTTTTTGATATTCAGTCTGGAACCTGTACATAGAGGCTCATGCCGCGGGGAAGACGCTTGTCGTTGGCCTCAGAGCTCCTCCGATGCTTACGCTGACCTATTACTGGCATAATTTCTTCATGACAGCCAATGCTAGTGATACTATAGTAAGCGCTATTCTCTTTCAACAGGGTGTAGAGGAAAGCAGAGACGCCGTCGCCCAGACATTCCGCCTGCGCTCTGCTGCCCTATTTGAGGCAAAGTACACGCTCACGTTCTTTATGGCTGTAGTGAGTTTCATCATACAGCGGACAAGCTCTCACGCTCCTGGCGGCCTGGATGCATGCCGGGGTTAAGAGGCTTGCTCCGTAATGCCCAGATTGCCAGCCGCTGCGCCCGCGTGTTTCTCCGAAATCTGGCCTTTTGCTTAGTCAGATTTCTGAACGGACTTGGACTGATTTAACTGTTTTTTGTTGGACTGTCGGCAGTCAAGAGTCAGGATAGCATCTATATCGTCCTCATCAGACTCAACAACTATGCCCTTTCCACCTCTTGCTCCAGCTCCTCGTGTCATGCTTGACTTCGCTCTGGGAGCCTTACGGACTCCCCACGACCACACTGCGGTGCGAGCACTTTCAACGCTCCAACTGGAGTCTCTGCTGGCTGGGCGAGGTTTACCCTTAGACTTGGTACAAGTTAGGAAGGAAGCCATCGAGTGTTCTCCAGAGGGCTTCTGCCCCCTCCTTCCAGCAATTCCTGGAGTTCTTCCCCCTTAGGGCAGCGGGGGAGCTGGGTTAGCGTTCTTGCATTATCTAGGCTTTGGAGCATTCACGGCTAGTTGGACATGACGAGTAGCGCACAAGCACCCAACCCTGCTTCTTCTTGTAGCAAGCTATCGGGACCCTGAAATAAAGAATGTGCTCGTAGAAAAAAATTGGTCTACTTCCTACCAATTTCTATTTTGAAATAAGGAGCGCTGCAGAGCATGGTTTCGTCTGAATATCATAGCAGGACGCTCTACAGCGGCGGGGGCTATTCGCTACGCGGGGGCGCCGTGTGTGCAGGCGGCAAAAAACCCTTCTTTTCGATATTTCTGCGCAGCGAGTCTGTGTTTGAAGTGCCACACATTGAATCCTACAGGAAAATTTCGAGCAACGCCGGCAAAATCTGCCAAAAAGGGCCCTTCTCGCTCCACGGGAAGGCGGTTGTGGACCGACGGAGGGGCTATATAAAAGTCTGCTGCTGCTGCAGCAGACTTCTGTATAGCCCCTCCGCGGAGACTTCCTGCGTTGGTCTGCAGTTCTTTTTCCTCCTGGGCATTTTTCTGGGTGATTTTTGGTGGAAAATATCTATATGAGGGGAGTTTGCGCAGGCGCATTTAATCTCAGCAGTGCCCGCCTCCTTCCGCGCCGCCTGATGGGGGGCAGCAGCAGCAGCACTGGAAGCCTCAAGCGGCAGCCAGCCCCTGCGGCAGGAACGGAGGCAACAGCTGCAGAAGGATAAGGAGGAGTCAGAGCAGCCTTAGTTGGAGGAGAGAGATCGTTCGTGCTTGGTTCGGGATTTAACAGCAGATGCAGCTGCTGCTTTAGGCTCCTCCTCCTAGGCAGTGCACACCAACCAACATGGCACCGCAAAAGTACTACACTGTGGGGGTAAGCAACAAGTTTGCTGCCTTTGGGGCAGACAGCGATGCCTCTTCGGACGAAGGAGAGGTTATTCTTTCAGCCCCTCCGCCAACTGCGACAGATCCGCTGCAACAACAGCAACCAAGTGCCGCTGCTGCCAAGAAAAAGCAGCAGCAGCAGCAGCAGCAAGTCTCCCCACAACGGGAGAGACAAGGGCGCGGACCCTCTCGCGGCAGTAAGCTCGCACGTCCATGCCGCCGTTTGTGTTTTTGCCTCTTTTTTTCATTCCTCCATCACCAGCGTGGCTGCCTTCGCAAAGTTGAATCCTTCGGAAGGGCCCCCCCGAACCTCCCGCGCTGCTGCCGGCGCTGCTGCTCCACGGCGTTTCTTTGTTGCCAGACGGGCTGCGTAAATCGCCGAATTCGCAATTTCGGGTGTATGTCCCTCTGTCTTTCTTCCGCCTGCGCCCCTTTGTGGGGGGGAGGGGGGGCGAGGAGGTCATCTGGCCGCTCTCCGCTCTCTCGTGCAGTGCAAAGAAGTGTTTCTGCGTAGCAGCGAAGCAGCGTAGCAGCAGGAGGCCTTTGCCCGCTTCCGTGGGCTGTGCGTGTATGTGTGTGTAAGTGTATGCATGCATGTGCGTTGAGAGGAGGGGCCTCTGTTTCGTTCGTCGGCTGCATGCGTCGTTCGCTCGGCGCCAGCGGGAGCGGGCTGTGTTGCTGCCTCGCGCTGCTGCTGGTGCTGGTGCTGCTCGGGGGTCGTAGTGGGGAGGGGGGGAGCCCTTCGTTTGTTTGAAGCACTGGCCCCTTCTTCTTCGTTTGCATGCATACGTTTCCCGCATGTGTGCGTGTGTTGTGATGTGCTGCGCAGGCAGGGGAGGAGCCTTCGGCGGAGACTTAAGAGGAAGCGGAGGGGCTAGGGGGGGGCGTCGGCAGGAAGGTGCTGCTCCTGAAGGCGCAGCAGATGAGGCTGCTCTTGCCAGCGGTCTGTCTCCTCAAGAGGGCGATGGCATCCAGCGTCGTCGGGGGACTGGTTTCCGAGGCAGAGGGGGTCGGGGGGGAGTAGCAGGGGGTCCCCTCTTTGGCAGGAGGGAGTTTGATCGTCACAGCGCTACAGGGAGGGGACGAGAGACGAAGAAGCAGGGTGCTGGAGGGCACAACTGGGGGCATGAGGAGGCGGAGAATCATCCCCAGAAGGCTGAAACTTTGCTGGCAGAAGACTCTGCCACGAAGGAGCCGGGATCTCAGGGTGAAGAGGTTCAGGAGGAGGTGCGTTGAGGGGGTTTGTACGTGGCGGGGGGGTTTCCATAAGAAGGTGTGTTGGTCGGTGCATTGCAGTCTGCACTGCATGATGAGCGCTCACGTGAAGGCAAGCAAGCAGTTCGACCGGCAGGCAGTCTTGGGTTGTCTTGTCTCTTCTTGGCTGCGTGGCCTTTGTGAACACTGAGGTCTAGGGGGTGGGGTTGTTGTTGGTGGGGAGTAAGTGCATATGTGTGCACGCATGCAGAGAAGTTGGAAGGGGGGCGGGGGTACATACACATGGATTTGCATCGCGGGGAGGATGGCCGTTTGTGTGTGACGCGCCTTTCAGGGAGAAGGGAAGGAGGGTGCTGCCGTCGTGCAGCAGCAGCCTGCCGCCGAGGAGGAGGCTACGATCGATTTGGATACGTACAAGAAGATCCAGGCAGAGAAGCGAGCGAATCTGCCGACGTTTGTGTCTACCTCTGGAGTGCCGAAGCAGATCGAGACGGATAAGGAGCTCTCAGCCCAGGGGTATGTGCGGCTCGAGCGAGGGGGCGACGCAGACACGGAGGGTGCTGGCGAGGAGAGTCTGGAGTCTAGGGAAGACAAGCCGAAAAAGAAGTCAATCAACCTCTACGAGTATGTGCATATCGAAGGGGGAAGGGTTCCCTCGTTCGGAAGGAGGGGCGGGAGAGGCGGCGGGAGAGGAGGCAGCGGAAGTGGCCACAGAGACGATCGAGCGAAGCGGGGGGGGGGATATTCGAGAGGTTCACGCAGTCGCGAAGCAGCTCCGGATCTGAAGGATACTCAGGCTTTCCCCACACTAGGTGCTCGCTGAGAAGAACAATTTCTAGTCCCTCCTGAGAGGGGGGAGGGGGTTGGTGCTGGCAGCTTTTCCTGCCTTTTCTGTCCCTGCATGCTGCGAGCATCCTCCTCTCCGATGTTGTTGTTGTTTGGTTTGCAGCAGGGAGAGAGGGGGAAGGGGGAGGCTTTGCGGCGGCAGTATTAGTAGTCAGAAGGGTGTAGGGGGGGGCACACCGTGTACACACCGACACACAGGGAGAAGACGGCAGCAACACACACACGCCTACTCTGACGCTGCTGGATAGAGCGGCATAGGGGAAGAAGGGGAAGAAGAGGAAGAGGAAGAGGAAGGGAGGGAAGGCGTCGTAGTTGCTTTGTGCCCGGGGAGGGAGGGCGAGCTACAGAAGGAAGCGCACTCCCTCATAATAATTGTCTGGTTGGTAGAGTTGCCTGAAGAAGGAGAAGAAGAGAAAGGAAGAGGACGAGGGGCCCCTCTTGTCTACGGCTGTTTGACAGAAACGCCGCGTGACACGCAACAAGCACCCAGTAAACGAAAGCCTGTCTGCGTGCCTGCTGCGAAAGGAATCAGTGTATTGGTTGGGGAGCTACGCGATAGAGGGTAAAATTGTACGACGTGTGGACGTCGCCTAATAAGGCCACCAGCACAATGGTTTCCCCCCCTTCCAACCCTACAATAATAGAGAGGCTTCCAAGGGGAAGGGAGGTCGATAGTGTCACGCATTCGTCCTTCGCGCACTCTCCTCCCCAGTTGCCTGGACGGGGTAGTGTGGTGTGTTGTGGGGAAAGGAGGAGGGCAGGCAGGCAGGCAGATGAAGGCCGTTTGGTTGATGGAGGGGTCTTCTATCTCGACGCGAAGAGGCTCCGACTGCCCCCTTTCCCTCCTCCCCCTGAAGAAACTTTCGCGAGCAAAAAGCGCCTTGCCGCGTCGCTCGCCTCGCTGTTTCAGCTGGCTAAGGCACCACGGCGACCCTCGCTCGCTGCTGTTTCACGGCTTCTGTCCACCTAGAACTGAGAAAAAGACGTTTCTAGTTTGCATGCACGTGGTGGGGCTTCCTCCCTTTCTTTCTTTCTTCTTATTCTCGCTGCAACCGTTCCCGCACGCTGGCCATGAGGATGCGAGCTTCAGGGGTTGGTAGGCTTATTACACACGTCGCTCCTTGAACCCCCCTACCAACAAAGAGCTCTCCCCGCCACACCATTAAATAGCTAACGCGAAGGAGCCGATTGCCTCGGATTGGCAGAGGCTGGGCAGGCCTCTTGTTGCCTCAGACTGCGTGCAGTTGTGCTTTCTCTCTCTCGCTGTGGCTGTAAAGCCGCTGGCGAAAAAGACACCCCATCAAGCGCGGCTCGCATATTTGAGCTTCCCTGCTTAATGCATGGCCTCGTGGTGCCCTCTGTGCCGCTGCTGTGGTTGCGCTAGTGCCTCGAGTAAAGGCTGCCTACGACACTGCCAAAATAGCGATAGGGGCATTCCATGTAGAGACAGCGAACGGGGGAGCGCGTCCTATGTTCGCATACAACGTCATCCTAATATTGATTTAGTATTTCAACGAAAGTTATCCTATAAAATCTCGCCTAGGCCAGGTTCTGGCCGGTGCCAATATCGACATATATGAGCCAAAAATGCAAAAATTCCCACGCTAGATGGATATTTACGCATCCCTCTGCTGTAGCAGCCAGGGTGCGAATTCGATTCCCTCTGCTGCAGCTAATAAAGAATCTTTTCCCTCTGCTGCAGCCGCTATCCTGTTGCAACTAGGATGGTGAGTCTAATTTCCTCTGCTGCAGCCGCCATCCTGTTGCAGCTAGGATGGCGATTTTTTTCCCTCTGCTGCAGCCGCTATCCTGTTGTAGCTAGGATGGCGATTTTTTCCCTCTGCTGCAGCCGCTATCCTGTTGTAGCTAGGATGGCGATTTTTTCCCTCTGCTGCAGCCGCTATCCTGTTGCAGCTAGGAAGGCGATTTTTTCCCTCTGCTGCAGCCGCTATCCTGTGGCAGCTAGGAAGGCGATTTTTTTCCCTCTGCTGCAGCCGCTATCCTGTTGCAGCTAGGATGGCGATTTTTTCCCTCTGCTGCAGCATATCTCTAAAGTTGCAAGTAGGATGGCCATACAGGCACGACGGAGGCATTGCCGCTGGCTATGATGGCAGCGCCCAAGAAGGGAGCTCCCCCTCCATTCCCCCCCTTTGTGCCTGCAGCCGAGCCCTCTGTGACGGTGGAGTCTGTGCTGCAATTCATGCCGAAGAAGGGTGTTTCTTGCAGCCGCCGCTGCTGCGCTTGCTGCTGCTGGTGGTAGGCTGCCGACGCTGCTGTTGCTGCTGCTGCACCCTCCTGGGCAGAGGAAGGAGAATCGCCTGTGGAGGTAGTGCCTGCGGCGGCAGCTGCAGCTGCTGCCAGAGCACTGCTGGTGGTGCTCCTATCGCAGTTTTCTGGAAAGCCGAATTGCGGAATTCGCAGGTTTGTTCCAGCCTGCGAGTTGCCTTCCGTGTGCAGCAAGGGGTGCTGCTGAAGTTGCTGTTCAAAAACGGCACTCCAGCGCTCCTCCGACAGCACGTGCGCCTCACGCTGCAGAGGCAGCAGCTGCACGCTGCCGCTCTGTTCTTTCGAGCAGCTCTGAGTCTTGGGAACTGCAGAAGGAGAAGGCGAAGGGGGGGGGAGCTGGGGGGGGAGAGGAGTGGGGGTGTGCTGCGGCACAGCTGTGCTTGCTGGCAAGGGTGGAGCTTTCGTGTCTGAGGACGCTGCAGCTGCCATATCGGCGAATGTCGATACAGCCGGAGGCGCAACAGTCTCTGCGGATAGTGGTGAAGAGGGTGACGGTAAGGGGGGAGGTGGTAGTAGTTCGGAGCAAGCTGTTGTTGAGGCGCTCTGAAGGCTTCCTTGAATGGTCTTAATCTTTTGCGATATGCGGAGAACGCTTTCCTGCAGCTTTTCGTCCGCAGCTGTTGTCGTCACTGCTGCAGCTGGCGGTGCGGAACCTGCTGCTGCATTTGTTGCTGCATTTGTTGCTGCATTTGTTGCTGCTTCTGGTAGCGGCGCTCGAGATGCTGCTGGAGAGACGCATCCGACTCCTGTTGCAGAGTCTGCGAGGATTGCGCCTGGCTGCTGCCAGGAGAGCACTGTGGAATGCGCATACCCACTAGGCAGCCTTTCCTGACCAGTAGGCAGCAGCAGCCCCTGCTGCTGGAGTTGTTGTACCTGCTGCTGCTGTTGCTGCAGTTGCGAATGCAGCTGTTGCACTTGCTGCTGCTGTTGCTGCAGTTGCTGCAACTGCAGCTGTTGTACTTGCTGCAATTGATTTCGCCGTTGTACTTGCTGCTTCTGCTCTTCTTCCTCCTCCTTCTCAAAAAATTGTCGCTGTTGCTCCAGCGCCTGTTGCTGCTGCTGCTGCTGGTGTTGCAGTGGCACTTGCTGCTGCTGCTGTTGCTGCTGTTGCTGCTGCTGCTGCATGCCGTAGACCAAGCAGCACGTGTTGCGTCCACAGGAGCAGCTGCAAGAAGGAGACGCATCCAGCCTTGCTCTCATCGTTTCTGCCGGTGCATGCAGCAACGTGGCAGCAGAGGACCTTGGGAGCAGCTGCTGCTGCTGCTGTTGCTGCTGCTGCTGCTGCTGCTGCCTCTCGATTGCGATGATGCGTTCTTCGAGGGCTCTCAGTTGAGCAACTACCTGATCCAAGGCTGCCTGCATGTGCGAGGTCAGCTGTAAGGCGGAAGTGTCGATCTGGAGGAGCACAGAGGCGCAGAGTTTCACAAGGAGATCATCAGCAGAAGCCACCCTTGCTGCCTGCAGGCTAACAAGTTCGCAGAAGAAGCCGCATGACGGTCCGCCGCATTTTACAGGCAGCTTCGCATGCATGCAGGCAGGGAGGGAGCGCACCACTACTGCCCTTACGGAAGAAGCATTCTGCAGTCGTGCAGAGACACCCCTCTGCGCTTCCTGGGAAGCACAAGCAGCAGCTGCTGCTGCTTGTGCTGCAGTCTCGGGGGGAGGGAGGCCGTTGGACGCTTCTTCCAACTGCAGAGGCAGCTTGACGAAGGAAACGGGGGCGCTGCCGCTCCTGCTGCCTGATCCGAGGTGTTGTTGTTGGCGCTTCTGCTGCTGCTCCTGCTGCTGCGCCTGCTGCGTTTTCGGCGGGGGTCGCATGAAGGTGATGACGCTGCTGCTGTTGCTCACTCTCGCGCCAAGAGGAACGGCTTCTAGCGCCTCTTGGGGAGGGCGGAGGGGGTTCTGCTGCTGCTGCAGGAGTGCAACTTGATGGACGTCAGCAGCAGTCTGCAGAGCTGGCTGCCGCACGAGCAACTGCTGCAAAGGCTTCGTTCTCCGCCTCTCCGTCTGAACTTGATTGTGGATTGCCCTTACGATGCTGAGGAGGTCGCAGCACAGCAGCAGCTTCCTTTCTGCGAATCCTGCAGGCGTGAGGAACTGAGAGGGAGTCAGAAGGGGGCGATATCCACATTCCTGGCGCTGCGACGTCATCGCAAGCAGAAACAAAGCGCCACACACACACACGACTGGCACTGACGCGGGAAGCTCGAAAGTCGTTGCTGCATCATCGCCTCGACAAGATGCGTCCATGCAGCGCCTCCAGCCACACCGCCTCCTTCCCCCTTCCCTCCGAACGCCGCTTGCGCCTACACAGCAGCTAGGGGAGCCGCAAGCCACTACAGAGTCACGCAAGATGGAGAGGGCATGCGCAGCCACCAGCGAGCGGCAGAGTGCCTACGGTGCGAGATCGCTGGTGTCTGCGGGGAGGAGCTGCTGCTGCTACTGCTGGAGCTGCGGGAACACTGGCTGCGTGCGGTGTCTCGCTCACCAGAAATTTCCAAACTTCCTCTACGAACCGTCGGTCAGACTTGAAGAGGAATTCGAATCCTCTGCGGAGGAGGAAGGAGTGCACGTTTGCGCTGAAGTCGCAAAGGGCGAAGTGCAGGATGGGCAGAAGCGCATCCACAGCGCCTGAGACGATTGCTGCTTGCTCGCTGCCACTGCCGCACCACTCGGACCCCGTTTCTGCTGCCACTGCTGCTGCTGGATAATGCATGCGCCGGAGGAGGGAACGCAGTTTTCCCAAATTCCCATGCAGATCACCCACTGTAGCCGCTGTAGCCGCTGCAGCCGCTGCTGCGCCTGCAGCGGCGGCTGCAGCGTCGCTCGTCCTGCTGTCGGAGCGGCAGCAGCCGCTGCTGGTGCTGGCGTTGCACGTGGCGTCAGCGGCCATATTCCCGCGCCGTTCCCCAGTTGAATTAGCCAGAAGAAGGGGCAGGCAGGCAGGCTCTTCAGCGCATCGAAGGGGGGAAGGCGGGGGAGAATGCGCCAGGCTGGTAGGCGGGGGCCCACAGCCGCCGAGACGTGAAACGCGCGTCAGCTGCGCATTTGCCGCTGCAGTTGCTGCCGCGTTAAGCTGTTTTGCCAAATAAGGTGTTTAAGGAAGTCAAGCGAGGTTGTCGTTGCGCCGACGCAACCGTAAGACGGGGTCGCGCGTTCTGCTTTCGGAGGGAGCGCCTCTGGAAACGGAGTAAACGCCTCTAGCGGCGACGAGCTAGAAGGTCATATTTGAAAAGAAAGCCAAAGGTCGCTGTGCAAAGACACAGCAGGGGAAATGAAAAGTCGGGAGGAGCGGCGCAGCGGCTGCTGTGTTGCTCCTTTCCTGAGCTTCATGGCAACTCGGCGCACGAAGGCCCTTGGGGCTTGCAGGGGTGGCAGCTGTGCTGACGCGTACACTGCGTGAAACTCCGCGTCTCCCGAGTGTGCGAATCCTCATACAGCAGATTTCACACGTTGTACACCAGTTTTCTCGATTCGCGTGCCCGCTTTCCGACCGCCTCGGCTGCGCAGACGGCTGCAGTGCCAGGCATCTCGGCTGCGAAGGGGCTCGCCTGGTGTCCAGTGTCTCCCTGCGCCTCATTACGACGACTGCATAAAATCGAATTCCTTCGGAGTGCATGAGGGGAACCGAGCCAACTGCTGGTGTTGTCTGCTGCCCGCGTCGTAAGATCAGTGAGACGAGGGGGTACTGTGTTACTGCACACCTGAGGACACCATCAGAGCCGCGCTGCCTCTTGTGCAGTCGGCAATCGGCGCCTTACGCGTGCCGCAGGGGTATTCCATAGAGCTCTGTAGGAAATCCTGGAGGCTTAGGATGACAGTGACAGGTTAGAACCCCACGCTGCCTGCACACTCCCGCTGCAGCAAGACACGGGATTTTCACGTGGGGCACACGGGGTGGGTGACGGCTTGAAGCAGGGCCTTTCCGAAACGAGACTGCATTGATGATTACCAGATTAAGACCGCAATGCATCGGATGAATAGCTCAGACACAAATTAAATTCGGGTTCATCTGTCTCGCTCTGCAAAGAGGTGCTCGAAAGGCTCCTCAAGAACGCAGCACACAGCTGTCTCCGAGCGATGAGTGGCGTATTTCACGGTGTTTGAGCCTGTCCAACATAGCACTAGGTCTCTGCTCTATTAGCCGCGCAGTGTCTTTTTACCTACAAATCTAGCAGAGTGTAGACTTTCAGTGTAGGGGAGCCTCAAAGGCACACGGCATATGGCGGCACGTTGTTGGCTAGGGTAAAAAGCAGCCAGCTTCCCATCATGTCTCTGCTTTTAAATACTGGGCCTCTTTAATCGTGGAGGGGCACGGAACAGAGGGAATGAATACAGGCGAATTTCCAAACTGCCTTCAGGCAGACGGGCAGCCCAGACGGAGCATGCCCTCAGCAGAGCTTGGGGAGAGCAAGGAGATAAAGAAGACGCCAAGGAACTAAGATTTTGCCCCAAGGCACCAATGGCGGCTTCAGTCGGTAGCAAACGGTCAATTGACGATAAGCTGGCCTCGAGGTACGCAGCGGGGGGCAAACAGGAGCGTGCATCAACTCGTTTCTCTCTATTTATCACGATTCTTTGTTCGGTATGGCAGCTTTCTCCGTAAAGAGGTGTATTTATGCCTCTAGAGAGATTGTGGCTTTTGTGCTACATGAGAAAAAGGATCAAGGCAGCTCTGATATCTCTCCCTGAGAGACCACTTCTCAAGCCCCTTTCATGTCCAACAGAATTTGCTGCTGGTCCTTTCCCAATTAAAGATGAATGAACTGTTTTTTGTCCTTCATACCGATACCAAGCAGAGCTCCAATTCGTTTTCGCTGCTCTTTCCGCAATACGATGCTCGACGTCTTAAGAGCCAGGGGCTGGAAGGAAACCGACAGGCAGGACCAATACACTGATGAGCAAGTGGAAACGCCTGCGTGACTCATAGGGAAGAGCATGAAGCACTGCACTAAGGGGCAGAGAGTCATGAAATGTGAGAGGTAGGGATTGTTCAGACAGGCATTCCCGTAGCATGCTCCTATTGGTTGTGCGTGCGAGTGCAAACAGCGAAACAGAATGGGACTTCTTCTGGTGCGACAAGGATTGGATCAGTGAAACATTTGACAAATTTCGCTTCCAGCCAAATCAAAGAATAAATCATTTCCGTAATCACCACCAAGTAAGCCATTTAGTCGTGCGATGAAGCGGCAGTACGAATCTCTTTGCGTGTTTCATCACCCTTTACACCCGAAATGGCATTTGGTATTGCTTAATATCTATTACTCGAAATAAGATTTCCGAAGAAATCCTCTTAGTTACATTCTCAATGCAAGCTTAGTAGAAGCTTATTAAGGCTTTCAATTAAAATCTATTTCCTGCGCTTGTGCCCCAAAACCCCGGCATGAGGGAAAAGAGACAACCAAGGCGTGCGTAATTGCACTCTCTCAGCACTCCGAGCGTTCGTAGCTACTTGGACATAGCTTTTAGCACACACACACACACACAACACTGCGCCCGTAAAATGAACTAACACTAGTCTTACAGTGCACAAAATATTTAAAATGCCAACTGGTTAGTCTTTCTATTGATTCCTAATTGAGTATAAGTCGTGTTCTAGAAAATGCTTAGGCGTAGGTCAGTCGGCTACAAAGAGTGTCACCACTCTGCGGAGCTATCTGAAAAAATATAAACGTTTCTTTTTATTTGTTTCGAAGTTAACCCCGGAGTTTTTGGCTGGAGCAGTCGTATAGTGGAATGAAAGAACATTAGACATGTACGCTACTGTACCTCTATTGATTATCATAGCTTAGTTTTCGGCGTAGTTTTCTGCCTGTCAGTTAACCCGGAAGGATTTACTAATTCGCAATTTGCGGCGGCACAAAAGGCAGCTGGAACGAGAGTGTAAAGCACAGGAGGCAGAAAGGTAAGTCTGGTTAAGCTGGATATTGCTATGCCTGGTATAATATACTCCAAAAGCTTGATTTGAATGTTCTGGTATTCTTTTGTAGGTTTCACAATCATTATGAGTGCAGCATCATCCTAGAACGCAATCTTTGGTTTTACAACTCACCTATTTTGAATACTGCTCCTAGAACCCAACATTCGTGTGCATTAAACAAACGAAGTCTACTCCTGTTCCAGGCACTTCGGCCATTTTTGGTTGTTGTGGAGTGGCCATTGCCTCCATATCATCCTCATATGTGGAAATGCTGCTCCTTTCCGATGCGGATGTCTCCTGCTTGATCGAGTAAATTTACAGCTTCAATATATGCCCCCAGACGTTTCTGCTACCACTGGTGAGACACAACCACTATTAGTAGTGAAGTAAATGAAGCTTAGATGGCGCCCTTTTAGATAAGATCTGGTTTACATTATGACGATATCGATTCCAAGTGACCATATATTGCAGTTCCTTGCATACAGAGCTAACTCCCTTTTCAATAGATTTTTGGGGAGTTCGATACCCCTCTGAAAAGACAGACGTACTCACAGCGAGTCTGGTAGAGGGTATTTGCGTTAAGAGAAAATAAATAAATTCGCGGCTGTAAAGTATAAACAGGGATAGAGACAAGCACCTGGCGGTAGGTATGAACATACGCTGAACTTGCTTATACAACTGGGGCATCATGAACTGCCTTCCACATGTGTCTTAGGAGTACTCAATATTCGTTGAGGAATTCAAACGAAATGCAGTCCAGAAGTGCGGGTCCGTTTGGATCATGAAACCCGTAGGGAGGTCCCAGGGAAAGGGGATTTTTCTAATTGAGAGACTCTCCCAACTCGCGTAAGGCCAGCTAGCGCACTTGCGTGCATGCTTTTAGCCGCTATGGTGTGCACAAGTAGTTTCGCTACTACTGCCCAGATAGAAGAAAGCAGGCATGTAGAAACGTATGCGATTTACTTGGCCACATGTGTGCACTACCTGTCTCAACGCATGTACCATCGGCACGCATCTGAACAAGCATGTATTTTCCTGAGCTCAAATAGATTTGTGCACGGCAATGAATGCAAGTGCTTCTAATTGGCTTTTTGGTAACTTGAACACACTCGATTTGGCCCGCAGCGATTTCAAACAGACGCACAGACAGCCGGTAAAGGCACAAACGTCAAGCTGAACGACAGTGGCCTCCCTTCTCTTGACATGCAAATTCTTCTCTTCTCTGTACGATTAGGATTTGAACATAAGAATGTCACGAAGGCTGGGAGTTTCAGAATATTTTTTGTTACTTCTGCCCGTGCATTTCTGTCTGGCTCATTCTGCTTTTACCTCATGTGCCGTTTCCTGGGAACAAGGAATTCTCAATGCACATCACCGGCTGGACTATTTCTGTGGACAGACGTAGCCATCCAGGTTCATGAGGGTCCTTCTAGTTGACTAGCGTGCGGCATTGAAGGCGATACCGCCCAACGCTGAAAGCCCTCGACTAGTTCACTTATTCCTATATGAGAAGTAGTAGCTGCTGCATCGTATATTTCCCACCCCCCCACCAGTGTGTGCTAATACCAATGTAGATTTGGGTTAGTAGTAATGTCCTCCCTTCCTTTTTGTGGAATATCTGTTTCCGCTTGTTTCCTCATGCATCTCAGCTCTCCCTTTAGCCTCCTTCGTTGTCTCTTCTGTCTGCTTTACGTCTAGGGACTGGCGAGGGGATGCCCGAAGCTACCGCCCCGTTGATACGAAGAGCTCAAGTTTCCAATCCCTTAAGAATCCAGAAGAAGCTGAGCAGTCGGCAGAAGCATACGTGTGCCAAAGATACATCCAGGATCCGCTGGTGATTGGTGGTGAGAAAGCATCCTCAAGGCTGACTAGCCAATTGTAGCGGAAGCATGTAACGTTGTTTCCTGTCGTTTAGAAGTAAGTATTGTCCGTGTGAGGATAGGGGGCTATTCTAAATAATTACCAAACTGGTGGTCCTTCCGCCTCTAAGAGGCGGGATGCCTCTGCCAGTCTAGGTAAAGTGATACTCGTGTATACTTCTGCCTATCCTGGAGAGAGCATTCACTTGTAGCCGAGGTGTGCTGGTTTGAACGGTGTCGCCATAGAACAGGCGTTGGCAAGGCGCTTTCGCCTTCGTAATTGCATGCCTTCGCTCTCGCTTTACCCACAGTTTTGCCTGATTAGCCTCGTTCGGCGTGACCTAATTTCAGGAAAGAAATTCGATTTGAGACTGTTTTGCTTTGTGAAAGCTTTCGCCCCCTTGGTGAGCTTTCATCATACTTTCCTATTTTTGATACAGCATTTACGCCGCTCAGCACCTTAGCTTTCCTCTTCTTTCTTTCGCGTTTTTCAGAGTCTGACGCAGTCGTCCGCAGCACCATTGTGACAACCTAATCCTCATAATCCTCAGCCTCACCTACCCGTAAAATGGATTACACACGAGGTACACGCATTCGCAGTGTTCCCTCTGCCCACGTAATCCTTGATTCTGCTCTCAGACGGCTTATCTGTATCGCGGGGGCTTTGCCAGATTTTCAAGCGTCCACTTCAGCATGCACGAGGACCAAAGAGACAACTTAAGCAAGACCACGCGCACACTTGAACACTGGCTGACCTGCAAATAAACCCATTGCAGGGCGGAGGCATGCATAGGCTCTCTACTTCCAATTTAGTTGCTTGTGCCGCTACGGCGGGCATTTGTTACCCTGCATGCTACCTCTTGTTTTGCATATCTCAAACCGCTAGTGATACGGGAGCAGGAGCTTCCTGTACTGCCGCTCCGCATTCCGTCTCAGTCTTTCCTATTTAAAACGACGTTAAGAGTTAAGTGTGGCGCTGTTGCCAGGCGTACATCTGACCAACGTCGCAATTCAGAAGAATCTCGAGACGTATGACGAGGAGGCCGGTGGCAAGTGGCCGCTCCGCAGTCTCAAGTTGTTTCTTATGACCAAGTATGTCCTTTGCAACTGTGTTTACTACCGCGCATGTGCATCAGTGAGCCTATTTAGTTCCAAGCTCTAAAGCACTTTTCGGGAGGCACTGTGGGCACTTTCTTCTGTTAAGCTGCCAGGGCAGCTGGCGAGCGCCTACGATCGTTTATGAGGCGCTTAAAGGTTCCCTTGCACGGATACGAGCTTCGTGAACTCGCTTCTCACAACAACATTCTGCATCCTCTGAAGGAGGGCTCGTGCCTTCTGTCACGGGTGCCCGATTTTGCTGGGGGAGCCTTCTGAGTACTCATCAATGTCTGGCTGTGTTCCTGCATGTACACCTCGTTGTCTCACGATCCACGATACTTTGCAAGTAGATTACCCCCCTCGCGGTTGTCATGTGACCCCTCCGCCAAAGCCAAAGGTTTGCAGACGCAGTGCTTCCCAGGTTTGGACAAGATCGCGTGGAGCACCTCATGCGTAATATCCAGGAAATGATTCTCAAGTCTTTACTGGCGGTGCAAAAGGCAAGGACAGGCCCACATGCCCTTTTTTGTCGCCTGCTAGCGCTTTCGCCACGGCCTGCCTTCCCTCTCCTTGCCGCAAACATTTTTCTGACAACACAAACCAGCATTGGGTTTGGCGAAAGCTGTCTCAGGACGTGCTCTCAGCTCTCACTCTCGCCTTCCCTCTGTGGCTGGCTGCCTGTTTCGTTTAATCTCTTTCTCCTCCGTTTTTCTGCTGCCCTTCCGCGCGCCTCCTCAAGGAGGCACAATTTCAAAGAACACGATTGGCTGGTGGCTAGGGCTTCTGTACTCTTCGAGCTTGGCACGACTGGGATGTGTTGGCGGTTGGAGGCCGCTACCTTTTCCTTCAGATATCAGACAAATTGCGCGTGCGTCTCTGCCCACGTGTGATTTGCGTGCGACTGGACAGACAATCCTTCATGACAAGCATTGCTGCGAGCTGTATGGCTATGACGTCATAGTCGACTCCAGCTTGAAGTAAAGGCCGCCCTCATTTCCTGACTTTTGCCTTGCCTGCAGCATTCATCTGCAAGCCTCGTTGCACCCTTTCCCCTTCTGTTGCTGCCCAAGAGTTAAAGCGAAATATACCGCACTTAGGAGTAGGTAAGGGTGCTGTTGGTGCTGCTGCATACAGGCCCTGGCTCTTGGAGGTGAATGCCTCTCCTTCGCTTACAGGTCAGCACGGACGCGCTGGGTAAAACTTGGCAGCTGCAAGGGCAGCTGCCAGGCACCAGAAGAAAAAGGCTTGGAGCTCATTGTGCTCGTATGAGCACTGAATCCCTCTTTTTTGCCCCCCTCTCTGGCAGATTCCGCGTCCATTGCTGCCACTCTCCTTGCTGCTGTGGCAGCTCCTGGGAAGCCATACGCACCCTTCCGTGTGCTGTTCTCAGCTACAACAGAGGAAGACTACCGCTTCAAGTTTGCCATGCTAGACGATCTGCTATCGATCGTCGACATGGAAAATGTGTAAGTAGAACCGAATGACTACAGAGAAAAGCATGCCCGCATGCATGCAAAAAAGTTCCTTCTTTGCTCTCCTTAAAAATGCGCGCATACTCCTGCAAGTGGCGATTGTCTTTTCCAATCAGACCCTACGTGTGTGTGTATGCATTTCTTGAGGCCTCCCTGTGTGCTCGTGTCCTCTGCATTTTGCTCCTTCATCAACTTGCACTCTTTAGTCGCGCTCAGAGATTCCGCCGTTTAGCTGGTTTCCGTCCCCTTTCGCTTTTGTCTAGCTGCTCCTCCGTGCCCTGTGGGAGCCAGCACTACTCCTCCGCTCCCGTCCTGTGACGTGGAAAGCATCTGCAGGAGATGGCTACTCGTGCAGTGTCTGCTTCTCGCGCGTTCTGGCTCTCTAGTGCAGCCTTCTTCGTCAGCTCGGATTGCTTGACATGCCTGTTGTGCGCCTCGATCGCAGCCGAACTGGGGAAGAGCGAAGCATTGGTGGCTTTGATTTAGTTTACAAAGGTACACTGCTACGGCGAGCAAGTTTACTACCGGGGGGATTTTGCAGGCTAGGTGCTTACGGAGAGGTCCCCGTGAATTGTGAAAGAAGCTAAGACAAGGTGCATACTCCCGTGGGGAAATGAGGTGTATCCTGAGATGCAATTTGTGTCTGTCTGGCTTTCAGGGGGCCCCGTAGAAGTGCTGCCAAAGGAATCGACAGTCAAATGCCTTTTGGGTACGCAGCAGTGGTGGCGCTGCTGGTAGACGCACGCGCGTGACTCTTGTTTTTCTTGAGAGACTTTGTATTTAAGCTGTCCACTGCTGTTGCTGCATAGTCGAAACGATTCCGAAGCACACTACGTTACAGTTCTTGTGAGGAGCAACGTGCGCGCCTCGGTAGAGTCTTAGCTCATACGTTTGTCCCCGAGCAAGGCAAATGCTGTGCTGTCTTGCAAAAGGGTGAAGTAAACAGAAACCGCAGGTCTGCAGAGCTGGGCTTTCCCATGCCTCCTACAAGCACGCGAACCTTTTTTTTGCATCATCCCACAAAGGTGCTGCCTCTTTCTCTCCTGCCCTCTAATAGTTGCTTTCAAACGCATCAGTCCGTTGGCTGTGCCTGCCTCAGGAACAGATATTCCCCCCCAGTCACGCCGCCGCTAGCTGGGTAGCGCCGCTTTTCGTGAGATAAGAGTGCTTCTTCCCGGAGCATCAGTCCTGACTGCAGAATAGGAGAGGCCTTTGGGAAGCAGCTCAGCAGCGAGTGGCAGCGTTGTCAGGAAATATGCGACGCCTTCCTTCCCTGCTGCCACCACAGCAACAGCGGCAACAGAACCTGCGCTTGGAAGAGCCGAAGGCAGGGGTCGACGCGCTCGCTGTGCAGCACCGCTGCCACTCGCTTAGCTGCCTCTCCTAATCTGCAGTCCTTCCTGTGCTTGCGGCTGCTCCGGGGATTTTGCAGCGAAAACGAAAAGCGCCGATCAGGCGTTAAGCACGGCTGCGTCCTTTATCAAGCTGCCCCTGGGCAGAATTTGCATAAAGGGCCAAAAGTGCGCGGCGCGTGCTTTTCCTGCAGGTGACGGTTTCTTTTGGACTGAGCTGCTGTTTTTATCGCGAAATCAGAGCATGGGCAAGGCATGCAGAAAAATGGGCTTATAGGGCAGTGCGTGGTAAAAGCATGCACCTCAAGAGGGGCCTTGCTAGATTCCTGTGAGCCTCAACGTAGCAGCCGTCCGGTGTCTGTCGACGCATGCGCGAAGGCATGGTGGACACACGTTCTGTCTTCTCCTGCTTTGCCTTGACGTGCGTTGAATGGAGGGCTGCTCCCGTGCGGGGGGGTGCGGAGGAAGGCGATACTAAGGCCTCTATAAGACATGAAACGCTGACTGGCAGGCTGCCAGTCAGCGTTTCATGTTGAAAATGCATGAACACTGCATGCTGTTGCCGCTTTAATGCCCCCAACGGCCAGAAGGGGACTCCGCGAACGTGGGATTTCCCGCGCATTCTCCACGTCTGCATGTTCGCTCCCCTAAAGAGAGGCTTTTCGTCCGCGGGAAAAGAGACATTTTTGTACAGCAAGCGACGAACGGGATGGGGCTTGTGGGAAAAGACAGGCCTGCTTTGTCCTACCTAACTTGTCTGTTCAATATTTCGCTGGAGCTTGCTCTTAATCGCCACGCTACGCCTTCCCCTGTTTGTGCGCCTTTCCCAAGCTCTACACCTGGCAGCTGCTGTGCGACCCCCGTTGAGCGCGGCTAGAGGCGCCTGAGGGCTAATAAAGAGTGGCTACGCCTAAAAGTAGAGTAATATTGCAAAAGGAAGGGGAAGGGAGCACCAGTAGACTGAGGGAAACACCGTAAGGGGAGGGGCCTTGGTGAAGGAATAACAAGGCGTCATCCTACTTCCGCCGCTTGTACGTGAGCATCCAAACCTCATTTTAAAGTGCTGAAAGGGTATGAATGTAGGTATTGCATTGTGGAGAGTGGTGCATTCTTCGGCCGCACAAAACACCAATACACCCATACACAGATACACCAATACATACATGCACATCCACAAGTTCTCTGCACATGTGTATGGATTTTTGGGGGTATTTTTATTCGAGAACTCGGATGTTCCTCCGCAGTTCCAGTAACCAGCCAACTCTATCTTAACCGCCTCCCTCCCCCTCCCCCTGCCATTCCCCCTCCTCCGCCTGCTCCCCGTCCAGTCTCACGTTAACGCAAGCGCTGCTGCATGCAAGCGCTGCTGCATGCAAGCGTCGTTCTGCTGCCGAACTCCCCCGCCCCTCAAGTGTAGCTGCCTCTCTCAGAGGCCTTTAGGGGCCCCTGTGGCATCCTTACTGAACGTTGCCATCACAGCATCCGCATGGCTCGCCAGTGCCCCTTCTCCTTGATTTGCCGTCTGAGCTCCCGCCTCACCTGCTCCTCTCCGCCGCGCCTCCCCGCGCTGCCTCGAGATGGCAGCTGGAGGAGGCCTCTGCGGCACCAGCAGCGACATCGGAGTCGCCGTCTCCTGCCAACTCCGTCTCTGCAGAAACCACCAAAGGAGACTGCGCAACACCCCCAGGCGCAGAGGGGGCCGCTGCCAAGGCGTGTCTCTCTTCCACTGCCTCCCCTTCTGCTGACGCGGAGGTTGCTCTCGAGCAAGAGGAGGGGCCCCCTCCTTGTGCCACGGCAGCTTCTGCAGCCGTCGCTGCCACTTCCGTGGCATCCACAGGCAACGGCAGACTCGCCAGTTCTTCAGGCAGAGGCTGCGGAGGCGGCACTTGACTGCCAAACTGCCCCCTTAGGCTGGGTAAGGGCCCACGCGGCTCTTCAGGCTCCAGAGCGGCAAGTCGCGCTGCTTCTGCTTCGACTGCCAGTTCCAGCTGCTGCTGCTGCTGCTGCTGCTGCTGCTGCTGGAGCAGCTGCTCCTTTAGCGCGGCGACGCGACGGGCTGCATGCTGCTGCACGAGCTGCTGCATCTCCTCAACGCCGCGGATGTACGTGAGCGGCCCGCGGGACGGTGGCTGGACAGCGCAGCATAAAGCGCGTAACACACATGCAAAAAATTGCAAAAAATAGCACGCCCATGCAAGTAATAGCACAAAATTCAAAAAACAGCAAACCCACGCAACCACTGCAAAGGCGCAGCACAAAATTGCAAAAAAAGAGCATGCACACACGGGGCCCCCGTGAGCGCACTCTTAGACCAACGCGGCATAGCGGAAAGCAACGGGGAAAGCACGACAGCGAAGCGAGGATGGCTGGTACTACTACTGCTGCTACTACTACTACTACTGCTGCTACTACTACTACTGCTGCTGCTACTACTACTACCACCATTACTACTACTACGGAAGAGGAGAGGCGATAAAATCACGCAAACACCGAAGGCAGCCTTTCTCTCTCTCTAGCCGCGCGGTGCGAAGTGCAGGCAGCCACGAGAGGACGCCAAAGCAGACTAAACGCTGAGCTGCGTGGAAAGCGAGGAAAGCCTGGTTCTTTCGCCGAGGAGGAGGGGGATTTCGGTGGGAGACGGGAGGACGATCATCATCTGCACACCACAAGAACGACGCTAAAAAGCTGCAGGAAGGGCTTACGGGGTCCTTGCGAGAAGCGAGCGCCTCCGTGTGGCGCGTTAAGGTTTCTCTGAAATCCGTTTCGTCCAGATGAAGCGCTAGGTGTATGGGGTTTCGCGCTAGTTGGTGGAAGACAGGCAGCAATTCTACACAGTTGCTGAAAAGCGACCAACGCCCAAAGATGTACAGGCCTACACAGACAGCAAGCGGCGCACAAGGACAAACAGCGATAAGAGCGAGATCGATATCGATCTAAGCTACCCATAAACCAGCACGCAACACACGCATGAACAAGCCGAAGAAGAGAAGAGATCATCGGAGACAGACAGAAGACTGCACTGCAGCCAAAGCACGGAGCTCTCTCTATCTCTAGAAGCTCTACGCGCACTGACAGCGGCTAAAGGGCTTTACACGAAAGAAAGCAGGCAGCTGCAGAGGCAACGGAAAAAGAAAAACGGCATCTTCGATATATTGGTGCATGTATGTATGTATATATCATGTGTGTGCGAGGAAGAACGCGATAGAGTTATCTGCAGCAGCAGCGGGGGGAAGGCGGTGGGGGTGTGTGTATGTGTGTGAGAGGACGTGAGAGGGCCTGTTAAGCCTTCTAGAATGAGACGCGCATAGCTGAGTTGGTGCAAGTAGAGCTGTTTTCGCGTAGGCGTAGGAAGAACGACTCAGGCTGGGGAACTGTCCGAAGGCGATCCCCACGGCAGCTGCACAAGAGGGAGGGAGCAGCACCGCATTGCGGCAGCAGGAGCAGCTTTTTCCCGCTCTTTGTTTCTCACCAAGCCTCGCGCGGCTGACGGCAACGATGAGCCTCCGAATGTCTCTCAAATGACCAACGCGATTTGTACGAACAAGAGACAAGAGGACGTCTGCGCAGGCAGGAGGCGCACCGCAAGAGACACCAGCGAGACATAGGAAAGGTCAGCGCATGCAGAGACAAAGCGAGAGGCAGAAGTAGTGCATGCGAAGGACGCCACTCTGCACTGTGGTGGTTTCAAGAGGGAAAAGCATGCGACTGCATATGCGACGCGGACGGACGGCTAGGCACATGCAGCTGTGAACAGCGTGGCGAAGGGAAGACGCTGATCAGAGTCGCGAGGCTTGCAGCGACAGTCTGTGAAGGTCAGAGGCAGGGTGGTGATGGTAGAGAAAGAAAAGAGGGAGAAACGAGGCCTAATTCTTTTTGGGAATTTTTCGGGAAGCGATGCGCGCAGCGCAGGCAACGGTTGGTGGTGTTGTATTGTCTCTTTTTCTTCTTCTTACAGTCGCTTTGCAAACCTTGATACTTGTCTACAGTGGCAACAGCTCTGGGCATGCCGATAGCAGGATTCCACGCGCATTTCTGTTGCAGGACGTCTTGCAAGAGCGCGAGTTGCCCGTTGTAAGTAGTCAAGATGGCGATGCGCTCGCGGGGGTAGCCGAGAAGCCGCATGTGCATGTACACTGCAACGATGTACTCCGCCTCCCCCAAGTTTTGGTAAAAGTGAGGTAAAGGACAGCTCTCCCCCCGCCCCTTATAGTCCGACACATCCACAAACTGCGCTACACAGCCTAATCCTGGATTGGGAGCTGCAAAAAGAGGAGCTTGTTCTACGAGCGGCAGATTCTCCAGACGCGCATACCGCCAGCTATAAAGAGAACCCAAAGAAGGTCTTGCTCGTCCTTGACGATCCAACATTATGCAAGGCACCCCCAGCCGCACAAAACGCTCATACAACGACTGATCCAAATGCGAAAACTGCTGCAACGTCTGCGCGCAGTTACGCGCATCCAAACGCACATACACATGCAGAGAGAGAGATGTATGTATGTACATGCATATACATGTATATACATACATAGAGGGATGCACAGCGGGAGCACACACTTTCATACATACATACATCAATAAACAACCACGTACAAACTCACATACATACGCATACACATACACACATTCATACATACACATACATACACATACACATACATACACATACACACATTCATACATACACATACATACACATACATACACATACATACATGCGCATACACATACATACACATACACATACATACACATACACAAACACATGGGTATGCACAAAGAAAAGACATCCTTCCTACTTTTATACACGACAGCCACTTATTTTTCTCTGTCTCTCCCCCGCTTCTCTCCTGCTCCCTTTGCAGCTGCCAAACTCGCAATTTCTAGAGGCGCAGCTAGCGTGGTCTCCTCTCTGTGGCAGCTCCTACGGCAGATGGTGGCTGTTCAAAGCAGGAGGTGTCTCCAAAAATCCCTTAGAAGTGAACCGCAACGGCAGATCTGCAAGGCAAGGAGGCTCACCATGTGTTTAACAATGGGGGGCAACTGGTGGTTATCTCCGATCAGAATGATGCGCTTCAGGCGAGACGTCTTCTCCCTGGCTTTCTGCAGAAGCATGGGAATAAATGTCTCGACCTCAAGGATTTGAGCCGCTTCCTCCACCAGGAGCGAGTCAAAAGTGAACCCCAAATCCACCAAGCGATCCCGTGTAATGGCGGCATGCGTGCATGTCATGGCTACCATGCGCGCATGCGTCCTGCGCAGCAATTGGAGAGACAGAAACAGAGAAGATGCAGCGGCATTCAGCGGTAGCCATATGTAGATATAGAGAGAACGACACAGGTGTATATATATATATATACACAGTGATACATAATACATGCATATATAGAGTGGTATATGCACATATGTATATAGCGTGATATGTATACATATGTATATAGCGGCATGTAGTATACGTAGAGCAGCGGTATATGTACATACATGTACGCGATGCACCGAGAGAGAGAGACAGGAGTAGAGGCTATGATTCGAGGAGATTCTGTTCGCTTGTTTGCGACTCAGAGGGAGGCATGCAGCGCCTGAGAAGGCTGTCAGCGGCATAAGTTTTCCTCCGCTGCGCGCTTACGTCAGTAGAAAGTCTGCTCTGTCCCCCGCCGTGCGAAGGAGTTCAAAAGCCCTATAGTCTTGCAGCTCGTGCTGCATTTGTTCTAAGTAGCGAATGCAGCTTGAAGCAACTGCAGCATCTGCCTCTGCTCCTCCTGGGAAAAGCGGCTGAGGGGCATCCGCAAAGAAGGCTGTGAACGGAAACAGCAGCTCTTCGAGGCTTCGGCTGTACTTGAAATGCGCGGTCTGCAGCAAACGCGAAAATTGCAGCAGCAGCAGCAGCAGCAGACTTTGAAGCCGACTGGAGAGGGTGCAGCAGTCGATGCAGCTCCTGGAAATCGCTGCATTGTTGCTTGCCGCTTCGCCATTATTCTGCCTCTCTGTGACGTGAGGAGTTCGCACAAGTCTTTGCAGCGTGCAGGGGGGATAGACAGACGATATCAAGCATATGGAGGTGTTATGCAGCAAGCAAGAAGACGGCGTTCAAGAACTCTCTACAGGTTTACAAGGGAGGGATCCCTCGTCAAAAGAAAAACTTACTGCCGCGTCTACAGTAAAGTGAGATTCTTCGGCTGTAAGGTGCTCCTGTTGACTCTGCTGCCCGGCTTCTTCTTCTTCTTCGTCTTCTTCTTCTTCTTCTTCTTCTTCTTCTTCTTCTTCTTCTTCTTCTTCTTGCGGCTGCTGCTGCGGATCAGATGCCGCAGCTTCCTGCCTGCGTTTTTTCCCGCTAGCTTTTGATGGCGGATCGCTTGCTGGCCGTTTCTTTGCAGCTAGCTCGTGCTGATGCTGCGTGGTGTCACTGTTGTTTTCGGAGGCTGTGCGTCTCAGGCTGACGGGCAGCATGACGAAGATTCGACTCCCCCTCTCTTGCTCGTACCTCTCGATTGCCGCTTCCACCTTTCTGCGAAATTCTTCGTCCTCCTCCCCTTCAGGCAACTGCTGCTGCTGCTGCTTGAGATTGCGGATGGTGTTCAGCGCGGCAAAGTATCGCTCAGTTCTGAACTGGATGTGGTATTTAAAGAACTGCAGAGCCGCTTCGCAGCTGGAGCTGACGTCCCCAACCGACACACAAGTCGCCGCTGCAGCTGCGGCTGCCCCCTTGGCAGTTGCTGCTGCAGCTGCAGCAGCAGCTGCTGCTGCAAGCTCCTTCTCGACGCACTCCCCTAGACGGCCAACTCGCTGCAGCAGCTGCTTCCTCCGCTCAAGCACTTTGTTTACGCGTCCATGTTTCGAGAAGGAGAAGTCTTCCACATCGTCACACCCCTCAAGAGGGAGCAAAAGGTCCTCCCGCTGCTGCTGCTGCTGCTGCTGCTGCCAGACTTCCTGCTGCTGCTGCAGGTCCAACGACCCTCTCCCCAGCCTCAGCAGGCGTGTTTCGTCGACGTCAAGGGCAGCTACCTTTCGGAAAAGGTCGTTCAAAGCCGCATTCGAATGCGCAACAAGCAGCGTCTTCTCGTTAGGATTTGCGTGATACAGCAGATATGCCAACTGAGCCGCCGTATCCGTCTTGCCGCTGCCAGGGGGTCCTAACACGACAGTCAAGCCTGGCTGCAAGCCTGATATCAGAGCGCGCACTTGCGTTGGCGTAAACCTAGAGAAAAAGAAATACCACACAATTGAGCGCAAGAGCACCTCTGGCTGATTCGAACCCGCAGGACCCCTCGTAACAACCCACCAAAAAGTAGAAAAAAAATGCGCAACAAGCCACCCCCATATGCATGTTCGCACACGCATTTATACATACACACATATATGTATGTATGGATGTATTCATCCACTGTACATATGGATGTATACATCCACTGTATGTATGGATGTAGGTATGTATACATCCACTGTACGCATACGTATGTATACATCCACTGTACGCATATGTATGTATACATCCACTGTGCATGTATGCATGTATGGATGTAAACCGCGTGCGGTTCTGGCATCGGTTCGACTCTGACTGTTGTTTCCAGCAATTTCGTGCCACCACGCACGCAAGGTTGCACGTGTTTAAAAGGTGGATTTTTGAATGAAAAGCACCTGATACGATTGCGCTTCCGTTCGCATTCGGGATATGGACCATAGCTGGGAAGCGTGTAGCTTTCGAAGCGGATTCGTTCCCTTGTTGCGTCTAGCGCATCAACCTCCCCCAAGGCATCGAAGCCCTCTGCTGCTTTCTCCGCCTCCTGCTGCTTTGGTCGCGTGAAGTGCAGCCTGTGGTATCCCTGTTGCTGAGAGCGCTGCGAAGCAGCGGCTGTCTCTTCGTGCGGAAGCTCGAGGCTCTCAGCTAGCGGGAAGGCCTCCTTCATGTGCGCTACATCCAGAAACGTGTCTCTGAGATCCAGAGAGGGCAGACGGCTCGCCATCCGGGTGTACGTACAGCCCTTGGGGTCGCCGTAGCCTAAGAAGAGATCGTGCACCCAAGGAGGAACCACAACGTCTTCAGGGTTGTTCATCAAGCTTTTAATTGTGGCGAGGACGGCCTTGAAATTATTCTGCCGAGCACTTCGACGCAACAACACATTCATCTGCGCGTGAAAGTCGACAATCCCGCCTTCCTTCAACTGCTGCAAATCTCGGCTGTATGCACAGCTGTCCAGCAGCACGCGCAACGTCCGCAGAGTGCCAACCGGCTTGTGCGCTGCAACACAGTGTCGTACACACACACATACAAACACAAATAATACACGTATACACAAACAATACACACAGAAACACACACTAATAATGCACATACACACAAATCGTACACATATACACAAACACAGACACAAATAATACACATATACACAAATAATACACATAGAAATACACACAAATACAGACACACATACAAATACACAGACACAAATAATACACAGAAATACACACATATACATGCAAATACACACACGAATAATACACACACATACATACACAAATACACAGACACAAATAATACACACATAAACACACACACACACAAATACAGACACGAATACACACACCACAATCATCCACATACACACACACGTATAAATCACTAACCACAAGCGCAACGAGCCACATCGCAGCAAGGCACCCGCATCCGAAGCACAGCAACACAGACAGACAGACAGACAGACTGATACACAGCAAACACACACGCCCCCTCTCCGAGAGACGGTAGGCTGGCTGCCTGGATATCGCCATTTATAATACGAAAGGCCCAATAAGTAGCCATGTGCGGATGGATCTAGTGAATATATATATATATATATACATACCTATATATATGTATAAATACAGCTAGAGAGAAAGCAGGAACCGCATGCATTAATCGATACACATATACGTATGTGCTACGTATCAACACACATACATGCGCATACATGTAAACATGGCGACATAAAGAAACAGACGTTTAAATATATATAGAGGTAATGTAGATATATATAAATATATATATATATATATCAGCACAATTGCAGAAAAGGGCCTCAGACGCGCTCCTTGCGGAAAGGCCATTTTTGTGAAGATCCTTCTGAAGGCGCAATGCTGCTGCTGCTACCATTGCTGCTGCTTTAGAAAGGCACGAAAAGAGAGGGAAGCCAAGAGAAGAGGGGGAAAGAAGAGGTGGCGTGCAACCCTCTTAGAAGCCTCCGTATTCGTAAGAACCCCAAGGCAGCTGTTTGTGCGTCTTACGCTTAATTGGGCTTGGTTCAGAAATGCAAACACCTTCTTGATCGAGCAATTCCATGACTTCTGCTCCCCGCACTGCCAAAATACCAAACCCAGCGCGCACGTGGGAAGGAGGAAGGCCTTCTGGATTAGTCGTGAGAGGCTTCAGAGGCGCAGCGATTGCCAAGCAGAAAACAACATCGTGTTCTCTCAAACAGTCCCACTCCCTCCGCACTTGCTGAGGGCATCCTGCAATATCAAACACCAGCTCTGCCTGTACCTCGGACGGAAACTGCTCGCCAACCTGCATGCAAACACCCCACACCCCCACAGTAACGCAAAAAAAATTCACGCCTCACTGCATGCGCCACCAACCGACAGGCCACACAGGGCACATAGACAGATACAGACAGATACAGACAGAGACAGACAGACAGATACAGACAGATACAGACAGACAGATACAGACAGACAGATACAGACAGATACAGACAGACAGATACAGACAGACAGACAGACAGATACAGACAGACAGATACAGACAGATACAGACAGACAGATAAAGACAGACAGACAGATACAGACAGACAGAGACAGACAGACAGATACAGACAGACAGATACAGACAGATACAGACAGACAGATACAGACAGACAGACAGACAGATACGGACAGACAGATACAGACAGACAGATACAGACAGATACAGACACATACAGACAGACACCCTTCACAAAAATCCCCATCCTCCGCCTTCCTTTCCTTCCTTCCCCTCCTAAAAAGCCTCAGAGACTCTTTGAGAGACACCCCGCACGGCCCTCCTCCGCCTACTATGCGCATTTGACTTGCGTGATGAGAAGCAGGAAAAGAGAGTCGAGCAAAAGGCACTCCCGCGGCAACAGAAGCACACGCAAACAGCCAGAAAAAAATGTTTATTTACCCTTGGAGGAAGGACTGCAACTACGGTAAACCTTTCGAGCTTCAACGCCATTCTACAAGACCCCTCAAACACAGTATCGCCTCCCAAGTAATCTGCAGCATCCGCAAGCTGCAAGAGATCTTCTTGCTGCTGCTGCTGCTGCCCTGGCATAGATGCTGATGGATAAGCGGCCGCAACAGCGCTAGCAGCTAGTCGGCGACGTGGCTTTAAACGCCACAAAGCATCCTCAATCTCCTCCTTGATTTCATACAGCGACTCCAGCCTAAAAGAACAGAACGAAGCACACGCAGAAAGCAGGTTCATACACCATACATACTTGTACATATACACACATGGCATACAAATACATACGTACACCTCTATGACATCCATACACCTATGCACAGCAGACACCTACATGGACGTAGACATGAATATCTATAGACATATATGTGCATAAACGTATACGTATATGATCCTAGACGAATACACATACATGCATATACAGATATAATTAGGCAGAAATACATGCACAAACACGAGCATGCGCAGATACGTACTCCGAGTTTAAGCACACACCTAACCACATTCACATATGCATATAGAAATACATTTGTGCAGAAAAATTCCTATTTATGCATAGGCATGCGTACAAAAGATGCACATGTACATAGATGTACATATATCATGACAAGCGAAGACCTTGTTTTCTGTACCGCGAAACATGTCTGTCCACCTCGTTGTTACAGGTACACATGGAGGAAGTAATATGTAGACACTACGCACACGGGCGTAAGCCTACAAAATACAGATTCCCTAATTTGTGAAAAAAGGGGGGTTGTGCCTAAGCGTTCGCATGGTAGTGTGGCAGCGTGGGGGAGGCAAATGCGGCGGGTGATCGGACTAAACTAGGCCTTAAGAACCAATATGTGTATATACACACACATACACATACATACACATACACACACATACACACATACATATACATTCACACATACATACACACAGACATACACATACACACAGACGCATTCACACAGACACATACACATACACACATACACATACATACACACATACACATACACACAGACACATACACATACACACAGACACATACACATACATATATGTATATAATTGTCACCTGAAGAGCTTGAAATTTCTCAGCAGATAGTCGTGGACGGTGAGAAATTGGAGGTTGAGTTTGGGAAGCGCTCGTGCCTGCTGCAGTTGACGCGAGTGGTGCAGCTGCTGCTGCGGAAGGAGAACTTCATCCCAGAGCTCGAGCTCATCTGGGTAGAGAGGCTGACTGTTGATTTGTTGCAGTTGATCTTTCTGCCGCTGCAGCGCTCTCACTAGAACGGCTACCAAGTGCTGTCGAACCCACGACTTGCTGCGTTTGCGACTGTCGCATGCAGCAGCCGCTAGCTGCTGCGCTCCTGCTGCTGCTGCTGCCGCTGCTGCTGCTGCTGCGACGGCTTGCGGCTCCGGCACGCCCGGCAGCTGCAGGGGATCCAGCAGCTGCAAGTGGACGCACAGATCGAGCAGTGTCAAGAGCTCCTGCTGCTGCAGGAGCTCCTGTAGTCGCTTCCAGTCATCAATTGATGATATAGGCTCGAGGGCAGCGTCTGCCAGCGCTGCGCACGCCAACGGAGCTTTCGAGCCATCTGCTGCTCCGCTATGACCACTACGACCATTACCACTACAGTTCTCCCCCCCCAGTTCAAAGCAGCGCCGCTGGAAAGCCTCAACGCGATCATAATGCCGAGCTGTACATGCAGCTGCGCTCAGCGGCCGCCCTAAACGCAAAACACGCAGACAACGAAGACACGCGGCTTCAAAAAACAAGCACGCCAAGCCATACGGAAAAAGCAGACAGCATATGGCAGACATAAAGCAAGCAGACAGAAAGCAGACAGCAAGCAGAGAAAAAGCAGACAGCAAGCAGAGAAAAAGCAGAGAAAAAGCAAGCAGCCAGAAAGCAGATAGCAAGCAGAGAAAAAGCAAGCAGACAGAAAGCAGACAGACAGCAAGCAGAGAAAATGCAAGCAGAGAAAAAGCAAGCAGAGAAAAAGCAGACAGCAGGCAGAGAAAAAGCAGACAGCAAGCAGGCAGAGAAAAAGCAGGCAGCAAGCAGCCAGAAAGCAGAAAGCAAGCAGCCAGAAAGCAAGCAGCCAGAAAGCAGATAGGAAGCAGAGAAAAAGCGGACAGAAACCAGCCAGAAAGCAAGCAGATAGCAGACAGACAGAAAGATCGCGAGCAGAGCTCGGAAAGCCCCAAAGAAGGGGCCTAAGAAAAAGCAGCAGAAAGGAGGCAGCACGCCTCCCTCCTTTGAATTTTCTGCGTCAGTGCAGCAGTGGAGGGGTGTGGCTTTGTTCTCATCGAGACAAGCAGCCGTTCGCAAGAGCCTCAGGAGCAAGACACACCAGTATCATCGTCGATTTCGAACCGCTCGTAGAAGAAGAGCTGCTGCAGCAGCTGCCGTAAGACACCAGCCTCACTGCATGCAGCCGCAGCGCTGCGCTCGGCTCGAACGGAGAGCTGCTGCTGCTGCAGCAGCGGCAGCAGACACCGCCGTGTGGGTAGCTGCGTCAGCAAATCCACGAAAAACTCCAGCATGCGCTCAAGCAGCAGCACCAGGGGAAGGGGGACTGCGTCTTGACTGAAGGATCCCGCTACGTCCTCTGCACACCCCACGCATGCATGCACGAAAACACAGACACTCAACAAATCAACACGCATGCACATGCAGAGCCAGGGTACCCCTGCTGCAGTGTCTGCTATCCTGCTCTAAAGCCGCTTCTCCAACTCGGCTGCAAAGAGTGCACTGACGGAGAATCGCGACCTCAAAGAGAGAGAAAGAGAGAGAGACACACGCACGGAGCAGCAGCATCTGCTGCTGCTGCTGCTGTTGCTGTTGCTGCTCTCTCTCTGTGTGTCTGTCTCTCTCTCGTTTCTCTCTATCTCTGTCTCTATCTATCTCTATCTCTGTCTCTATCTATCTCTATCTCTGTCTCTCTCTCTCTCTCTATCTGTATCTCTCGCTCTCTCTATCTCTGTCTCTCTCTCTATCTACCTCTATCTCTCGCTCTCTCTATCTCTGTCTCTCTCTCTATCTACCTCTATCTCTCGCTCTCTCTATCTCTGTCTCTCTCTCGTTTCTCTCTATCTCTGTCTATCTATCAATCTATCTTTCCGTCTAGGGGCCTTACCTGAAAGGACTACGAATTTCCGCATAAGCACAAACATGAAATCTCTGTCCAAGAGTATTTGTTGCAAATGCTCTCTGTCGCGTGGCGACTTTGTGCTTCCGCCTGCTGCTGCCTCGGCTCGTCCTTCTGTGCTGTCTGCTGCTCTACCTCCTCTTCCTTCTTCTGCTGCTGCTGTCTCCGCTGCTGCTTGCTGCAAAGGCGTCAAGCGTTTCTGAGCTCGCTTCCACAGGAGGGCAGCAGCGGCGCTGCTATCGAGCAGCTGCTGAAGCGCAGACTGCGGCAGTCGCGCGAAGCAGCAAGGACCGCATACCGACAGACAAAGGCGTCGCAGAACTGGATGCTCCAAGCCGTAGAAAGCTGAGATGAAGAAGGAAACCAGGAGGCGTTGTTCGTCGTGTGTCAAATAGATGACGCAAGAACCAAGGGAAAGCTGCGTCTTCGTTGTACTGCTGTACGCTTGACCATCCTCGCGGCTGGAAAGCGCGCTCGCAAGGTTGCTCCCACGGCTGTTGCTGCCGTTCTGCTCAGCATCACTCTTCCCTTCTTCTTTCTCTTGCTCCTGCTGCTGCTCTTCTTCTTCCACTGGTGCTGTCTGTCCCTTCTGCTGCGCCTTTGCCGGAGGGGGTAGCTGTGCAGTGGCGAGGAGCATCGCGAGACGGTAGAAAAATGCCTTCAGTTTGGCTGCAAAGAAGTCGGCGGGTAGATCGCTCGCGGCTTCTTTCTTCTCCGACTCCTTTTCTGCCAAGTCTCGCTGCTGCTGCTGCTGCTGCTGCTGCTGCTGCTCCTCCCTCTCCTCCTTCTGTGGAGCGCCGCCTACAGCCACGACGGCAGGCCCTGCTATTTGCCTCAACGCGCGTAGCTGCCGAGGCTGACGGTACAGAGGCAGCAGCATCTCCCCCCCCCTAGCTCCCGAGCCAAGCAACAAGGCGCAGATGCTCAGGAGATGTGCTGGCTGAGTTGTACCGGAGGCTTCTTGCCCCTTCGCTGTCGCAGCAGGAGGCGTGCTGCAGAAAGAAGGCCATAAAAACGCTTCCAAGTAATGCGTGTGCTCAAGAGCTTGCAGAGCAGAGCCGCCAAACCCACTCCGACGGAGGTGTCCATACACCTCGGCTACTAAGGCCGCTACTCCCTTTTCTCCGCCAGCTTGCGCTAAATCTGCTTGCGAGTGGCTTGCTGACGCGCAGTGAGCCTCCCAGGAAGCCTTAGCTGCCTCAGCAGCAGCTGCAGCTGCTCTCGCTGAGGCAGCTCGCTTCTCGGCAGCTTCTAAGGCTCGCTGCTGCTGCTGCCTCGTGAGCTCCTTTTGCTGCTGGGGGTCGGAGGCTTCCCGGGGAAGTTTCTGATCCAGAGCTTTCTTGAGCGCTCTGACGCGACCTTCAGCGACAGCTGCAGCCTTCTGCTTCTCTGCAGCTGCGGCTGCGAAGTAAGCCCCCGCGTCTGCATGCAGCGGCTCCTCCCGTTGCAGCCATGTTTTTCGACCTAGTTGTACTAGCCTGTGACTTTGCAGCTCGGAGAAGGTGAGGGTGGCCTTCGTGCTGCTGCTGCTCCGAGAGGAATCGATCGCACGAGGCATGCCTCCTCCCCGAGAAGGATCCTGACGCTGACGAGGCTGATGCTGCTGGTGAGGCTCATGATGAGGCTGATGATGCTGCTGCTGCTGAGGCTGCTGGTGATGCTGATGATGAGGCTGATGCTGATGATGAGCCCTCCCGCTGCTGCTGCTCTCGAACGAAGGCACAAAGGCTGTTTGGCTCGCCATGGCGCCACCACGCGAAGAGGGTCCCTGACGAGGAAGCAGGCGATGCACGCTGGCAGCCGCTTTCTGAAGAGATCTGATGCTGCAGCGTGACGGGGGGGAAGGGGAGACGGAGGGAGAGAGGGAGGGGGGAGGCTGCAAAAGGAGAGGAAGAGGCGAGCGACAGTGAACCACGAGATCCCCCTATAGAAAGCGGGGGGACGAAGAACTCGGCCGCAATGAGACTTTACATGCAAACAAAGCAGCAGCTGCTGCAGCCTCGTCGTGCAGCATGAGGCCTTCTGGGGAAGCGATATCACCGCAGCCGCAGGGAGGCAACGGCAAGTAGAAGAAACCCAGGAAAAACAGAAACACGGCATGAAAATAGACAAAACGTCGCAACTTTTAGAGCGCGAACGCAAAGGCTGCTTGGATCACGCGTGCTGCATGCAGCAGCAGCAGCAGCGGCAGCAGCAGCGGCAGCGAGGGTCTGCTGCTTCATGCAGAGCCTACAGGAGAAGGGCCCCCAACAGCCCCTAGTAGGGGCCCCCCTGTCTCGAGGGTGCTTTTTTTATGAAGAAAGCTTTTAGGAAAAAACACAACTCAAAAAAGGGCTTTCTTCTCATACGGTTTGGGCCTTTTGAGTTCAAGAATGACCGTAGCTGTACTCACTCTGCATGAGCAAGCTCTGAGCGAGAGACAAGCTGCCCGCTGTCGAGACACCCCGCGCCTGCAGGAAGGGGCCTCTCAAAAAGCGCTGGTTTTCCGGAACTCTTTCTTAGACCTTTTTCGCGGAAAACTGCGCCTTGATCACCGCTTTAACTCAGCGGTTCTCCCGGGGGCACAGGGGGGGAGGAAGCCTTCGAGAAGGGCCTTCTCAGCAAGCCGCTAGTCGCTGCCGCAGTTAGCCGATGCTTGCACAGCTGCCGCTTTCTGCCGTGTTGCAGCGCGTAGCCTGCGTGTTTACATCTTTTTGGCGCATGCAGCCGCTCTGCAGCAGCTGGTGAGCCTCCACACACCGGCATTTTTTTTGGCGGGAGGCATGCGAATGTGAGCGGGGTACGCGAAGACAAAGGCGAGATGGAGGATCGGCTGCGACTGAGCTTGCAGATCCTGGATATCTGCGGTGTAGAGACACCGCAGCCGCTGTACATCAAGTTCCTTTGGAGAGGAGACAAGCAAAAAAGCCCTCTCCTGCGCGTCTCGGCGCAGCAACAGGTGCAGCAGCAGACACAAGCGGAGTTTTTGTTGCCGTATGACCCCGAAACGGATGGGAGCAGACTGCTGCTGCGAGTGTGGAAGCGCCATTTGCTGCGGCATGCGCAGGTAGCGGAGGCTTGGCTGGTGCTACCCAATGAAAACTTGGTAGGCCTCTATACGCAGGCTAGCCGTAGAGAGAGAGCGAGGGAGAGAGAGCGAGAGAGAGAGAAGGGCAGCGCACTTCTAAAGGCTGCTCCACCATACATTCATCGACAGACAGACGTAGGGAGAGGAAAAATGAAAAAGTGAGATAGAGAGGGAATGAAAAAGAGACAGAGTACTTAGACCGCGAAGGGGGGGAATGAATGATACAGGAAGGGAGAGAGTGTGTGATAGATAGATAAATAAAGAGAGAGAGAGTGATAGATACAGAAAAAAAGAGAGTGATAGATACAGCAAGAAAGAGAGTGATGGATACAGAAAGAAAGAGAGAGTGATAGAGACAGAAAGAAGGAGAGAAAGAGAGTGATGGATACAGAAAGAAAGAGAGAATGAGAGTGATAGATACAGAAAGAAAGAGGGAATGATACAGCAGGAGAGAGAGAGAGATAGAGACAGAAAAAAAGAGAGAAAGAGAGTGATGGATACAGCAAGAAAGAGAGTGATAGAGACAGAAAGAAAGAGAGAGTGATAGAGACAGAAAGAAGGAGAGAAAGAGAGTGATGGATACAGAAAGAAAGAGAGAATGAGAGTGATAGATACAGAAAGAAAGAGAGAATGATACAGCAGGAGAGCGAGAGAGAGAAAGAAGGAAGGAAAGATCCTACACCTACATACATACATACACTTGTATGGGTATATTAGTAGGCGGCTAACAAGGCAGGATGGCGAAAAAGCGTCGCGGACGTGGTAGAAGGAGCAAAGCCAGCGTTCTAGAAGGATTTTAGGGAGCCTGTCTCCACAGCATTAAGAGCGGCAAAAATAGCGCAAAGGAGGTTCTACTGAACGGTTAGAAAAGGGGCGCTGGCGAAAGTGAGGCCGAGCAGGAGTATTCTTGCGCGTGTGTTTTTTCTAGAGCAAGAGCCTCATTGCAAGTTGGCTAGCTGTCTCGCCTTGCGGTTTGTGCTGCTTCTTGATTTTAGGGTGTCACGACGTCCTCTGTCTCCCTCCCTGCCCTTGGACCTCATGCGCAGCTACGTGTGCAGCTTCAGCTCAAGCGCTTCGACGCTGCAGCCTATCAGCAGCAGCTCCACGTGCAGCTGCAGCAGCAGCACCAGATCAGTAGGCAGCAGAGGGAGCAGCAGATGCACGAGCATCACTTGGCGCTACAGGATTTCCACAGCTCTGCAGACAGCCTCGTCTTCCAACAGCAGCCTTACCAGCAGCTCCAGCCATCGCCTTACTCCCCGCAGCCTCTCCCGCAGCAGCAAGCGTGTTACAGGCCCCCTTTGCCACAGAATGCACAATACGCGCAGCAAGGCAACCCTTGGCAGCAAGGCTTCTCCCCCGGATACCCCTCCCCCTCGCCGTTGCCTCAACAGCTCCCGCAGTCGCAACTGAGCTCGCATCATCAGTATTACCAGGGGCAGCAGCAGCAGTACTATGCGCAGCAGCAGGCCGCGTACTACAGTGCACAGCGACAACAACAGCAGCAGCAGCAACAACAACAAGCGCACAACAGCGCCAGCAGCAGGCGGCAAGACTTCGACGGCGAATCGGAAGATGTGGTGTACATACACTCTATTCTGCCTCGGTTGACCGTTCAGGAGATCAAAGAGTGCGTCTTGTGTCGCAAAAAATGCTTCTTAGACTTCTTAAACAGCCGTCCTGCTGTGCCTGTCTTGTCTCCTATACCGCCTGCACAAATGCATGCTCCCTCCACGCAGCCCGCTGTGCTGCAGCTGAATTGCATGCTGCTGCTGTTCAATTGCGTAATGATGCTGCTGAATTGCGTGCTGCTGCTGCTGCATTGCGCAATGACGCTACTGCTGAATTGCGTACTGCTACTGCTGCTGAATTGCATGCTACAGCTGCTGAATTGCGTACTGCTACTGCTGATGAATTGCATGCTACTGCTGCTGTTAAATTGCATGTTACTGCTGCTGAATTGCATGCTGCTGCTGTTAAATTGCGTAATGATGCTGCTGAATTGTGCGCTAGTGCTGCTGATGAATTGCATGCTACTGCTGCTGCTGAATTGCATGCTCCTGCTGCTGCTAAATGGCATGCTCCTGCTGCTGCTGAATTGCATGCTCCTGCTGCTGCCAAATGGCATGCTCCTGCTGCTGCTGAATTGCATGCTCCTACAGGGCCCTTCGCCTAAGCGAGGGCGACAGAGAGAAGGCCGTAGACTTGCTTTTGAGGCAGGAAGTGGCTGCAGCGGCAGCGAGTCACCAGCAAGAGGTGCAGCAGCAGCAGCAGGAAGCAGCAGCAGGAGCTGCTGCAGCCGCTGCCTCACACGATTCTGCAGCAGCCCCCTACACAGAAGGCGTTCTACATACGCAAGCGCAGGCACACCCGCAGTACCCCCAGTGGACTCCTCCTATGGCGCCTCCAACGCCCTCACAGCAGCAACAGCAGCAGTCGGCCTTGCTGCCTGCCTCTGCCTTGCACCAGCCTTCCCCCTTCCCGCCGCATCCAGGTAAATGACGCATACAGCTCACCCACGAGCTGCTGCCCCTCATGCTCCGTTTCGACTGCATCGGTAGTGGCTGCAGCTGCGGCGTTTGAGAGCGAGGCGTGAACGCCTTTGCAGTGCCAGTTATACGCCTCGAGAAGCTCCTTTGAGTTACCTACAGGGCAGGCAGCTTAGGCTGGAGGTGCTGCAGCACTGGCGACGTCGAAAGCGCCTTGTTAAGTGCACGGCTTCGCCGTGGACGTGTGTGTATACATATGTGTATACATATGTATATATATATATATATATCTGTATATACACATGTATAAATATATATGTATCTATATTATTTGTATGTGTTGTGATGGCCTAAAGGGAGACGCAAGGCCCTGCTTATCGGCATCAATTATATAGGAACTAGAGCGCAACTGAGGGGCTGCATCAACGATGCGAAACGCATGCAACAGCTTTTGCGCGGTTTGTACGGCTTTGGAGGGGGGCCTACGGAGATGGTGGTGCTGACAGATGACAACTGCGATCCTCTGTACAAACCAACAAGACACAACATCCTTGCCGTAAGGCTCTGTCGCTGATGCTATGGCAGCTGGCTGTTGTGCCTGTGCCAGTCCCGCCAGTCTGGCTGTGCGTCGTGCTGTATGGACAGCTCGCCTGCTATGTACGGCCGCCTAAATGCGTGCCATCAACTTCAACGTGTGCTTTGTTTGCCCGAAGATGCCCTGTTGTGTGGCTGCATCTCGTTGGACGCTCCTCCCTTCTTCTGCACTCTCTCTGCTCCTCTTTTGACAAAAAATGAAGCCCTTTTTGCATACATCGATCGATGCATGCATATTAGGAAGGGTGTCTGCAGACATTTCCGTACGTATGCATGTATGTAGGCGTTTGCATGTTTGTACTGACTGCGCACTCATGGCGATGCCTTTCTCGAAAGCAGCAGCTGCTCCCTTGACGCCGATCGTCGCTGATGCTTCGGCTGGTGGTGCTGATGGCGCTGCTGCTGCTGCTCACAGTACAGCTCTTTCTTTCTCCGTTTGCGAATAGTTTTCCGCGTTATTGTTGCTGCGGATGGATGTGCTCCCCAGGCGATGAGTTGGCTAACTGCTGGAAGCCAACCAGGAGATGCCCTATTCTTCCACTATTCAGGGCATGGTGCAAGAAGGCCAGACCCCAGTGGCATCGAGAGCGACGGCTTTGATGAAACAATCCTTCCCGTTGACTTCCAACAGAAGGGCGAGATCGTCGACGACGTGGTGAGGGGACCCCCCAATCGACGACGGCAATCTCCCCTTCGAATGCATGCACACACTGCGCACTTGAAGATGGGAGGGCCTCTGGCCACAGCAGCCGGGAGAGCTGCTACGTGCTCCTTTGGGAGGTTTTTCTTGCGTCTCGAACCACCCCGCATATGTCTCGCCTTCTGTGCGCGTCTTTTTACCGTCATACTCCACGGGCGTCACAGCCTGGAGGTCTTCAGCAGGGGCCAGATGCATTCCCACATGTGTTTGTATGTCTTTGTGCGGGTGCTTGCGTATCTTTCATGTTTGTCTGTACTTGTTTGGATATATATATATATATATATATCTATATATCCACACATATGTATATGTGGATATGTGTCTGTGTATATATAGGTATGTGTGTTTGTGTGGATTTGTATTTGTGTGGCTATGTATCTGTGCAGATATGTGTATGTACGTATATCTGTGTGTATGTATATATATCTGTGTGTATGTATATGTATCTGTGTGTATGTATATATATATCTGTGTGTATGTATATATGTATGTGTATCTGTGTGTATGTATATATATATCTGTGTGTATGTATATGTACATCTGTGTGTATGTATATATATCTGCGTGTATGTATGTGTATCTGTGTGTACATATATATCTGTGTGTATGTATGTGTATCTGTGTGTATGTAAATATATCTGTGTTTATGTATATATATCTGTGTGTGTATGTATGTGTATCTGTGTGTGCATGTATATGTATCTTGTGTGTATGTGTGAATGCGTGTGGACATATATGTGTTTGTATGGGTATGCGGATGCAAATGTGTGTTTGTGTAAAATGCGCATATGTATGTATGTATGTGTGTGGATGTGAGAAGCTTCACGAGTACCTCGTGCAGCCGCTGCCGTCCGGCTGTCGTTTAACCGCCGTCATGGATTCGTGCCATTCAGGATCAGGGCTTGACCTTTCCTTCATATGGAATCAAGCAAGTCTCAAGTGGAAGGAGGAAACAAATCCCTTTTATGTTATCGGGGATGTTCAACTCTTTAGCGGGTAAAGAGGATTTTTTGAAGCGGTGCTGCTGCCCTGGCTGCTGTTGCTGTGGCTCTTCTCATGACCGTAGCCGCTGCTCTGACCAGGCGTGCGAGCTGTAGGAGGTTTTCCTTCTAAGCAGATCTTCGTCTTTCTCAGGGAGCAATCCGTGATGCAGGCAGACTCTCATGCTTGGGAAGTTGATAAGGGAGAGGGGGGAGGGGGAATCGGGGGACGCACAAAGGCGCAAGCAGCGTACATGCAATCGCGCGCTAAGGGCCCCCCCGTATACCCAGTGTTGCTTCCTCTTCGCTCTTCGCATGCAGCGTGTGTGTGTGTGTGGCTTAAAACAGCTTTGGATTCGCCTTCTGTCTGCCTATACGGACTGTGACAGTGATGCTTTCTATTTATATTTGCTTGGCGTGCCGGCGGCTCTTTCTGGGGTTATTGGTAGTATTTAGTTAGTATATCCATCGGTAGTGTGGCGGCCCCCAATGGGCTGCGCTTCACGGATTGTTTTGCGTGGCAGCAGCCTCGCGCTGTCTCTGCTTTTCCTGCGCTTCTTCAAGGTGCGAAGACTCTCAGACGTCGGCTGATCTGCGTGGCGAGGGCATTCAACGGGCAGCAGGCGGCGCTATGACAACTGCCTTCGTTACGGCTCTCACGCAAATGCCCTTCTCTCACTCCTACCCTTCCCTTATGGATGTCCGACGCAAGCCCTTGTCTAAACGCGTTCCCCCGTTGCTGTGTAAAGATGCTCTTGTTGCTGTGTAAAGATGCTGCAGTCGCTATGTGAAAGATGCTGCTGTTGCTATGTAAAAGATGCTGCTGTTGCTATGTAAAAGATGCTGCTGTTGCTATGTAAAAGATGCTGCTGTTGCTATGTAAAAGATGCTGCTGTTGCTATGTAAAAGATGCTGCTCTTGCTGCTGCCATGTAGCGATGCTATTGCGAGAGCCGCACCGCATGCATGAGGCTCTCTGTCCTGCCGTCCACTGAGGGATGCGGGCAGCGTCTCCTCTACGGTGTAGAAGCTGCTGCATGGCTCCGTGTTGCATGTGCTGCTGCTGTCGGCAGGATGGAGGAAGCAGCCGCATGCAGGCTGCTGTATGCCTTTATTGGTGTCTCGCTCTGTGTGCGTGCTGCTCCTGCCCTTAGGCCCTGTCACAATCCATGATGCAGCGGGGTTTGTCGCAGAGGCCTCAGCTGACTTCTTCACAGCGGTTCGAGTTTAATAGACCTTTCAGGTGCATGCACGGAGACAGGCTTCCTTTGCTTGCTGCTAGTTGAGCAGTTGCGCCTCTGCCGTGTGTGTGGGTGCTGTCGTGTCGTCTTTGGTGGTGGCTAGCTAGTTTAAGTGTGTATTTTTTGGGGGGATTCGGATATTTTACGCCGCTGCTGCATGCACCTGTGCTCCCTCCGGATCTGCGGCTGCTCCTGCCTGTCCCTCAGCCTAACAGCTGCTATTCCAAACAGTAACCAATTTCTTGGCAGGCGTATCAGAAGGCGTTGCCGGGCACCTGCCACCAACACGCAGAGCGCTCTTGCTGGAGGAATGTTAGCAGCTGCAGGCGGCCTAGCGGCTGGCTTCCTCCTTGCAGAGATCCTTGACCCCCGATAGGTGAGGCTGCCGTGCTAACAGGCGTAGCGCAGCAGCGCCTCCTGCTCGGGGGAAGACGGGGAGAAAAGACGGGGAGAAAAGACGGGGGTGTGGGGAAGTGTGGCCATTTGAAAGGAAGCGCGGTGTTGGCATACCGTTGTTACATTGCTTCCCTGTTCTACGTCGCTAAGACTGTCGCCTCGCTGAGGCATGTGTCCTCTCAACCCTTTGCCCCTAAAGCTCGCAGGGGTGTCCAAAGGGGCTCTTACTCTACACATGCATGTATGCGTGTATGTATACATACATATTTGTAGATTTATGCGGAACGCTCCAGCCTGCTGCTGCTTATTCTTGTGGAGACGCGCATTCGGCCGCATGCAGCTGTTGGTCTACGTCCACACCTGCTGTTGGTGCTTCTGTTTAGGGGATTGAGGAAACGGGAGGAGCAAGCGCCTTGGCGGAAGATCGGAAGGAGGAAGGCCGCCTGCTGCTTCGTGCTTAGCACCCTCTAGCAGCAGCAGACACACGCGGAGATGCTACCCGCAACTTCGCCTCCTCCATGCTACACAGACGCGCGGCTCCATTGTCGATCCCAGTGGACTAGGTAGCTGCGCTAGCTGGCTAGCTAGACAGAGGGGTGGACTGGCGCTCGGCAGTTTATGCGAGCTGACCTGCGCGTGACTGCGTCCCCCCCATAGCTAGCTGCAAACACTACCGCTACAGTTAGCTGCCCCATTCGCAGCTCCTAGGTAACGCAGCGCCTAGCGAACAAACAGCGTGCTTTTAGCAACACTGTGAGCAAACAAACAAGCAGCTAGCTCTGCAATCGCCTCCTCCTTGGAAGGAAGAGGCAACACCGCAGCACTGCGGTGCGGCCAGGCATCTACAGCTGCAAATGCAGTAGCGAAGGACCCCCCGCCGACTGTGTGTGAGCTGCTACTGCATGTTGAGACGCAAGCCTTGTTGCTTGCGCGGCAGCTTTTCCCGCTCAAAGATCCCGTTTCTAAGCACAGTGTTGCACTATTCAGTCCTGCTACCGTCGCTGCTGCGACTGCTGCTGCAGCTGCTGCTGCTCGCAGAATGACGCGAAGCTACAGCTCTCACTGCCTGCAAAATACGGCGCTGTGCTGCAACAAAATGCGAGGCTTCGCCGCTGCTCCCCCTTCGGCCATGCCAGCTCTGACGGCCAGCAGCAGTAGGGACGGGTGCCATAAATACTGCTGCTGCTTCGCAAAAACCTTGATGCAGAGCTCTACGCACTGCAGCCAGCGACGCTGCCTGCTCCTCACTGAAGCAGCAGGGGAAAGAACCTCCTCCCGCAACGGCTGCTTTGCATGAGGGAAGCAGCAGCAGCTGGGAGTGCCGCCGACGTACCAAAAACTCAAAAAATGAGGGCGGTAGCTGCATGCAAAGCATATATATATGTATATGTATATATATGTATATGTATATATATGTATATGTATATATATGTATATGTATATATATATATATATGTATACACGCACACACAAACAACTAGCCCTTAATGCTGCTGCTGAAGCGTTTCAGAGGATGTAGCGATCCAAGCCTACATAAGCGCGTGCTGACCCCAACCGGCAGCGCGAAATGCATCGCTTGCTGCTCCTTCCAAAAGTGCGTGATCACCTGTTGCAGCGTGTCTGCCTTGTCTAGCTCCGACAAGTAGCCGAAAAAGAGCAAAAGCATCTGCGGCAGGAGCAGCAGCCGCAAACACGCAGAGAACACCTCACGTGTAAGTCTCCAAATTGCGTGTGCAAGAATTGCACGAAGCGTCCATGTAACTTACCACCTTTTCACACATGCCACGAACTCCCAGTTCTTCCAGCCAATGCATGGAAATCTCGTCTAAATGCCGCTCCTGCTCTTGAGGCTGCTCATGTTGCTGTTTTCCTATTTGACTCTGCTTCTTCGGCTTCGGGCGCTTCCCTTTCTTCCTTGCATGCAGCCTTTTTTGTTGCTTTTCTCGCATGTCGCTTTTTTGGCGCTGCGGCAGCAGCAAAGTAATGAGCGCCTTGAGATCTGCAGCCGTCCAGAGCGTGGGCAGCTGCAGTCGTGCTCCGTGTTTGCACTTCTGCTGGTCGTCTTGCCGCAGTTGCTGCTCTGGAGGGGGTTGGAGCTGCTGCTGCAGTAGCAGCATGAGTGCCTGCTGCTCGAGCAGCAGGCGCTGCTGCTGCTCGTACAGCGCATGGCTGTGTTGCCTGCTGCCGAACAGCTTGAATCGCGTTGAAACGGCTCCCCGCTTCTGCGTCTGTTGCGGCTGGATGCTCTCCTCCGTGTGCTCCGACTGCTGCTTATCCAGGGGCTGTATCGGAAGCTGCTGCTGCTGCTGCTGCTGCTGCTGCACACGCAAGCTGCAGCCGTTGCTCAGGAATTCAGCTGAAGCAGCATTGTTTGCCGCTACAGCAGCACCGCCAGCGTAGCTCTCTGTAGCCTGCAGTTCCTCAGCTCTCGCAAGGGGAGTGGGCATGTCAGCAGCAGCAGCAGCAGCTGCTGCTGCTGCTGCTGGAGCAGCAAGGGCGACTCGCTCCGACACTGGTGGCAGGGGAACCTCCCTCTTGAAGGCTGAAAGTTTTGAAGTATGCCATCCTCCTGCTCCTTGAACAGCGGAAAAGACGGCAGCAGCAGCCTGCTGCCCTCGCGTCCGACTCCAATCCCCCGAACTGCTGTTCGCTGCTGCTGCTGCTGCTGCTGCTGCTGCTGCTGCTGCTGCTGAGGAGGCAGCAGAGACACCCTTCACTGCAGCGTCAATAAACGTGCTCCACGATGGAGGCGATGCAACAACTCCTCCTAACAGACTCTGCAACAAGGGTTGCTTCGCTTCTCGCTGGGGTTGCTCCCGCTGCTGCTGCTGCTGCAACTCTGGACGCATTGATTTTTGAGCCGCTTGCTGCTTCCGATGCTGATGCATGCCACCTATTTGCACCTGCTCCGCACTCCAGGATCTGCGTAAAGCCTCGCCAGTGCCAAGAGACTGCTGCTCTAGACTATCTCGTTTGTCCTCTCCCCTCGTTCGCGGCACTGGCTCCTCCCGAGGCAGCCTCTGGGGGTGGTGTCGCTGCTCTTCTTGTTGCTCCTGCTGCTGCTCTTCTTGTTGCTCCTGCTGCTGCTCTTCTTGTGGCTCTTGGTGTTGTTGTTCCTGTTGCGCCTGCGGCAGCAGCAGCAGTTGTTGCTCTTGCCCCTGCTGCAACATTTGCTGTTGCTCCTGTTGTTGCTGTTGATGGTGCTCCTGTTGCTCCGGTTGCTGCTCTTGTCTCTGCTGCAGGATTTGCTGTTGCTGCTGCTGCATTTGTGGCCGTTGTTGTTGCTGCTGCTCGTGTTGTTCTTGCTGCAGCAACAGCTGCTGCCCCTGCTGCTGCTCTTGCTGCTGCTCTGGCACTTCGTGTTGCAGCTGCTGCTGAGGAGCTACTGTAACGACGTGGGGCGAAGCTGCCACAACAGCTGGGGTGTACTTGGAGCGTTCTACCTCCTGCTGTTGCAGCTGATGTTGCTGCTTCCCCCCTGTTTGCGTGAGAGGGTGATGCCGCCGCTCGATGCTCCAGGGAGGCGTAAGAGCTCGACTGTATTGCTTATTGCCTTTGCTCCTAGACGAGTCTGGCAGCAGCTGACGATGTGGCAACAGCAGCTGTTGCTTCGCTCCCTGCCCGCGCTGCTCTCCGTGCATTTGCTGCTGCATCTGTGCTCTGCGCTGCTGAATTTGTTGCAGCTGCAGCTCAAGCCCAGTAGGTGGCGATGTGGGGCACTGTGGCGGCTCCAGTGTAAGAGCCTGCTGCTGCTGCTGCTGCTGCTGCTGCTGCTGCTGCTGCAGTTCTCGGCTCAAGACGGTTGCCTCTGAAGAGTAGCCAGTTCCCCACGAGATGATAAAGCTCTCTTCGCTGTCTGCTGCTGCGGCCAGGGGATGTAAGGGAGCAGCAGCAGCAGCAGCAGCAGGTGCAGCAAAAGCAGCAGCAGGTGCAGCAAAAGCAGCAGCGGCAGCAGCAGCAGGTGCAGCAGCAGGTGCAGCAGCACTGCTTGCATCCCTCAAGGGCCCAGTACCCCGAAGCTGACGCTGCGCTTGATGTAGCAATCCAGCAGCTGCCACTAGAAATCCTTCTTGATGCTGTTGCTCCGTCGCTGAAGGCAGCTCCACGTCAAGATCCACGTTGGAGGGAGGCAGTGGACCGCTGCTGCAGTTGCTGCCTCCCCACAACGGCAGCAACTGCAGCAGTCCGCGTCTCGGCGCAGCCTTCTTCCTGCTGCTGCTGCTCGTGCAGCTGCCTGCTGCGTTGCTGCAGGTGCTCCCAGCCTCAGAAGAAGAAGCTTCAACAGACTGCGAAGAAGCAGGCAGCAACGCGGCTTCGCCTCCGCATGCAGCGGAAGACACCGTCTCCGCCTCGACAGCGTCTTCAGCTGCCACTCTCCTTTGCGCAAAGCGCCGCCGCTGCTGCTGCTGCTGCACCCGATCCTCTGCTTCCGTCTGTCCTTCCAATGCAGCAGGAGCTGCAGCTGAACGCGCTGCTGCATGCAGTGCGACCACTGGTGCCTCTGGCTTTTCAGGGGGGGGGAAACCAGAAGGCATCAACTCCCATCGAGGCATCGGTAAAATGATGGCAGTGCTCTTGCAGGTGCTCTTGCTGCTGCAACTCGTGGTGGGCAAACTCACGCATGTCAGTCCTGTAGCAGGGGATGCTGCTGCTGGAGCAGATCCAGAAAAAGCCTCTTCACACGCCAAGAAATCCGTGGTCGATCCACTGCACGGAGGTATGCATGCACCTGACGTCCCCTGCTGCTGCTGCTGCTGCTGCTGCTGCTGCTGCTCCTGCTGCTGCTGCTGCTGCTGCTGCTGCTGCTCCTGCAGCGGAAGAAGGCCTTGCTTTTGTGGCTCCCCACGCTGCTGCCAAGTCTGCGTGTGTTGGCGGCTGTGCAGGCTGTGCCTTTTCTCTCCTCCTACCGGCCGTTTCATAAGCGATCCGCAGCTGTCTCCATGTGTGGCATTGCTGCTGCTGCTACTACTACTAGCAATATTACTACTACTACTAGCGTCATCAGAGGCCTCCTCATCGGAGGAAAAGAAAAATGCATGCAGCCCGTATTCTATGGCTCGCTGTTCCCTATCGGCGTGGTTCTGCTGCTGCTGCGGCTGCTGCTGCTGCTGCTGCAGTGCACGTTGCGGCGTTTGCTCCTCTGCTAGCGCCTGTTGCTGCAATTGCTGCTGCTCCTGCTGTAGCCGCAGCAACAGCTGCTGCTGCTCCCGAGCAACGCGCTGCAGCAAGTCCAGCTGCTGCTGCTGCTGCAAACGGCCTCCCGCCGCGGATTGACACTGCAGCATTTGCTGCAGCAGCTGCTGCTGCTGCAGTAGCGCGTGCAAGAGATCTGGTTCTTGCGGCTGCTGTACCTGCTGCTCTTGCCGCTGGCAAGGCTTCTGCATTGCAGGCTTACAGGACCCCTCGGCAGCCGCTTCTGGATGGGAAGGTGAGTGCACATCAGCTACCTCTAAATCTGCAGTTGTCGCTCCAGTAGCTTGAACGCGAGACACCGCAGCAGCCTGAGCAGCAGCTGCCGCTCCTTCAGTTTCAGACGAGCCGTTGTCGTCTAAAGAGTCTTCCAAGTCTGACCATGAGAAATCGCTTGCATCATTCGCAACGGCCGGTTCGGCTCGATGAGTTGCCGCAGCTGCAGCTGCAGCTTGCGCTGCTGCCGCTCGTCTCGCTGCATGCGCTGCTGCTTCGTATGCTGCCCCTGCCGCTGCTGCCTTCGCATTTGCACGCGCTGTGGCAGCAGCGGCAGTGCTTGCTGCAGCGGCAAGAGTAGCACTGCTCAGTGAGGCGGGTGTCACAGCGTCAGTAGCAGCAGCAATAGCGACGGCAGAGAGGCCTTCTCCAGGCAGCCTGCTCATGTGCTGCTGCAGTCGCTGCTGCGCCTCTTCCTCCTCCGCTTGATGCTGCTGCTGCAAGAGCCGCTGCTCCTGTTGTATCCGCTGCAGCTGCTGCTGCTGCTGCCTCGCCAACTCCTCATGCTGCTGCTGCTGCCGCTGCCGCTGCTGCTCCTCCTGCTGCTCCTCTTCTTCCTGCTTTCGCCGTCTCCCCGAGAAAAAGCCCCCAAACAGAGCTGCAGCATGCACTGGATCGCTGTGGAAACACGCTGCACTGCTCCCGCTACCAACGTCTGCATCCACCCCTCTACGCCCACGATGCAGAGGCTTAGGAGACACTGCAACAGCAGCAGCGGCAGTCAACGCCTCCTGCCGCAAAACCTGCAGCAGCTGCACAAGCGCTGGTGTTGCGGCCTTTTGCATGCTGCTGCTGATGTTATTGTTATTGTTATTGCTATTGCTATTGCTGCTGTTGATGTTATTGTTATTGTTATTGCTATTGCTGCTGCTGCTCTTATTGCTGTTGCTGTTGCTGCTGCTGTTATTGCTGTTGCTGTTGCTGTTCCTTCTGCTGCTGTTGATGTTGTTATTGTTATTGCTATTGCTGCTGCTGATGTTATTGTTATTGCTGCTGTTATGAGTATTGCTGCGGTTCGAAGTGCAGCGTGCGGCAGCCCACGAAGGCAGAGGCAGCACGTCTTCAAGGCTGCAGAAGTTTGTGCTGCTGCTGCCCCTGTTTTTGCAGCTCGCAGCCAGCTGCGCAGAGAGCCGTCTGAGTGCAACCGTGGGGATCTTGTGGCAGCAGCCGCAGGCGTGAGCTCTCATCTTGCAGCTACTTCTGCAGACCGAAATGCCCTCTATCCGCAGGAGCTGCTGCTTGCCGACTTGACAGAATGCGTCTCCGCTGCCGCTGACAGCAGATCCGAAGAAGACGCAACAGTCGTGTGCAATGAGGAGGGGACCTTGAACCCTGTAGCCGCACCGTGTGAGAGCACGCAGGCAGGAGCAACCACTCGTAAAAAAAACACGTGTACTGCTTTCGAAGCGGCTCTTTAGCTTTTAAGCGGCATGGCCAGCAGCAACACAAGCAGAAGCAGCAACACAAGCAGAAGCAGCAACACAAGCAGAAGCAGCAACAAAAACAGAAGCAGCAGCACAAGCAGAAGTAGCAACAAAAACAGAAGCAGAAGCAGCAACAAAAACAAAAGTAGAAGCAGCAAGAAAAACAGAAGCAGCAACAAAAACAGAAGCAGCAACAAAAACAGTAGCAACAAAAACAGAAGTAGAAGCAGAAGCAGCAACAAAAACAGAAGTAGAAGCAGAAGCAGCAACAAAAACAGAAGTAGCAACAAAAACAGAAGTAGCAACAAAAACAGAAGTAGCAACAAAAACAGGAGCAGCAACAAAAACAGAAGTAGCAACAAAAACAGAAGGAGAAGCAGAAGCAGCAACAAAAACAGAAGTAGCAACAAAAACAGAAGTAGCAACAAAAACAGATGGAGAAGCAGAAGCAGCAACACAAGCAGAAGCAGCAACAAAAACAGAAGCAGCAACACAAGCAGAAGCAGCAACAAAAACAGAAGTAGCAACAAAAACAGAAGTAGCAACAAAAACAGAAGTAGCAACAAAAACAGGAGCAGCAACAAAAACAGAAGTAGCAACAAAAACAGAAGGAGAAGCAGA